TCAATTAAACACATCCAAGTAAAAACCTTCAAACTGATTGTGCTGGCTTGTATGAGACATAGAACATAATTCAATTATCTAAAACACATAAATGGTGAAATCTATAGAAACTAATGTAAACATAAAATAGCTGCTATTTTAAAATTGCTGAATTTTTTTTTTTTTTTTTTTTAAAGATACATTATGGGAGATCATATAAAGAGATGGCAGTTCTCGCTATGATAGTTAAAATCTAGATAGTGTTAAGGTAATTTGCTGAAAATTTCAGTCAAATTGATCCACTATGAGCCGAGAAAGAAGCGGGTGAAATTTTTGCATAGTCTCGGTCATCATTACTAAAATCATTAATATAAACAGCATAGTCTCGATTATCCACTTTTATTGATTTAATTATCAATAGCCGTTAGCGGCATATAGGAATCTAATCTAGCCAACATCGAAGGCTAGCCTTGACATCGAGAGTTTATTATGGTCTGGATAAGTTAATTAATGTCTAATTGATAATTTAGATAACATTTCAGGCCTAAAGAAAGACTTGTAATAAGCAGATTTTGCTCTTGCATAATGTATGTTTAACAAAAGTACTTTTGAAGTTTTGATCAAGTAGGGTTATCTCTGACATCATGTGCCAATTCGAAATAGTAATTCTTATTTTGATGACACCTCTGCACTCACTATAGCGCTAAACCATTTCGATCTGTTTGTCTTCCCTACAGATTCAGAAAATGTTCAATAGGTTCCTGCTCGGTTACATCAGACATCCTGTAAATTCTACTGGGGAACTTGTTACACTCTGTGATGTGTGTCAGCTGATATAAAAACTAGGTATATAACTCAATGAATGTCACTTTAGTAAAACGATACTTTACTTGAAGAGCCAGTGGTGCATCACAAATCATCATGCATCAGTTCTACAGCAGAATTTACTGGGTGTCTGCATATCACCCAACAAGAATGTACAGACAACCATTCAGCAGTTATTTTCATGCAAATATAAATGATACATTTTTTGTACATGTCAACTTTAATGGGTGGAGTAGTGAACAGTCTGGACAGCTGCGGTGTTCATAGGTACATGTACACCAGACCAGCAGACCTAAAAGCTGTCTAGCCAACCTACGCTATATACGATAATAAACCATTATAGCAATTTTGGAAGTTACAGAATCTCTCTCAAATAACTGGTCCACCATTTTGAATGATATATGTGATCAATTCTGCTGTTAATTCCTAAATCAAAATGATAGCTTTTGAAATAGAGAGTATGTCCAGTTCAAATCCATCCCCATTTTCACCTATGGAACGAAGTTGTTAGTGCTCAAGAACTCTGATATTAGCTGTTCGATCAGATTGAAATAGTTACCAACTGAATTGATATAGTCTATTTCTCAATGCAAATAGAGAGAGAGAGAGAGAAATGGGGTTTAACGTCCACTCGCGTAGGGGTCTTTAGCAGTGGGAGGAAACCGGAGGACCCGGAGAAAACCCACGAGGTTGGACAGGCGACTCTACTTCTTGTCACGTACAACCGGGGATTCGAAACCACGCCAGTTGACTCAATGACAGGCCTTATGATACAGCACGCACGTGCTAACCACTCGACCATCCAACCCCCCTCAATGCAAATAAACTACCTACATATACTAAAATGATTATTATTTTTACCATGTTTGTGAACAGACTGAGATACATGTACCAATATGGCTTAATTCAGTTCAGTATTTACAAAGATATGACAAACTGAAAAATTTTTTGAGACACCATATAAGCCAACGCCAAATATATCTGTGGGGTAAAATCTTTTGACGGGCCTCTTTTTTAATTTGATTGAATTCAAGTCAGGAGATTATTTACGGTACCATGGATATTTTGGTTTCATTTTCTTAGTTAAATGTTAAATAATCAATTTGAGTTCATTTTAGAGTGGATCAAACCGTGAAAAATTGGACATTGTATGAAAAATGTCAATGATGATCAACGGCTTTGGGATTGAAATAAAAGCTCTGGTTAGAAAACTGTTTGTTTTAGTGAATCGATAACAGAACATGTCACCTTGACTACTAAAACAACTACATCGTATTGACAAGTTGCTGATATAACAAATGTCTTTAATACAACAAAGATATTATCTAAAATAGGAATTAAATGGTTTGTAATTTGTAACAATAAAAGGTTTGTGTGATATTAAAAGGCTTGTGTAATAATAAAGGGTTGATGTAATAATAAATAGTTTGTGTAATAATAAAGGGTTTGTGTAATAATAAAAGGATTGTGTTTTGTGCAATAATAAAAGGATGGTGTTTTGTGTAATAATAAAAGGATTGTGTAATAATAAAAGGATTGTGTTTTGTGTAATAATGAAAGGATATGTTTTGTGTAATAATAAAAGGATATGTTTTGTGTAATAATAAAAGGATATGTTTTGTGTAATAATAAAAGTGTAATAATAAAAGGATTGTGTTTTGTGTAATAATAAAAGGCTTGTGTAATAATAAAAGGTTTTCCCATCCAAGTTCCAGTGACGTTCAATTAGACAAATTTACAGCAAAGTCCTAGTGGGGATGATGTGATTTAGCAAATGTTGTGGTGGTTTTGAAGTTGATTAAATGATAGTCATTTGTATGATTCAGGCATCTAATTTTCTTTATTTAATTAACATAAACAAAATCAAAATATCAATGGCAGATATTCTCCTGGCTTTGAGTCAATCAAATTAAAAGAGGTTCATCAAAAGATTGCAATGGATGGTGAATTATATTTGAACCATTTTCAGATTTAAGTTTCTTTTAAATTTTCAACTTTATCAATATTGTAGTCTGCAAGGGATTAACGATCACCCAAATGAAACTTTCAGTATATTTTTAATACCAGTAAAAAAAAATAATTCTATGACAGTTTTTATAAACTCAGTTTCCATGCCAGTTTTTTTTAACACCTCACATTATATGTCAGTTTTAAACACCTCACAATCTATTCAATTACCTAACCTTATATATCAGTATAAATTTTCACAACCTCATCTTATATGTTGGTTTTAAACAACTCAGTTTCTATGACAGTCTTAATCAAACCAGTTTCTAAACAAGTTTCCAACACCCAATCTCTACAGTATGTTAGTTTTAAACACCCTATTATCTTTGCCAGTTTTTTTTACACAAGTTTGTAACACCTCAATCTCTGTCAGTTTTAACCCTGATTTTCCAAAATTTGACACCAGGTTTTTAATGTCTTTCACAAGCTATTAAACCCTTCAATTAAACATAAACAAACCATCTTTCACAAGTTTTAATAAAATTTCACAGTTTGTAAGCAGCCATTACCTGCCTTTCATACAAAATGTATGGCTCACTAACTACATTTACATGTCTACATGTATCTGAATATTCTAATTGTAATAGCTGATGATTTTATTTAATAAATAAAAGATGGAACCCAATCCTCAACATAAACTGGTTTCCTTACTTTGTATAGCATGAATTATACAATCTATTTTTTATGCACCTATTATTGGATTGAGAAGATGGGATTATATAACATATTAGTGGTAGTAGATGACTTTGTAAATGTAGTAGGTGATTTTGTATTGGGTGATGTTGCTGGTACAGATTTTGTAGTGGCAGTGGTATAGTGGGAGATTTTGTAGTGACCGTGGTATATTGGGGAATTTTGTAGTGGCAGTGGTCTACTGGGGCATTTTGTAGTGACAGAGGTATACTGGGGCATTTTCTAGTGACAGAGGTATACTGGGGCATTTTCTAGTGACAGAGGTATACTGGGACATTTTCGAGTGACAGAGGTATACTGGGGCATTTTCTAGTGACATTGGTATATTGGAGCATTTTGTAGTGGTAGTGGTATATTGGTATATTTCGTAGCGACAGTGATATAGAGGAGAATTTTGTGGGGTTGTGATTTACATGTACAAGTAATATTGCACTCAAACAAAGTGTGGTGTGAATTTAACACTGATTGAATAATTCACTGATAATAACCCACGCATATTATTCATCAAATAAATATACATAAATACACACGCAATGTCAAATACCATGGGAGAATATCATGCTAAAAATAAACAGTATATAATAATAATATATGGCCAATAAATATGCCAGTGGTGCCATATATTGGCAAAACCTAAAGAAAGCATTAGTTTGACTAGATTTCAGAATCTTCCTTCCACTGGCACTGTGTGTTATGAAAATGCAGAAAATATAGGTTAGCTAGAGTTAAGTTGTAAAAAAAAATCTATTGTCACTCAGATTGTTTCCATCATGTCACTAAATTTTGTTTCTTTTTATTATCAGACACTTATATTTTAATTTAATTAAATAAGAAAGGGGGGTGACGTACACACCAATATACATCAAACTGTTAACACAATGAGCATATATAATTTTTATCGGTGTGAAATCAACATGACACATATTGTTGATGATAGCGATATGATTGAAAGGGGCAAAGACAAGTAAACCCGTGATACTACGCATAATGTTTTCTTTGTTTATTTTTATTCGCTAACTGTTAACACGAAAATGATATCATGTTTCGTAATCTAGACCGTGTATCGTGATGATGAGAGAGACATTGACTGAGAAAATAGCTCAGCACACTGGGCAAATATTGGCACTGTGTTTGTATCCTTTTTACAAAGCTCTCGGTAAATAAACAAAGAAGAAGAAATCTATTTTATTAGCTTACTAAATAATTGATCATTCATCCATACGAAGATGAGGAGATCAGGAGAACGAGGGCGCGATGTCGATGCATCGAAATGTCGTTATAAGATCACAGGGCAAGGATCTGTCGTCCCAGTGGCAATCTTTAAACTCGACGAAAAAAGAAATCGATTTTATAAACAGAAAACTATTTCGAGTAATTTACAGATAAAAGTAGAAAGATCAAAGTTGGGAGATTGATTAATATTAAATAAAACAATATTTTTTTTATCTAAGTTAAGAATCTAAGAAATAAAAAAATGTGTGGTTTTCTTACAGTACCTGTTATGCCGATGCACACCGGTGATGAAAACTGAAGCAGCTAAAACAGTTTGATCAGTCGCCAAGTTAGTAGCGATAACCGTCTCTGACACTAGAAGAGTTTAACACGACCCTCGTTTCACGACAAACAGACAACGACTACTGTCTCGAGCGAGAAACAACTGGTTTCATCTACTGAGCCAATCTCTAATGCACGCACTTGTTCGCCTATGGCTCTGACGTCATCACAGCGTCTCGAACCGATTACCAGCGAGGAAGAGCCTTGTCGGCGATCTCAGCATGTCGTAGAAAACAATTAAAAGATAAAGATTTGTTTAAAATTTTACTCCATAGAATTTATAATTAGCTATCTGTCTGCAAGTATAATTGCCACAGTTTGTAATTTCAGATGTAATTGTAAAAATTATAATTATGAGCAATTTTTGCTATTATTTTTCTTGAATCCTGTAACATTATTGAATTAAATAAAATTACACAGTATGCATATATCCTTTTCGCGTTTTTTTCGTTGATAGAAATCAATTTATAATCTTTAACAAAAGAACAGCAGTAAAAGGATTAGAACCTTAAGTGGCATTTAGAATGAATGAAGGAATGAATGAAACGGGGTTTAATTAATATCTTAATTTTCAGCAGACAACGGGTATGTGTCATGCAGTGTGCTTTAAGGGAAATTTTGCCCGGACAACTAATTAAATTCAAACTCTCAAGGGTACTTTTACGTGCAGGACAAGGAGCACACAGTTCCTCGGTTTTTCGTGCTTCACCACTGACAAGGGAAAACCACACTGAAAATTCCCCGGGATCGCACCCCGAACTTTGTATAAAGAAGAAGAAGTATCATTTTTTTTTGTGTGTTTATTTTATTAAAGACTAGCAGGATACCCGGCTTCGCTCGGGGGTCATAACTCCGAAACCGGAAGTGGTAGACTAACGCCACCTGGCCTATGTTACTCCCCGGTCCGAGCTACCCCTATACCCCAAATTTCAGACTCGGGGAAGACCTAGTGTAGCCGCCAACCCCGAACAGACAGACAGACAGACAAACGACAGTCACAAATATATATATATAGATTAATTTGAAATAAACACGGAATCTATAACTTTAGTCTTAAGACAGAAAGACAGACAGACAAACGACAGTCACAAATATATATATAGATTAATTTGAAATAAACACGGAATCTATGCCTTTAGTCTTAAGACATTGTTCTTAAATTGTTCAGATGTAGGGTTTAACGTCCTGCTGTTCTGCACTGACTGGGCTAATGGAGACGGGCATATACCAGCCGGAAAATCCCAATGGACATTCTCGACTAACATCGCTATCGAACGCGGGACCTCTATCAGGATAGCGAGCCAGCGTTTTACCCACTGGGCCACCGCGTCTCCAGACATAAATAAGACAGAGGAAACACATTATAGTATCTAGCAGATGTCTGATCGAAGGTCGTCAATGTGGGCGAGTTTCCGTCCGGTCGGAATTAATGTATCCAAAATATTGTCACATAATGCTTGATTCGGAAACAAATACCATCCTTGTTTGATAGTATGAATCAGTATATTGCAATAATTACGTCCTTCCTTTCATATATATAGCCTGTATACTGTCTGCAGCACTTAAAATGAGTAAATGTTGCTGAGCTCAGTCCGAGCGCCGTGTTTACGAGAATGCAATGTTTGGATTTGAAAATATCTCCCTTAAAAAGAGAAGAAATGAAATGGGGTCCTCCACCGAGAAAAGTTTGAAATTATTTGGCAGAAAGCAACTCAGATCACTGGAAACATGTTTGCATGAATCGATCTGTTGCTCTTTGAAGATGAAAAGTGTAAAAATACGGACACACAAAAAAGAAGAAATAACGGTACAGCGGATAATAGTTATGTTAATAAAATATTTACAAATTTTGAAAAACTCATATTGTGCAAAATTGTTTCCTTATAGCCAATCACACAATATATTTGAGTCAGTTTTTAGACTCTGCAATACTTTTCAAAATCAAACCATATTGAAGTATATAACTGTATCAGTTTAAAACAAATGAAATAATAAGGGGTTTAATGCCATACTTTTTTGCACCAAACAGGGGTTGGGTGACCGAATAGTCTAACACGTGTCCTATACCCCGCCGGTTTCCCCGAGTCCTACGGTTTACTCTCAATGCTAAAGACCCATACACACAAGCGAATTTTTAAAATGAAACTGAACCGTGATTATGTCAGCCCCGAAGTGTTTTGAGATTTCAGGTAGTCATTTTCATGTGCAGTGCTTTTATTAGTCCATTATAAAAAAAATAATCGTTATTTTTTCTTATTTTAGTTTCATAGGTAACAGGGCTACAACAATTAAAAGATGGGGTTCAAAATTTTATATTTATTACATTGAATATTCGGCATTCGCAGTTCTTACGTCTTCATTCAGAAAGAAAATACCCCTGGTTCGAATCCCGCCTGCGGCCGAGAAGAATCCTCTGGATTTTTCATATCCGTGGTGGTGCCTTATGAGCTGACAAGGACAGTGTCTCTGGAACTTTCAGATAGGACGAAAATCCGCCGCCCCGTTTGCAAATTGGTAGTGCACATAAAGGATTACCACCCCAGCCCCACCCCTGCATTTCACACAGTAATAAAATTACCGCATGTCAATCTAAACGGAATGAAATGAAATACAGTGTGCTATGGGGGAAATTTTGTTCGGACAGCGGGATAACGGCCTAATCTTATTTCAAATTCGAACTGCCACGGGTTATTTTATGTGCACGCCAATGTGTACACCGGACATCGGCTTTTCGTCCCTTCTAAATGACTAGACGCTGTCCTTTCCCGGTCCTGCACCACTGACAAGAGGGCACCACGTCGAAAAATCCGAGGAGCTTTCTCGCCAACACCGGGAGCGACCCCTAGACTTCCTGGGTTGCGAGCAAGGGTCTTACTGAGCAACCGCTGGCAGTCTAAAAATGACGCGTTGACGTCGAATTAAACTCCATTCCTTGAAGAAAACAAAAAGAAAATATATCAAGTCAGATTTCTCCTTGAAGAAAACAGAAAGAAAAGAAATCAAGTCAGATTTCGTTGCCCAGACTTTTGTTTTCGTGATCATTTACAAAGGAAGATGACTGGTGTAAGTCAATGTGTTGCAATCGATCGTCTTTAAAACCTGTCAGTGGATTTAATACCAAAACAAATTAGTATTACACGGAATGTCAATAAAACTCTTTTTATCTTTAAATTTTCCATTTAACATTTTCTAATTTTTTGTAGTAGATTTTTTATTTACAAGGTCATCGATTTCTTTTCTTTTTTTCATTTGCTAAATGTAGTTATTTATTTTCTTTTCATTGACATCGGTGGATATATTCTCCTATCTTTCATGTCTTCTCTACCCCATTTGAAGTTTAACAAATAAATAATTAATCGTTTATCGTGCTGCGGAGTCCCAGGTCAAAGAGGCCCCAGGTGTGATGTGTGTATACGGAATTACACATGGTTTTGAAATGTGACTATCTCTACATCGCCTTCGGCAACTTCTAGTATACAACTTTAAAAGTTAAAATGCATTTAATAGACCTGTTGAGCCTATTGTATAAGGTTGTCCAAAATGCCAAACTCCTCACGGTATCGTTCGTAGCCAGGGCTGGGTCGGGGGCAAGTGGGTCAATGTACATTTGTGTATAAACAAAAAAAACGACAGGTCAAAGGGGAAATAAAGGAATGAATTATTAAATGAATAATTCAACGCATATTGAAATAAATTTGATCAGTATTACAATATAATTATCGTTAGTATTTCGTTTCTATATTGGCTGGTGTGTGGCACGCCTGCAAAATGCCTCTTCCACTGCCAAATGTCTTATCGGTGCTCTGTGTTTTGGATTTAGGAATCAAAATTTGTACACGACACGAGTTTGTATATCATTACGAATGACCGGGCACTTTTTAGTTGGGGTGTAAGTCAAGAGAACGCCAACCGAGGCAAATAACGGTAGTCTGACCCCGCCAATAGTAAAAAAAACCCAGAAAGAGTTATTTCCCTCGAAAAGCTCTCTCGTGCACCTGTTTTGTTTACCATAGCGCCGGTTGTCAAGATCAGCGTGTTCTGCATGGCAACTAACGGTAAATGAGGACGAAAGTTGAGAATTAGTTACAGATAACGGATTAATTGATCGACGTATCCTCGTCATTATGTATGCCTCACGGAATCCTATCGCTAGTGAAGTCAAAACAGTTAAATCAGATATTAAGGATATATTACAGAGCGGGAAATATTACTGTACCGAGGAAATAGCGAGAGAGTTAACTAAATTAGATAATGGATTAGACCACCTGAACTTCGATAATAATCTACTTACCACGTCACGCACTTGGCAAAATAACTTCGATCCTAATCATACGGCTGCATATCGTAACAGTAAGTTCCAATATATATTAAATTGTAGTTCATTCAGTTACAGTAATACAACCCAGTACAATTTTAGATTTACGATAAAAATCAGTAAACTGGAACTCTTGCTTTTGCCTTATTGAATTCATGTTGAATAATTGATAGGTACCGTATCATTCATTATTTTTTAAATGGATGGAAAATATAACCTGGTTAAGAGTATTGATTTATTTTGCTAAATTTCAATTTCTACTGAATTTTTTGGTTTATACATGAACTATATAAATTTTTGTTCATCCTACTATTGACCAAGAAAAAAGGCAGTTTTATGCAAATGTGTCTCAACATTATGAAGATATTTTGAAAGCAGGGCGAGTTTGACCTTATCTCGAACTGAAACAGCCTACTGGGCTATACAAATATTGCACATATAGGTTTTGAATTTTAATATGTCATCTTCGTACAGTTTGGCTTTCAAAAATAACTTTACGCTCAGCACCAATAGCGGAGACTTAATGGCATGATACTATTTACGGACTGGGTGAAAAAAGGTTTCAGATAAGTTATTTGCCCCTGAATATCATTATCTCCCTTGTAGACGCAGTAGTATACATTTAAAATCTTGACATCACCTCATTTATCAAGTACGTTTCATCCAGATGCAACCTTGCTTTTTAAAATTTCTGTAATCAGTATTTATTTGTTAACCATTCATTTGGATCATGTTGTTTTTCAGATGTGGTTTCAGCAATGGATCAAGCTTCAGCCCGGTTATTTGACTTAAAAAATCAACTAAATGTTGATAAACTTAAAGATAAACAAGAAAATGAAATTAGAGAAAAACACGAATGGGCAATGAATAATCTACAATCAGTTCAAAGGGTTGGTACCAGTAGTATATGAATATTAAGCCTGGAAATAAGGCTCCTGTCACAGACATTGTCAGGCACAAATTCCGACTTTGTCAAACACAATCCCTCTGGTGACTGACATTTTATATGGCACTGATGTCTTTTTCAGTGTCGTTATTGATGGTTTTTAACACATATCGGGAACAAACTTCAAGATGTTAATTACTAGGAATTAGTGCCTGACATTTCCAGACTGACTGAAATAGGATAAAAACCAGTTACGATTATGGTGCCTGTCAGGAGGAGAGGCGATCACTCAAGCCAACACGCACTGGGCAGTCTATCAAAAGCATTATAGAACTCATTTTTCAGGAGTTACAAATTCTGCAAGATTAGATTTGTCTCTGAATAAGATGAACATTTCGGCCACAATGGTTAAATAGGTGTTAACTGGTGCTAGTTGGAGTTAACTTGTTAGTTTGAGGGTATGGGTTATAAACCTCTTTGTTCGAAACATACATGTATTACCACCGAGTCTTCTGATACAAGTGGTTGTCATGATAATTTATGAACGTTTTTTGTTTTTAGAGTTTAGATCCGTATGCATATCAAGCAGCTAACAGAATTAAAGAGTTTGGTGATCATATAGGCGTCACAGATCGCTTTACTCAATATAGAAACAATAGGTTGAAAGTACAAGAACCTGCTAGAACGCAAACACAACAGATGATGAGACTAGAACGAGCTAGAACATGTAAGTTTTATAACGACAACATATTTTAATTACATGTATAATTAACCACGACCCACAAAAATAATGTGAATATCCTGGACATATCAAGAGCATTTTTCATCAACGTGTGAACCTCGCCTTATTTAAAACCATTTTTAAATTTCTGAGACATAACTCACACATTTTAAATAGTAATTAGTTATTTATAAACAAAATATTGTTTGAAATCATTCCTTGTCAGGTTTTTACAATTTTGTAGGTGGTATTTTCTAAGAAAATTCCAGTCACTTATGTCACATATTTCAAGTAGGCCTAGTACATCTTTGTAACAGAATATGAAATGATGTTTTGAAATAATTGACATTTTGTATTTGGTATTTTTAAAGTAAACTGACTGCTTAAATCCCAAAATGATCTGGTATTTTCAACCTTTTGAAACTGTTCCGCATGGTCAAGTGGTTTACATGTGCGACTCAGGTCATAAGGTCTGTCATTTAGTCAAGTGGCATGGTTTCAATCCCAAGCTTTAACATGAAAACTAGTAGAGTCACCTGCCCAATCTCATGGGTTTTCTCTGGGGCCTCCAGTCTCCTTCCACTGCTAAAGACCGTTACGTGCAAGCAAATTGTTGAATTAAAATTGTACCATGTTAGTCCCAGAATTACATAACGGTAGTTTGTGACAAGTGGACATTAAACCACTTTTCTCTCTCTCCTTTTAGCTATTGGTACTCCAGCTGCTGATTTAAGAACACAGAGATATGGTGAAAGAATGAGAGAGAACTATGGTGCTATGGGAAATAAAGTACAATTTACAACATTTAGTCCACCAGCTCGGGTATATAAAGGTATGTATCAATTTTGAATGGTCAGTATTTCCGATGGTCAGTCTGTTAACAATGAAATGCTTCCTCAGAGTTAAATAGTTCAATGGATCTCTTTATCCTACATTAAAAAAAATGAAATGGTTGGTGATCCGATTCAGTAAATCACAGATAAATAATTCATCATCAAATCTAAATTGATCTGAAATATTTTGTTTCTAAATAATTTACACAATCCAATTTTTAAAATCATTTCTTCTCTGCAGGTTATCGAACTATTGATAGTTTATATCCAGCGGCAACAACCCAAATTAAACCAGAAGTTTCGGCAGGACCTTGTTTTAGTTCATCGTTTAACGACGTAAAAACAGTGAACACATTAAACGCCACAGATCTCGTTAGAACACAAGAATTAGCCAAACAGAGACAACAAGAAGCCTGGACACAACAGCCAGAAAGATCTGCAGCAGAAAGAGCCGGAATTAATGTGATATTCCCTGGAACTACTCTGTATAGTGACGAATATGTTGCACCCAACTTAGACCTCCCAACCAGTCATTTCGTTATTAATCCATTACCTAATTTTATGGTCAATGGACGTCCCGTTGGTAGAGCCAAGATTCTGCCAACTACTAATTCAGAATATCAGTCACGATATGAATGGCCTCAGGGACGCAAGTCCACACTACTACCCTGGTTAAATGTTCATTAGAATTTGAATAAAATTAAAATTATTCTAAACTATACGCCAACTTAGAAAGTCTTTCTTGCAATCTTGACACATATCTGCCTTCCTTTATTCTAGAAGGTATGTTTTGCTTCATTAATTAATCAAATGTGAATTGGAGAAAAAAGTTCTGATGATTTTTACTAAATACAAGTACATAATTAAATGATCTAATTCTTTCAAGGATCATAGTCATTATTTTTCTTTGCAAGGATTGGACATAACATGTTTTGAATATTAATAGCATATAATTATTAGTAAAGCATGACGTGATGACAACATCCCTTTAAATTGCTAGTGACTATAAAATATGAAGATATTAATGACTCATTCACATTGGGTAAGAGCTTCATCATGTTTTGTAAATTTTACATTTTTTAATTTGTCTCATTGTTACTGATCCAGTCTCACTTTTATGATCCAGTGATTCAGTCTCAAATTTACATTCTAATGTCTCAAAGTTATATTCCAGTCTCAAATTTATATTACCGGTACATTGTCTCAAATCGATCTGGTCGCAGGCAAAACAAGTGATAATTGTTTATTTTCTTGGCAGTTGTTTCTGGAAATTATAATTTTTATTTTCAGACATTGATTATGTTTGATAACAATCTTTTAATCATAACCAAAATCATTACATCTACGCAATGTTTATCTTATTATACACTGTTGACCATTTATTGCATAAACCATATTATGTTAACATCTTTAAGTGTCAATAAGTAATTGAGAAACACATTAGGTCTCACAAATTTAATTTTCTGTTCTTCGGGATCTTGGTAAATAAATTGCCACCTGAACCAAGTGGAAGATGTTTTGTTTAAACTTAAAAATTTGGAACTAAAAGCTTTTGAACAGCAAAATCAAGTACTTCTGGTTTTAAATTAGTCTTTTCCCAAAGAAATGTCCAAAAGAACATAAAATCATATTGGTGTGGCCTTAACACAATTTTTTTTATGGGAAACAATCACTGGTTTATTATATAAACACAACATTTCCTCAAGTATCCTCCTACTGTTATCAAGCACAAAGACATATTGACCTTATTACTTTATAAATGTCATTATGCTTGCTAATGATCAGAGGATACTTATCGAAACCTTGTGTTTATTTATTAAACCAGCGATTGTTTCCCATACAAGTTCTGTTCTGTTTAAATTTCAACATTTATATGTCCTGCTTGGTGCATTTTCTAATGAGAATATTTAATTGTTTACTTGTAAACTGCTATGTAGATATCTTTATTGTTAAACTATGATTTGTATTTATTATAATTATTTATATTTGTTGAATTATACTATTTACGTCCTTTTCTAAAATTTTATAGTATTTTCAATTTATACTTTCCACACAAGTTTCATATTTTGAAAGCAAAAAGTGAAACAAATAATCATTTAGCATTATTTATTAAATTCTTCGAATTGCAGATAGATACACATTATACTTTGCACATCAGTTTGAAATTTTGTATAAATTTTTATTTTATTTTACAAAGTTACCATACAGCATTATTTATCCTATTTTAGGAAATTTTTTGAAAGACCTGATATTAAAATAAATGTATATTGCCAATTATAAATGTGATATAGCAACTGACTTATAATATATTACAAGAATATACGGTTTGGATACATTCACTGTTTATTTGACAAGTTGTTTTCAAGCAAAAACCTAATATTCAATAGTGACTGTATCCATATACCAAGTATTCTGGTCTTATATATATATGATATTGTCAAATTAATTAGTGTATTGCCAATGTTAAATGTGATATTTTTAAAGAAATAAAATTGATATTGGTAATAAAATATTATTTTATTAGTAGAATCTATTTTATATTATCATATATGTTTGTATGTATTTATCTTAGAAAAAAATATGTATAATATCAGAGAAAAACTTTTGTTTTATTTTTTATACATTCCCATGTTTCTTGTGAATGCTGTAGACACAATATATATCATCCGATCTTTGAAAATTTATACATGTTGTTTACATTATTGAGGCAATAATGATAGGGTGACCCACGCACCTACAGAAATACAGTCAACCGCTGATAGTTCGAGACTACCACTGAAGCGTGCACATTCGCCGTGTCGAGGCCAACTTTCTGACAGTATGATACTATAAATAGCCATGGCACGTACAATTCTCTACAAATCTATCAACTATTACAGCCGTAAAAAAATTATTGTTGACGATTTTGAATAGCAGTAAAATTAAGCTTCTTGGTCATTACAGCAGATTTAGAAATTACGTTCGTTTCATTTTTTAAATCGCTTTATCATTAACTGTACCGTTAAGAGCGGCATCTTTTGGTTTAGTACAAATAATATCTCAGAAACACTCGGGTTAGACAGGAACATGATACTAGCAGTAGTTTCATTTTACTTTTACAAGCTTCTTAAAACAATTGTTGAGCTAGCTAACGTGCTCATTTCTAAATTCAATTTCTTGTTCTAGCTTATGTTATGTTTCTTAAAAAAGTAGTCTTGATTATCCCGACCTGTCAATCAGCCCTAGAATGGTCGATAGACTGGTTAAGCGAGACTAATTTCAAAACAAGGGCATGTAACCTATCTTTTTCTCAAAAGTGTCTGGATGTTATGGACGACACATGGAACCAGTTTTCAGTCTATTATTTATAGATGATTAATGGTCATAGCTTATTAAGTACAACATGATCGTTTATTTAGTGACTATAATTGTGTGAAACTGATTTGAGGCTTGGCATATATATAAATATTGTGGCGAAATTGTCGAGATATATGGAGATATTTATTTATGGTGGGTCACCCTAATAATGAATTTCAGTAATGATGGTAACAAAGTCCAGAGTTATTGCCCTTGATTATTCTTTAGTGTCTTGTGAGCGAATGCTTAAGTCGGATTAATTGGCCATTATTTAGAATATAGACCTCGAAGTTAATACTGCAAAATCATAAAATCAACAATACCATCTTCATAATAAATTTCTACATTTATTCAGCAATTTATAAATATTGTGACATTGTTTTCTTCAACCCACAAACACATTTGTCATCTGGGGTTTAAAAAATTGGAACAGTAGGCCTATTATTGACTGTCTTTATTATAATATACATTCAAAAAGATAACAGGATAATTATAGCATGGTAAGCCGCAGTGGCTTAGTGAGTAAGGCACTGGCTCACTAACCAAGTGGTCCTGGCAAAATATCCCTCATAGCACACTGTCTGGGGGACACCCATCTCCTCTTCATTAGCCCAGTTGGTGGAGATGAGAAGGGTATTAAAACTTTTTGGTACATTCAGCTAAATCGATTTCTGGTGATATTCAGGCAAAAATAGAGAAATTTGGGCACCCAATCATGTGCTCCCTTAAAATCTAATAGTTCTCTATATATCTGTGATTATATCTATGATATGATTATCTAGGAATGTCTAGGATTTGAATACAGAACTTCATTTCTTTTCATGTCTAGTTCTTATTTTTCTGGAGTAGCAAGAACAAGAAAAGTGCTGCCTAACTGATCATTCAGATGGACGGAAAACGGAGGTAAATTTTTCTTGTTGGACCTTTTTACCGAAAATAAAGAGGCACAACTCTTGGCATCATTTAAGCAGAAGGATTCTGACCACAATAAAGAAATGTGTCAAAAAAGTATTCAAAATCCGTACGTAATAAAAATACATGCACCTTGCTGTTTTTCACAGGTAGATAGAAAAACTCTTCTGTATGGCTAACCTTTTCTCCTTAGTATAGCTCATGTGACCATGGTAAATATGAATACACGATTTACTATAAGTTTTATTAATTGATACATATAAGTACAGAATTTGACAAATTTCATCTTTGATTTATTATTAAAAAATTCTTAATGAAATAGCAAAATTTTTCTGCTTAGACCGGGCTAATGAAGACAGGTAATTTTTTTTAGACATTACTGTTGCTGTCTTGAAAAATGAACACCATTTATAAAAGCTGCCTTTACAGTTAAAAATATTTCTAAATTTGAAACTTTACCAAAAACACATAGTTTTCACCAGGACTCTCACATTATAAGAAAACAAATTCTTTGATTTGGGTAAAAAATAAACCAGCGGTTGCCAGGCAAGATACGCCCACATTTTGCAAGAGATGGACAAAGAAAACGCTAAAAAAATAAAATCGAATTTTTTGGTACAATCAGGGGTCATAACCAAAAAAAGTTTCCAGTCAGATATGCACGAATACCGAAAGGAACCAAGATCTTTTGGAAATGAACATATATTTTAAGTTTCATCAAGATCAGATAAAAACTGTCACCTGTAGAGTATCCACAAACAAAATGTGAACGAACAGACAGGGGCGATGACAATATACTTCCACATGAAAATATGGGCGTATAAAAATCAATTTTGTTACACATTATTCGATTTGACGCTTTATTTTTACCGAAATCAAAGATTTTTTTTGTCTTAAAGCCGCTGATCGTCTTTTTATTATTGATCAATTAATCAAGCAAACAAATCCAAAATATCAACGGTAGATAATCTTCTGGCTTGAATAAAATTGGATTAAATAGAGGCCCATCAAAAGATTATACCCAATACTTATAGGTGACACTGGCTAGTTTAAATCATCAGCAGAGGATGCTAAACTGTGTGAAATTTTTAATTCACCATATCTTTGTAAATACTGACAGGAATTGAACCAGTTTTTGAGAGATATTCCTTTTACATATTCAACTATTAAAGATTCTACTTTCACAATATAGTAGCAGACAATCAGTGACTTTAGTGGTTTTATTAGAGTTGTCTTTATCAGGTTTCAGGTGTATGATATATCAGCTAACATTATTATCTACTGGGTCTTTGGTAGGAAAAATTAATTTTTCTATTTGTTCTTCTCGTAATGTCAAATGAGGTCCCACTTGGTTCATGTCTGTGATTACATTGATTGGGGCCTGGAATAGAAATTAAAATAAATTAAAGATGCATTATGTAAGAGCTAAATCTGCCTATTGCAGGTCTTTGTTTTAGCTTTAAATATTATATAAACTATTATTTAGACATTTATTCACATGACAAGCCTATAATCAACTCTCTGGACCATTAAATGTATTAAAAACACTTGCCGGATTAAAAAATTTATTGACAAAATGGCTAATCGAGACTTCGTCTCCATTGTCTAGTACCACTGCTATGATAATAAACAATCTACTCTACAAATGAAACACCTAAGACTTCACTCAGAAAAAAGTAAACTAAATGAAATATTCAATATATATGTATTTCTTTTTCATTATCTATTTTTGAAATATTATAGAAAGAACAGACAGCTCTTTATCTAGATCATACATAATGCATCTTTAAAGTCTATGTGTGTCATTTTCATTTCTTCGGAAAATACAAAATTTTCCACTAGTTAATTAATGCTAAAAAGTAGTCAAATTCTGGAAGTTATTTTCAGAAATATTCTTCAATTTCCAACTACACAGAGATCTTTTATGTGCACTACCAATTTATACATTGAAAGTAAGTTTTTCATCTTTTTTGAACTACTGAGCTCTTAGTATGTTACCTTTATTTCTTTCATCTGTTTGTCTCTACTGCTATATTCTCTTAAAATATAATTATTCTCAATCTGTAATATAATAGACAGAAATCAGGTTTAAATCTTCCTATTGATACAGAGAAATCGGGTTTAACATTCACAATTACAAGACCACAGAAGAACCCAGATATTGCTTTAATGACAATTTGAGTATGACTGTAAATCATGTAATAGAGAAGATAACTCCGCTTGATTACTTAATTTCAACATAAAAGTCTGAAGGATTGAGACTAGTAACATAGCAATCTAATGAGTATTACTAGATCTGATTATACCAGTTGCTGTTTGATTCATTTAATATAATCCTTGTGCACAATAGTAATTTAACACAGAATACCGATAGACGATAATGCAATAGTTAGTTATATATCAATTGTGTTTTCGTTTTAGCTTTGATGTTGTACAATATTGTAAATGTATATTGCTGATGTCAGAAAAAATGAAAACAAAAATGTAATTTCAAGTTGCTTTAGTTACCTCGTAATAAATTCTCGTATCATTCACTCGAACTATGACATCATCAACTCTCATATAGAATCGCAATAATATAAAAAAACTGGAAGGCATCACTCTCTGAAAATATAAAATATAATATAAATCATAATACTTTAAGATGCATTATGTAAGATTCAGATAAAAAATGGCTGTTCTTGCTATCATAGATGAAAAATGAATATATTGAATATTTCAGTCAAATTAACTTTCTTTGAGCCAAGTTATCAGGCTTTATAGTTTTCACAACTATAGTCTTGATTGTCAAGTTTCATTGTTACGATAATAAACAAAGTCTTGTCTTGATGATTGATTTTTAAATTCAGTTATTAAATGACGATCTTGTTTTAATACACTGACTTTAATTAAAGGTGACCATCTGATGTTCCAGAAAGTTGATTATTGGCTTCAATGTGAATAAATGTCTAAATTAATAGTTTATAAAATATTTGTGGCCAAAAGAAAGATCTACAATAGGCTGATTTATACCCCTGTCAGACTGGGGTAGCGTCCTTACTGCGCTGCTACCGCGATGGAAAATGGTCTCAGTGCGCGCCAAGATCGCCATAAGCCTTGTAAAAACGTGGTGGAAATGATAGATATCGTGCTGTGGTCTCCATGGTCGCCAATGATCGCTGAGTAGCAACGTTTGTTTTGAGCATAATCAAAACAAACGCCAAAGTTCTGCGATCTGACCCAGAAAGCTGGAGAACAAGGTTTTTTTTAAGATTGTAATTTTTGGGACATTTTCTGGCATTGTGTTGACATTTGCTGGCGACCTTATGCATTTTCTGGTCGCCATAAGGTCGCAGCAGCACAGTAAGGACCCAATCCTGGTCCGACGGGGGCATTAGCTGTTACATAGTGCATCTCTAAATTCCCAGTCAACTTCAAGATTTAAAACCACTGATTGTCATTTCTAGGTTTTGGACAATATCTAATTTTTCACAACGAAATCCATGCATAAATGTACTCATATTGATTAACATTTAAGAAAACAAAACCAAAATATCAACAGAAGATAATCTCTCAGCTTGGAACCAACTGGATTAAAAAAAAGGCTCATCAAAAGATTTTATATAACACTTATAGCTTGCGCTGGCTATATTATCTGCAAAGTGCGCCGAATGTTGCAGAGTTTTTAATTAATCATATCTTTGTAAATACTGAATGGAATTGAACCATTTTTGGACTGATATTCCACTCCCCCAATACTGAAAGGGATTCAAAATCTGTCACAAAACATTCAGAAGTGTTAACAAATAATTAGTAAAACATTAATAGTAATTATTATTATAAAATCTTCAGCTATCTAAGTTTATTGTCCCTTTCTAGAAACAAAGCACCTGTATTAGTTTCTTTTGCAAGTAAAATATCTAATATTCTTTTAGAGTAGCATAATTTAGATGGTTTATCATACCATGGCTGGAGAGAGGCAGATTATTATAAAAACAAACTAGGTGAATTTAGTATGCACAAGTTTTTTTATTTTGACAGTAAGTTAAACTTATCATGAGTAACATTTAATTCTTAAAATGTTCAAAGTCTTATAACTATTTATAAAGAACTAGTAATAAACAGTTACCCTGAACCTTTGTTATTATCTAGGTGTCAATTCTATTCTATAGGTAAATATTTGTTTTACCATAGACGGATGTTAGGAACACCACTGACGATCTCAAATATATCTATATATGTAGGGAAAGAATCGCATCATTTTATTTAAATCTGTAAATAATATGTCGGCACATTCCCTGTTATAATCTAGGTGCCCTTAATAATCTTTTGATAAAACTTATTACCAACAGACTGATATAACACCATTTTCTTATATATAAAACTTATTAGGCCTACCAACAGACTGATATAACACCATGTTTTGTATACAAAACTGATATATCTTATATATAAAACTGATATACCAACAGACTGATATAACACCATATCTTATATAAGATAGGTTGCCAGCCAACGAAACATACACCCACAGCAGCTAAGTCGTCCGGGAATTTAACAAGGGTTGTCACATATTTTTTTTCCTTTGTCAGAAATGAAAACATTTACAACACACTAAAATCTGATTACGAGTAACAACTCATTTGGCTTTTACTTCTGCCCTATTCTAACATTTAGCATACAAAACAAAACAATATCAATTTCAATAATCATCGGAAATCGTTGAAATTTGACAGGCTTCTTCATCTCATGACCTTAAACACTGTGTATAAATTTTAAGTCAATCGGATATTACCTTTAGCGTCTAGAGCTTCGAAAAGATATTTCAAAATGATCAAGGGCCATAACTCTGACAGTAATTATTGGAAATAGTTGAAAATCATTAGGTTTCTTCGTCGCATGACCTTAAACACTGTGTATAAATTTAAAATCAATGGGATATTAACTTTGGCCTATAGAGTATGCACAAGCAATTGGACGCTGGCCAGACGTACGGGGGCAACAATAATATATGACCACATTTCAATGTGGCCGTATAATAAAACTTATACCCAACACTGATATAACATCATATCTTATATATAAACTTTATTACCAACACTGATATAACACCATATCATATATATAAAACTTAATAACAACAGACTGAAATAACACTATATTTCATATATAAAACTTATTACCTACAGACTGATATAACACCATATTTTAATTTAATTTTATATTTAAAACTTATTACCAACAGACTGATATAACACCATATTTTATATATAAAACTTATTACCAACACTGATATAACACCATAATTTATATTTAAAACTTATTACCTACAAACTGATATAACACCATAATTTATATTTAAAACTTATTACCTACAAACTGATATAACACCATAATTTATATATAAAACTTATTACCAACATTGATATAAAACCATAATTTATGTTTAAAACTTATTACCTACAAACTGATATAACACCATATTTTATATTTAAAACTTATTACCAACACTGATATAACACCATATTTTATATTTAAAACTATGCTCACACAAAATTTGAAGAAAATCCACTAAAAAAACAAACTATACTCTTCAAAAAAAGTAGGGGATATTCAGAAACAATACAAAACTGCGGAAATGCACTGCTGTTTTTATTAGAGGTAAACAGTGTACGTTAATAACAGGCCAATTGCCTACACATGAACATAAACAGTTCATATGGGCAGCTTATTTGATGGCCCCATTTCACTCGCAAAGAGATACACTGTGAAAAGTGAAAATGAGTAATTGCTCGATCAATCCTCAGATATTCAGCAATTCGTCGTGGCATGCTCCTAATCAACCGTCCAATCACAATTTGGGGCAATCTGACCCACTCCTCTTGCAGTGGCACGGCCAATTCTTGCATTGTTCTCGGTTGATGTTGATGTCGACGAAACATCTCCCGATCAAATTAAACGTAACACAGTAAAGCAAAGATACGCTAACCAGTAAATCTTATGCAAGAACCGAAAGGAAAGCAAACATGGATAGGATAAACCAGCAAGCGTCAGTTTTCATCAACCCTTAATTGAAGTTTCAAATTTGACAATGAACCCCTCCCACTTGTATGGCGCTATTGCGTGTCGCACATGCAGCTCAGTGGTTCTGTTGGGGCGATAAGTTCTTCATCTGTGAACATACTCTCAAAGCATGTCAAGTGTCCATGACTATTTATCATATCACAACCTGCATAGGTATTTGCATTTCAATATCCCCTACTTTTTTTCAAAAGTATAGATGAGATGACAGTTACTTTCCCCTAATTTTGTATGCACAACTTCATTGTCCCTTTTCACTCAATTAAACTTATCATGAGAAATGATCGATACTGAAATGTCAAAAGCAAGACAAACTGTTTATAAATAGCTAGTTATAAACAGCTACGATGATCCCTTGTTATTATCTAGGTGTACAATCTAATCTGAAGGTAAATATCTATTACCATAGACAAATGTAATGAACACCATTGACGATTGCATGTAAGAAAAGAGTCCCAGCATTTAATTTAAATCTGTAAATAATATGTCAACACATTCCCTCTTATAATCTGTATAAAACTTATTACCAACAGACTGAAATAACACCACATCTTATATATAATACTTACCAACCCTGATATAACACCATATCTTATATATAAAACTTATTACCAATAGACTGCAATAACACCATATCTCATATATAAAACTTATTACCAACACTGATATAACACCATATTTTATATTTAAAACTTATTACCTGCAGACTGATATAACACCATATTTGTTTTAAACCCTTTGATGCATTACTTCAATCAATGATTATGAAAAGATCCACACTTTCATAAAAGCTATGAAAATATTATAATTTGATCTTTTCTTGTCATTTTTTGAAAGACAGGAAACAACTACTCTATAGCAGAAACAGACTGATATAACACCATATTTGTCTTAAATCTTAAACCCTACAGAGCATAAATTTTTATGTAGTTTGTGAATTAGTGATTGTGAAAACCCCTTTTTTCCTTATTAGTTTGACATATTTTCCAAAAATACAAATGAAGTTCAGTGTCTTTAAACATGAAAACATTTCTTACCATAACTTAATATTCTACACTTTAACATAGGATTCATCTTCTCATGACCACAATGATCACACCAAATTTGAAGAAAATCTATTAAAAAAATCAAACTAGATGACAGTTACTTTCCCCTAATTTTGTATGCACAACTTCATTCGCCCTTTTCACTCAATTCAACTTATCATGAGAAATGATCGATACTGAAATGTCAAAAGCAACACAAACTGTTTATAAAGAGCTAGTTATAAACAAATACCCTGATACTTTGTTATTTTCTAGGTGTACAATCTAATCTGCAGGTAAATATTTATTACCATAGACGAATCTTATGAACACCATTGACGATTGCATGTAGGGAAAGAGTCCCAGCATTTTATCTAAATCTGTAAATAATATGTCAGCACATTCCCAGTTATAATCTAGGTGCCCATAATAATCTGTAGATAAAACTAATTACCAACAGACTGATATAACACCATATTTATACACAAAACATATTACCGACACACTGATATATAACACCATATCTTATATACAGAACATATTACCAACACAATGATATATAACACCACATCTTATATATAAAACTTATAACCAACACTGATATAACACCATATCTTATATATAAACCTTTTTACCAACACTGATGATATAACACCATATCATATATATAACTGATATAACTTATTACCAACTGAGTGCTAAAACACCATATCTTATATATTCATAAAACTTATTACCAACAGACTGATATAGCACCAGTCACCATTGTCTTAAACTCTTAACAGCAGAAACTGACTTATATAACATTTTTTTAAATTCCTTAAGACTGCAACAACGTGAAAGTGGAATCTCCAAAAGGAATATCTGTTCAAAACTATTTCAATTCTGTTCAATATTCACAAAAATATGATTGATTGAAAATTTTGCAATATTTGGCAATCTTAAACCGTTTGATTCCCATCCTCGGTTACCCAGTGTACTCATTCCGTTCTACTCCACTATACCCTGGGTTAATCTATGGGGGAGACATGTTTTCAAGTTAACCGCCCTTGATGATTGTGCTATTTTCATCGACCAATCCCATAAATTTTATTCGAAAAGGAAGTTGGCAAAGGTAAGTAACTCTCATCGGACAATGTTAGGAGTTGGCCTATTCTAAATGTGTAATTATTAACAACAAATTATATATTATGTTAATGAAGACCAGATGTTCATTTCATAATGTAGGGTCATTAGTTTTATTTAGAATCCTTCGTTCGTTCCTGGAATTTTATGTACATGTGATATCGTCATATTGTAGACAAGTTATTGTGAATCAAATTGCCAAGTATAAGTTCAATAATAATAAACATAACAGAATGAAACATTTCAGACAAAGAGCGAATAGTAATAATAATGACAAAAGTCAAACATATAGATGTTATACATATTTGAAATCAACAACACATACTACAGATTTTGATAATACAATTAAATATAAATAATTTATAAATATACATTATTTAAATAAATCATTCAGTAAATGGGTATGAATATGGTTATCTACCCTTATAAAAACGAAGGCAAAACGATTGGTTTGTAAACTGTTTTCTGATTGGTTCGTAGACTGTAGCTACATTCTAGGCCAGGGCAGATAATTTAAAATCGTGGAAACCCTATGGATTAACCCAGGGTATTGTGGAGTAGAATGGAATGAGTACACTGGGTAACCGAGGATGTTTGATTCCTACCATTGATATTTTGGTTTTGTTTTCTTAATTAAATGTTAATTAAACATGCATTATGCCAGAGCTAAATCTGCCTTAACTTATCCAAACCATAAGCAACTCTCGATACCATAGCTAGCCTGCGATATTTAGCGGATAGAAATACATTTTTTGAAAAATAACTAAATGTAAATAATCGAGACTTTGTTTTTTTTATTGTACCGGCTTTAGTAATGATGATTAAGGCTAGCCTAAAATTCAAAAGCTAATATCTCGGTTCAGAGTGGAGCAATTTGACTAAAATTTTCAGCATATTCTATTTCGGCTATCTATTTTTTAACTATTTTAGCGAGAACTGTCAACTCTTTATCTAATCTCCCATAATGCCCCTTTAATCAATTTGAGTACATCTTAGTATTTGTGAAAAATATTGCACAATTGTATTTGAATAATTTGCTTCCGCATGGGGGTTTTGGGACAAAACTCATGAGGTTGGACTGGTGTCCCTCTTCCTGGTCATTAAAGATACAGATTGAAACCACACCAGTTGACTTAGGACACAGACCTTATGATCTAAAGCACACGCAATCGAGCACTCTGGCCATCCCCCTTTAAAAATGAAAACAATTATTAAGATAACTTAACTTACTATTTTACAGTTTAACATAGAACTACCATTATCAGATAATTCATCTTCAAATAACAAAAAATCATCATAAAACATGATCTGGTCTCTTCTCTTTAACTTTTCTAAATCTATTCTCTCTGTTGTCGATTCCATCTGTATGATAAAACAATTTATAATTTTAATCATTTTATAAAAGTTCTCCATGAAGATTGTCTAATCACTATTTATAAGCAGCCCCCCAAGGGGTGGCCCAAAGATGACCTTTAAGAACAGGGCCCTGTTTCACGAAATTTTAACTAAGATAAAATCCAACTTTTAGTAATTTGATTGGATAATATACTATTCAAAAAAAGTAGGGGATATTTGATTTTTAAGTGTTATTAAAGTCACCTAATGAAACTGACGAAGAAACAAATGACAAAATGAAATGAAGTTCACATTCATCGATTTATTCCAAATGATCGTTAGACTAAGTAAGGCACAGACTGACCATTATAAGGGTAAAATGATACCCGGGGTCAAACAGCAAAGTTACCACAGCATCACAACCAAGTCAGTAACGGGTAAATCCTCCTCTGTTTGCCAAACAAGCATTGATCCGACGTGGCATACTCCTAATGAGACGTCTAAGGTCATTTTGGTCCAGATTGTCCCATTCCTGTTGCAACGCAGCAGCAAGTTCTTGGACATTGGCAGGACGTTGTTGACGTTGACGTAACCTCTGTCCAAGCATGTCCCAGACATGCTCGATGGGGGAGAGGTCGGGACTCAGTGCTGGCCAAGGTAATGTGGTGATGTTCTGTTGTTGGAGGTAACCTGTAACGATCCTGGCCCTGTGACATCTTGCGTTGTCATCCTGGAAGATGAAACGGCGGCCATGACGTCGTGCGAACGGCACAACATGGACTGCCAAGATGTTGTCCCGGTAGTACTGGCCTGTAACACGCCCTGCAACATCATGTAAAGCCGTTCTTCCAGCAACAGTGATGCCTCCCCACACCATAACAGAACCACCCCCAAATCGATCATGTCTGATGACGTTAACGTCTTGGAAGCGCTCGTTTCGACGACGCCACACCCTCCTACGTCTGTCCAAAAAATCAACAGTGAACCTTGACTCATCTGAAAACATCACATTGCTCCAGCGTCGATTATCCCAGTGTTGACGATCCCTACACCAACGACGTCTTGCCTGAATGTGATGATCTCTCAAACAAGGGATCACGCGAGGACGTCGGGCGCGAAGGTGACCCCTATGCAGTCGATTCCGAATCGTCTGGCCACTCACTCTCACACCAGTGTCTGTTTGAAGACGAGCGCTGATCTGATTTGCTGTGATGACACGATTTCTCAAGGCCAAGGTACGGATAAATCGATCCTGGGCTTGAGTTGTCGCCCTTGATCGACCTGACCGTGGTCTGTCCTGTACAGATTGTGTATCACGGTATCTGGACCATAGCCTGCTTATGACAGACTGAGAAACATTCATCGTCCGCGCCACAACCGCCTGTGTTGTGCCGATCTGTAGCATGCCAAGGGCACGTAACCTTTCATTTTGGGTAAGCCGACGCATATCAAAATTTGTTTTCTGGTCACTAAAACAATTAAACTGATGTTTCCATCCTGGAATTCAATGCCACAATGACTGTAACATTCAAAGTCCGAGTCGTGCAAATCTTGGGTTGGACCCCCATGATGATCCCAAGCATCACCTGCATTCCATGCGGTAGCTATTGGTGCGTTTGGGCGTCACATGTAACTGGAAATGTTTCTTCTGTTAGGTTCTATAGTGACTTTTTTCGTAGTCATTTGCATATTTTAGTATTATGCCCCCAAAATCAAATATCCCCTACTTTTTTTGAATAGTATATTAGATTGATTTTAGTGCTTAGCCAATCAAAATTGAAGTATCTACTAAAATTTGGATTCTATCTTTAGTTAAAATTTTGTGAAACAGGGCCCTGGTAATACATGTCAACTTATAATGGATATGGCATTTGGGACTCAGCGGATGTTTAAAGCAGGTGGTCATTTAAAGGAGGCAAGTCGCTAATTTAATATCATCCACAGTCTTCGACATTGCAAACACAACTTATTGGTCAATTTAAATCAACATTGATGTTGTGATCTTACCGTGAAAAGATGGTCTTCTGACTGCAATATTTAAGACAAAATGAACATTTTTAAATTGGAACATGAATTGCGTGCCAGTGCCAGAATGCTTTCAAGCGGCATTTGTAATGACGGTAAAAACGATTGAATGTAAATTTGTTTATATACATTCATCTTACATTATATGCATTGCGACCCATTTTTAGTTGTCAAAGAATAGAGATTAGCTCCTTTAATAGAGACGACATGTAGGACCTGGTTAATTAACCCTTTGAACACAAGTAGACATGACATTGTAGTGACCATAGTCCAAGTGACTAGTTCTCTTTACAGTGTGTCACTTTTGGAATCATGAAATTTTGGAAATAAGACATCAAATTGTTCGCATAATTCAAAAGTCAAAATTATGCTCTATTCTAATGTAATGACTGTTGCCATTATTTCAGTGTAAATATTGTTGTTAATATTTTAATCTAAAGACTGTTGTAATTATTTTAATGTCAAAACTGATGCCATTATTTCAGTGTAAATACTGTTGTAATTATTTTAGTCTAAAGTCTGTTGTTATCATTTTAATTTAAAGACTGTAGTAACTATTTAGGTCTAAAGACAGTTGTTACTATTTTAATGTAAAGACTGTTGCTAATACATAATAAAAAGTTACTGTGTCTGGGTGATTAATTGTACATAAAAAAAATTACTTTTATATTTCCAAATACAGTGCCTTTATAATCTGTAGAAAACGTCCAATCAAATGGTTTTACTACATTTTTTATATGTTCACAATCAGACCTGTAACAAATAAAACTGAAAGTAAGCTGAAATTAAATGAAATGGGGTTTAACATTCTACTTTTCTAAACCAACTTTGCTAATGAAGAGAAGCAGTTTTGCTTAAAAAGAGCAGCAGTCGCAGTGAGTGCTATGAGGTAAAATTTTGCCAACTTTGTACTTTTCTGCACCAACTACACTAATGAAGATGGGCATACACCATGCAGTGAGCCATGAGGAACATTTTGCATAGGCAGTGGTGTGACTTGCCAGGCCATCCGTCCTGCACCATTGACAAGGGAAAACCATGCTGGAAAACCCAGAGAAACTTTCTCTGCCAATATGGATGGATGATGTGTGTGACGGCAATATATGAGCACATTTAAATTAAGGACATATCTTTAGTACAGTAATTATGTTGATGACATTAGATTGGTCATATGAATAAAGTGACATGCGTCTAACAAGGAGCTGTGTGGGATGCCTTAATGAATGTACTGCTTTTTATGTGTTTTGGAAAGCAGTTGATAGGCTATGGAAAGATGCACATTTTGGAACAGTTTCTAGGCTGTTTACTATGATAAGACATATGGACATTTATTGAGCTCTATCTAGACTCAAATTCATGTTGGCTATAGGGTGTACATTTAGGAGAAGTTTATAGACTCCCACACTTGTTGACTATAGAACTATGGGAGGTTGTCCATTCATGAAGCAGATTATAGTCCATGACACTTGTTGACTATATGAAGTTGGTGTATATTTGTTTTACCTCGCTTCTTGCCATGCTTTAGCACTAGCCACTTGTAAAGGATCATTATGAGCGTCAACTCCTTTTAAAGCATCTAAAGCATTAAATTCCACACCAAATCCATCTGTATGTTCTAACCGTAAAATATTTTCAGCAAAAACCATTTCCGGTACTTGAGGTAATTCTAAATCTTTATCAAACCTGAATAATACAAAATGAAAGTAACAGAGGTCATACAGATATATTTAACGAATCTAATCAAAGTCTATATTGAATAACATTTGACATAGTCTGCTCGATGTTATAAAGTTTTGAGTAGTCTAACAGATGCCCTATTGACAAGATGGTCTGTCATTGATCCAGTGCTTGAGGCTTTGATTGCATGCTTGTACTTGGATTCCAGGATTGTAAGTAACAAGGAGTAGGCTTTTTTCTGTTTCCTTCCACTGTCAACTTCTATGTGAATTATTGAAATAAATATATACCATAATGTAAACTTAACAATGACCTGGTTTGTATTGGTTGGATGTTTATTTCCATTTCTCTCTGTCGATTGTTTAAGATGAGACTTTATATCAGTATGGATTTGGATTACTATACCTCTCTCTTTCTGGTCCTTCTGATTTTAAGATGTGACTTTTAGTTGATGTTAATTGCCATGGACCAAACTCATACTTCTGAGTCACTGGGGATTTTAATGAAATGTTATTTCTGGTTAAGATGAGACTTTATATCAGTATGGATTTGGATTACTATACCTCTCTCTTTCTGGTCCTTCTGATTTTAAGATGTGACTTTTAGTTGATGTTAATTGCCATGGACCAAACTCATACTTCTGAGTCACTGGGGATTTTAATGGAATGTTATTTCTGTTAGCCATATTTTCAATTTAATTCTTAGTTTTTCTCGCCCTACTATCCTAATACCATTAAACCTAGTAACTGTATTGAAGTTTATAATTACATTTCTGAAAAATTAGAAAAATATTATAAATGTAACAGTGTAATATTGCACCTGCTTTCATTTATTCAATCCTGGAAATAAGGCACCTGTCACTGACTATCTCAGGCACAGATTCAGGCTTTGTCAGGCACAAAACCTCCGTTCTTTGTCATTTAGTCCGGCACTGATTTGTCTTCTTTATTGATATTATTAATACATGTCCAGGACTAAGTTGAAAACATCAGGTACTATTTCATTAGCGCCTGACATTTTGTCACGTACATCTAAAAGCGTTATTTCCAGGCCTGCATTTATTCATTGTCCGATATATCACATGATACAATTACTACCCCAGTCTCTAGGATACAGGTAAAGCCTGCTACCTCCCTTTATCCTTGAGCTCTTTAGAAAGAGTCCAAAGTTTTTCTGCACAAAAACCAAATACTTATATCCATTAATTAACAGCTAGTAAACTGGAATACATGTGTCTTATTCAAGGACACAGGAACTTTATGCACAATTCGGATACCGTAGAAATGAAAGGGTTAATCCAGAAAGTAGGATTGGTCCTTTCCCATTATGAGCATGCCACAATATCGCCTATAGACAATGAATTAGGACTATGAGTAAACTAAATGGATGTCCCCATCATCTCTCAATGTTGGCTTATAATGTCAGTTGGTACCGGTATAGCTAATTTTATAAAGAAATATGGTTCAGGACAAAAAGTGTGGGCAGTACTTCCCAAATACTCTTATGTATCGGTTAGGTTTGCAATGGGATTTAGTGAGGCCCCCCAAAATATCTCCAAATTAAATTCGGAACAAAATTACCTGTATGCCTACCCATTTCTCTCTCTTTTAATAGATTAAACGTTTCAAAAATGATTGTAGAAATGAAATAAAATAGGGTTTAGCGAAGTTAGCATCCTACTGTTCTGCTCTGACTAGGCTAATGAAGACGAGCATACACCATGCAGTGTATTATGAGGGAAATTTTGCTCAGACAGTGGTGCTACGGCCTACTCTTATATCGAATTCCAACTGCCAAAGGATCTTTTACATGCATGCCAAAGTGTAGGCTACACGGAACCTCAGTTTTTTGTCCCATCCGAAACAACTAGGTCATGCACCACTGACAAGGGTAAACCATGCCGGAAAATCCTGAGGAACTTTATCGGCCAGCACTGGGATCGAACCCACTACCTCCAAGCTAGCGAGCCAGCATCTTACTCCCTTTGCCACTGTGGATCCATCAAAAATGAATGTTAACAACAAGCACATTATATATTATATATCATTGTGATTGATAATAGCTAAAATCATTAGGCCCTATTGAAATATCGCTAAATTGTATTCCATAAAGAAATGAAATGGGGATTAACGTTCTACTGTTTTGCTCCGAACTGGGAGCAAGACGGGCATACACCATACAGTGTGCTATGAGGGAAATTTTGCCCGGACAGCGGCACTACTCTTAGCTATATTGAATTCCAACTTCCAAGGGATCTTTTACATGCACGCCAATGTGTACATGGGACCTCGGTTTTTCGTCCCATCCGAACGACTAGACAGCTTTCCTTGTATTCCATAAAAGAGTTGTGTTTTATTTAAAGGAGCTAAGTCTCTAACTCAATATTATCCAAAATGTTCAACACTGAAAACACGATTTATTTGTCAAATTAAATCAACATTCATGTTGTGATCTTACCGGAAAAAGATGGGCTTTTGATATCCAATATTTAAGACAAAATAAACATTTTACCATTGGTACACGAATCGTGTACCATAATGCGCTTCAGCCCCAGATGTATCAAGAGACTCGAGGGATGAGGCTCGACACATTGCACCAAATCAAACGGCGTATGTAGACTGGAATAACCAGACGCTAGAAATTTGCACTTGCCAAACATAACTGATTTGAAATTGGAGTAAAAACGGAAACCATTGAATGTAAATCAGTTTATAATACATTCATATCACAGTATTATATGCGTTGCGACTCACTTTTGTCAATTTCTAGGTCCCAAATGTTAGCGATTTAGCTCCTTTAATATGAGTGTAACCAATACTGCATGCGACTCGAAAATAAACACTAAAATCTTTGCCTTTTGGCTTTGCTTGAGTTTTTTTTGTAATTTAAATTGTTGATCCTTTGTGATTAAATTTTGATTTTCAAATTAAGACCCGAGATTAAATATTTACCCACAAACATCTAAATAAAGTTCAAAGTTGAAGTCTGTATCAATATTAATATTGTAGAAAATAACAGTTTGTATAATTTGTATACTTACTTTAAAGACAAAATACATTATTTCACCGAAAACAAAATAAACAATTTTAGAGTTACCTTTCCTTTCATTGCAGTCTTGATTGTACCAGTGTACATATCTTCCGGCTTGTTAATCGAGTCGTGATGTAATAACAACAAAAGTGAAAGTAGCAATCCATTCGTTTGTTAAATTTATTGCACAATTCGTGGAAAATATATATTTTTCTAGAAAAGTGTACTAAATATCAGTCCATGGTGAAATAGTCTGTTGCATAAATTATGAGAGAAATATATTTCACAATACACCGAAAAGTAAATCTTCGTTATAAATACGTCCGGGAAGTTCTGCAAAATTTATATCTAAATTAATAACCAGACTCTACCACGATGATAATTTCTAGTGCTTAGGAAAAATTAGAAGAAAAGAGTTGCTTTTGAAGTTTTTTTGAAAGAAAATTTACCAGGTATGAAATCGATCGTAAGCTTGGATAGGCCTACTTTTTTTTTTTTTTATCATACAAGCATTTTGATTTTCCAAGAGCATTTAAAATTGCGCCGAATTTGTACTTTTCTGGTAGTTATAGTTATAAGTATAATGTTAGTTTAAAAAATGTTTTCGTTAATTTTATATGTATAATAATATGCTGTCTTTTTGCTATGTTACCGTATAATTTTTAAATCTACTTAACTTATAACTTTTGCTAATTCATTGAAGCTGAAATGAAGATTAAATACAATTTTTATTTTTTTTTTATTTCATATTCAACTGTTTCATTTCAGATATAAATTAATCAAAATGGCAAATGAAAAATACTCTACTGCTTTAAGAATGTGTAAAGAAACGACAACGATCGAAACCATAATTGACTTAACGAAACATGAACATCCGCAAGTCAGAAAGAGAGCTTTACGAGAGATGTGTCCATGCCGCGTTAAAAAGGACCATGAAGATTTCTGGAACCGAGTGTTTGAAATGATCCACGATGAAAATGCAGATGTTCGACAACAAGTTTTACACACGATTTGTGATGGTAGTCCAGCTCACTTAGAAGATAAAATTGCTGAAGCCTTAGAATCATTCAACCACGATCCAGAAACAAAAATACGTAGAATGGCTCATAAATGTTTAACTCATTATAACAGAACTGGAAAATGGAATATTTTGTGATTAGAAAATTATTTTTGGACTTTTGTGATTTTTTGCCTTTCAGCTCTGTGTAAAAAAAGTCTGATACAAGACAATTTTTAAAATGTGATCAAATATTTGTGGCGAAGAAGACATGTTTTTCTTTTGTGTTTAACTCTATGAGGTGAGAAAATTCTAAAATGTGATCAATTATATCTTGAAAATGAAATGAAATGGTTTATAATGTCCTATGCAATACAGTGTTTTATAAGGGAAATTTTGCCTGGACAGCAGCACTACGGCTTACTCTAATTTCAAATTCCAACTGTCAAGGGATATTTTACATGTACATGCGCGTCAGTGTGTACACGGGACCTCTTTTTTGTCCCATCAGAACGACTATACATTATCCCTTATTTAAAAGGGGGAACCATCTCCGAAACTCAAGAAGAACCTCCAGATTAATGACCCAACATCTTACTCACTGAGCCACTGTTGATCCCTTCTTGAAAATGATAGACATAATCTCTTTTGGTGTTGAACATAATCTGTCAAATATATCTGCTCAATATTTAAATATTACCAGTGGCCAAAATGAATTTGTATCAAGTCTTTTTTTGTGTTCAGGTCTGTATGCTGTGAAGATTTTTGACTGTGACAAGAGTGTATAATTTAGCATGAATGTGAGAAAAAATTCAAACCATTCTATGACAAAACATATCAAAGATATAACTTTGTAAATTGAAATATCCAGACAATACTATGTACCTATATTAGTTTAAATATGGTACATCATAATAAAAGTTCCTGCAAAATCTTTTTTTTTGTTTTATTTATTTAATAGGTTGCCATGCAGTGAAACATATGCCTACAGCAGCTAATTCATCCCAGCAGTCATTAGAGGCTGTCACAATTCTTTATTGTGTAATTGGAGCATTTATAAGACACTATAGACTGATCAAAGGCAACAACCTTTATGACATTCTGAACATCTGAAACACGCTACCTGCGGAAAAGTATCTCAGACACAGTCAATAGCCATGATATCCATATCACGTGATCTACACATCACAGGTCATGACATTGACGTCAATGGGTCATGAGGTCAACAACATGTTACATTATAAACAATAGGTTTATCTTCAGCATTGTTTCCTTTGCACCCATAAAGACTATATAATTCGTCCAGTCCATAGGCGTACGAGCCAGGGGGGCAGGGGCAGGTGGGGGGGGGGCAGCTGCCCCCCTAACTTTCGGGCAAGCTGACTTTTCGGGCAGATGGGTAAAGTGAAAATTTTTTTTTATTTCATCTACTTGGCATTGGCAAAATAAAATGCCTGAAATCTAATAAAACACTAATTTTACGGGCTGGAATAGCAGTAAAACGTGTTTGCAGCCGTCAAATATTCTAAAATTTTCTTTGGGGGTCCATACAAGGTCAGCTCCGCTTCTTCGCCTCTCGAAGAAAACCGGCGCCGCTGTCTGTAAACCTGAAATTTTTTCGGGCATTTCTAGTTTTTCTCCCCTAACTGTCATCGAGCCCTAATAAAACACTAATTTAACTTTTATTTTAATTGAATACCACAAATTTATACAGAGTTGACTATGGATTAAAACATTTTGTCTGGAGCCACTCTACTTTGTGCGACATTTTTCGGGCATCGATTATTATTTGTGAATGCAGCTGCAACAGTCTGATTGGATGGTTGGAATTCAGAATGGGATTTCGGTTACAAAACCATTGGATACTTTTTGAGTTGCTTACACGGGCTAGAATAGCAGAAAACGCATTTCAGTGGTTAAATTTTCAAAAATTCCTCCGGGAGGGTGAGGTCCCCATACCCCGCGACAATTGGTTAGTTGTTTGGAATTCGGGTCAGCCAGGCAGGCTATATAGGACCAAATTAAGTTGCTGTATTCACAGGCTGGAATAGCAGGAAAACGCGTTTGCGGCAGTTAAATTTTCAAAATTTTCTCCCAGCGGTCCCGTCTCCGTGGACTGTAAACGATTGATCTTTTGATTGGAATTCGAGTCAGCCATCTTCATTAGCCTATATTAGACCACTTTGAAGTTGCTTTGTTCACGGGCTGAAATAGCAGGAAAACGCGTTTGCGACCGTCAAATGTTCCAAAATTTTATTGGGGGGAGCGGGGATCCACACAAGGTAAGCTCCGATTCTTTGCCTCTTGAGGAAGACCGCGCCGCTGTCTGTAAACCCGAAATTTTTTCGGGCATTTCGGGTTATGCCCCCCTAACTGTCATCGAGCCCGTACGCCTATGGTCCAGTCCCAACATGTTCTCTCTTCTTCCAATGATTTTTCACAAAAATAACATCTACAACTCATAGAATTGACCTCGTCTTCAATGACAGCGTCTTCGAATGGTTGTTCATAGAGGCAGTCATTTTGGCACTATTTTGTGCGTTGGTCGTGTCTATTTCAGATATACACAATCAATTCTGTTGATGTTTTTAGGGTTGGGATTGACTAATAGTTAATTTATTTCACTTCTAAAACAAATATTTTAAACTTTAACGCAAATTTAGAAAATAGCCAAATTCTGGCTGGGATTACTGAGCAAAATGGCCATTCACTGTGTACGTGCGAAAAAAAAGCTGGCCATCAATAAATTTTCGTACGTTAGTTACGTACGCCCTTATGAGAAATAATTAAATTTGATAGGCTCCTAGTTTATTATTTGTATCAATTACAAGTCAGTCATATGATATCCTTAGCCTCAAGGCATTCACAAGAACTTTTAAATCAAATATCAAAAGGCTTCATCTTGTGAACATAAACATTATTGATAGGATGAGAACTTTTGGCTTTGAAGCATCCACAATATGGTGATGTTCATGTGGGAGAATAAGAGGGTTTATGAGCATTACATGGTCAGATGAATAAGCAATATAGAACATAACATTTATGTTAAATCATGTAAAATTGAACATTTTTTTTGTACTAACAGGTGAATATAACTAAGCAGTAAGCACTAATGCCTCTCTAAAGGTCACAACCGCTAATTACAAAAATCATCTTTGTAAAATCATGGAATGGAATGGAGATTTAAGATCTTGTGATAGATTTCATGTCAACAGTGCCTGTTTTATACCACAGGGGAAAATTTGGTCGGGATCACGTTGTTGCCAATATAATGTTCTTCGGATTGCAACTCCCAAGGGTTCTTTTAAGTGCTTGTCAATATGCACATGGATTGACCTTGCTTTTTCATCCCATATGTACATACAGACACAATTTCCTTGTCATACCAGCAAATGTCACCCTAGGCAATTGTGACGGCTGACGATTCTTCTAAGCCCACGGCCCCACACTTGAAATCGATACCTGACTATCACACCCTTTCGAGTGAAAGTGAATTTTCGATTGAATTGAATAGACCTACACAATTCACGTAAATAACAAATTTATTGTTATTTATCAGACATGATCAATGCAATGACAACAATATTTTCCAATCATGAAATATGAAAAATCCCATTGTTTTTGCTAAAACTAAAACAAGAGACAGTTTAAAATGAAACAAATACAAGTACATGCAAAATTACAATTTAAATTTTGTCTCCAAAATCAGTGTTAAAATCCTAAAGCATTTCTCTCTAAAGGTTTTCAGGATACTGACTTTTCATTGGCTAAGAAATAAAATTATATCTGAGATTTTAGCAATCAAGCCAATGAAAAGCCTTTATCATGAACACATTTTGTGCATGAATAAGGAGACTGATCAAATGAACAATGAAAGTTTCAAATAATTCTATTATATTCTACTATATTTTCATACAGACACATGAACACAGGTTGATGAGGATTAGTTGTAACTAGAATAATTTCCACAGGTTAACCAACCATGTCAGATACTATTTTCATGGCTATTTTGGTGGTTGGCAACTCAGTTTCCTGATGAAAAACAGTTGTGGAGTAGATAACAACCGCTTTCCTGAATGTTATTCGAAATAAAAATCTATGGGTGGATATCTGACTTACACATCGACACATATTATAAATATCATCTCAAGGTATTAGTGCACTTGGATAGGTCCAATATCAATTGCTCACCTTGTGCACATAAAATTCAAAACATGAGGTTATTGGAGGTACCTCAATATCAACCCCTAAGGACTTTATAGAAAGCTGATACAGGGAATAGCCACCTTAAAACATCAATAGTTACTATGGAAGATATGATATTGTTTTGGCTCACTGCTACCAACCACCAAAATAGCCATCAGGGCCCCGATTCCTAGAAAATTCTTAAGCATGTTCTTGTGCTTAGATTTTAAGTAGACTTTGCATTTAAGTAAACTTATCTTATTTTATGTACCAAGAAAATTCTTAAGAACATTCTTGTGCTTAGATTGTAAGTAGACTTCAGGGTAAGCACAAGCACGTTCTTATATGTTCCAAGAAAATACATAAGCACAACTTTGTTCTTAAACATTATCAAGCAAGGTATACGGCTTGCTTACCAACCTTAAGTCTGTTTCTTCTTCAAACAAGATGACTGACTGTAGATATATTCGACGGCATTTCCTACATCTTTTGATACCAAAGAGACAATTAAAAAACAGAGACAATCCTTTAGAAACATATTCTCGAGAAGAATGCCATAATTAGAAAATTTTGCTTCTAGTTCTACCCTGAAACCATTTTATTTATTTGCCAATTAGTAAACAACACAAAAACAGGATACTTTTAAGATCAGATTCCGTCTGTTTGCATGTGCTTGCAAATGCATCTAAATCGACCATTTGCCGGGAAGTTAATGTCATTGATCTATTTATAACTCTGTGCAGCCGACCAATTTATGACGTAATTCGCATACCAAAGTTGTTTTTATGATGCTAGAGAGCATCGTAGTCTCAATTTACCAGTCACAATGTGCTTTGACTCATTCTTGACTTGTGCTTAATAATTGTCTTGAGAATTTTCTAGAGACGGTATTTTATAAAGTTTCAAAGTAAGAAAAAGTGAAGCATGACTTTTTGCTTACTTTAAGAATTTTCTAGGAACCGACCCTGATATTTCTCACTATTCCTAATCTTCTTTTAATAGTATCTTTTAGCTTCATGATTGTCTTGATTTTAAAAAAAATCCAAGTAATTATTGAAAATTCAGGAACTTGATTTCACAAATTTCATTTTCTTTTCAGCTGATGGTTTATTATTGTCTTCATTTTCAACTTTTTCCTCAAATTTTCTTTTTTCTGGTTCCGTCTGATTCACAGTGTCTGTATTTTTCTCTGATACTGGCTCGGCTCGTTCTACAGGCGGTGAGACGTCCTGGAATCCCAAACCAAGATGAGACCTAGCCCCACCACTTAATTTATGATCTAACCCCTGTCGAAACTGTAATTCTAATTCGCTAGTAATTTTTTCTGTTTCTTGCTCTGAAAATAAAATAAATATATTCCTAAATCTATTGTGGTCGATTACAGATATTTAGAAAGAAAATGAATTATGAAATCGGTGGAGATTGTAATAAGCAGAATTAATTTGTCATAGAAAGTATGGCACAGGATTTTCATGCTCTTAGGAACAAAGTCATATTCCATTGCCAATATGAATTGTTTTCCTCATCCTACATGTAAGATTTAAAGGAGTTAAACCCTAAACTAAAAGATCTGACAACAGTTACATAACAATATTGGCTCTATCTGCTGATGTGACTAAAAATTCTGTTGACATTCACACAACACAATATTGGCTCAACAGCTGATGTACTAATAATTTTAAATATAGGCAGAAATCAAATGAACACATTAAATTTAAAGTAAAGATATCACGCCCCAAAAATGTTTAATTTCCTTATGTCCGATGAATGGCTAATATTGATCTGTATACAAAATTACACACAAAAATATATGTAAACATAATTGGGGGATTTTATCTTCAGACCTCTTCAAACACACACCAACAGTTGAACAGTGAGCTCTAAATTCAATGTCCACAAATCCGGCAGAACAGTTTAAAACAATCCAAATAAGTTAGCAAAAATTACATGGAGAATTTAGTCTTGTTCAGAAGTTTTAAAAATAGAAATATTCCCAGAAAGACAACTCTACCAAACGCCTTCGAAATCTGAAAATTTTGCTCTACTTTATACATATATGTACCCTAATATACAATCCTTTCAGGTTTTAAAAGAATTATACCAAGAACCCTGTCCTGTATTCACAAGCTTTTATAAGTTTGATCATAAACAGGGCGTTAACTCTGTGATCACTAAATTCTGAATTTTGATGGGGTTCAAAATCGATGAAGAATGCGGACCTGAAATTGTAGAAGGGCACAAATAGACAGAATCAGGTGAAGACATGAAATGAAATGTGGTTTAACGTATTATTGTTGTGCTCCGACAGGGCGAATGAAGGCAGAATACACCATGCAGTCTGCTATGAGTGAAATTTGCCCGGTCAGTGGCGCTACAGCTTACTCTTATATATTATATTCCAAATGCCAAGGGATCTTTTATGTGCACCTCAATGTGCACATGGGACTTAGGTTTCTCATCCTATCTGAACGACTATACGCTGTCCCTTGCCAGGCCCTCTGTCCTGCACCACTGACTAGGGGGAGCCACGAGATGTGAAAACGTAAAATGTGGACGGATAAAAAAGATAAAAAGTTATGTTGATTTGAAAATACAGTGCTTATTTCAAATATTATTTTGTAACATTATTGCCTGAACGGCAGCTTATTATATAGCTGCATGTTTTTCAATTTACAATAGTCAATTCAGTTAGTTAATAGTCATTGACTGCTATCAAACAATAATAGTTTCATGATATGCTTGATTTTGGGGGGAAATTACTTCATAGTTTAATGACTACTGGAATTAATCTGATGCTAAGGTTGTGTGTACTGCATTGATTCTTTGCTGTGATATGAATTACTTATTTTACTTGTTCTTACTTTCTCTCCCATGTGATGTGGTATGATCTCCAATTACAATTGAACCATGGTGATCTTTTTTCTGAAAAAATAAAAATATATGAATCCTTATTTGTTATGTTCAGAGAATGAGGGATTCTGATTCCCTTTTATGAAACAGCCAAACAAAAGTCAAATCTTTCACAATCTGATTAAAACACAGATCCTATTTTGTTTTGTTTTTTATAGTTCAAAATTTTGTTTTACTTGTCTTTTCTACACTAGGATCTGAAAGAGTTGTTATATAACCGGCGTTCTGGTTGAGATGAGGGATTAGCCAATGAAACGGAATGTGGGTAAACCACTACAAATGCCAACACTGATTGATTAATCAATGTCTGACGTCATAGGGTCAAAAGCCGCTCGTACGACCCCTGATACGACTTTCCAGTACAACTGGTCAGATCTTCATGTAGTGTAGGGCAATTAAAGCATAAAAAAACGAAATGAAATATAGCAAAAGCACTGGCTGGTGTGTATCTGGATCTTCACTAAATATTTAGTTAGTATTTAAATACATGTGAGGCACCTGTCACAGATTTTGTCAGGCACAAAACCTCTGATGTCTGTAATTTTTCAATGTTTTTATTGCCATCTTATAAACATTTCCAGCACAAAATTCAAAGTATCAGTGCCTGAAACTCTGTCAGATACCGTGCCTGAAACTCTGTCAAATACGGTTCCGGTACAACTAAAATCATTATTTTCAGGCTTGTTAGTGTTTGTTAATGAATAAAATTAAATGGTTTTATTAATGGTGGCTGTAATTGGAATACATTTCTCTCCTTTTTGAACCACTGATAACAAAACTAAAGATTACTACCAGTAGATTCATGTAGTATCAAAAACCACTGAATTTTAAATTTTATTGTTACAATAAATACCTTTCCTGCTCCCATTAATCGAAGAAATTTACTTTTCCTTTTATCATCACCAAGTTCAGCAGTTTCCCAACTATTGGCTGAATGCACCTGTAACATGTAAAAAATAAAATAACATTTGGTGTGTATGTTACGCAAACACAAACAATTTATACTGGTATGTACATGTACATGTATCAAAAAAATAAGTGGCTGAGAGCCTACAACACTTCTCACTTATTTCGACGGACGAAATTCATTAGGAATTACATGTACATTAAAATCAGTTTACACTTATACAGTACTAGTCATACCATACAAACATTACGAAAATGGTTCTAAAATTACACATTAATGTAATATGAGTGTAAACAAAGTGATTTATATCCAAATTATTTATTGTAATTTCTAATCAAGTATGTACAGTGAAATACGTAAAAAGTGCAAATTGAATGGCAGTCATTTTCACCTGCTTTGTCATGCTACACCTATTTTTTTCATTTATTAATCAGCCACTTTTTAATTGCTTCTGAATAGTCTTCTGGAATAGGTTTTTCTTTGGTCATTACAAATGGCACGAAAAACCATTATTTGGCATTATCTATCTACACTACATGAGTCATATAGTTATTTAAAAATCTTTATAATCATTGTGAGTGTGTCTTAAATATTGGATTTTTGGATCACAGTTTTTCATGGTAAGATAATAATATCAATATTGATTGAAATGGACTAACAAAAAACATTGAATTCTAGTTTGTGTTTTTAATTCCAATACTTATATATCGGTATATATCCCATTGGGATGAGTTATCTTGGGATGAGTTGTCAGGTATTCTTATATATCATACTGAGTTAGAGCAATGGTTCTCAACCACTGTGCTGTGAGATCTTCCTAAGTGTGCCACAAAATTTTGACTGGCACACTAAGAAAATTTCTAGCTAAAGAAGCCAGCTATTTGACTGATGAAATTTGAAATACTCCAATAAAGTAAGTTCATAGCTGTGTTTTTCTTTATTTAGTTTGAGTCATATGCTATGTGTCTATGATTACTGTCTGAACCATCGTAAATTTTAAACGGATTTCTTTGATTATGAACAAACTACTTAACTTTGGTTATTAATATTATAAACTTAAGTGTGTTTGAAATCGACTCCCGTTAAATAAAATCTGTTGCACAACTAATTATCCCAACAAATAAAAAAGTTCTCTCTTGAAAAATTGAAATCCCCAAACTTTTGACACAGAAAAATACCAATAAGGAAGCTGATAACGTCACTCTTTGGGAGATATCATTTCGTATAAGGGGTAACAGCATAGCAAATCGAAATGGTTTTCGGTACTTTTACGACAATTCAAGTTTGGTTTAAGAATTAGTCTCAGCTCGGCATTGAGTTTGAGCGTTCACACACAACTGTCCGTATTCTTTTATTTTGTTACCGTCTTTTACATTCTAGTAAAATCTCTGAAAATTTTATTTTGTTTTAATTATTTGAACTGGTTATTATTAGAACGAAAGAATGCTATCAAATTAACAATACACTCAGAGACTTCGGAGGTGAGCTTCATGAATTGTTAAATTATTTATAACATAAAGAAGATAGGATATTTTTAGTTTATATATGACTTTATTTTTATGAGTATCCATGCGAATAAAATTTGATAGACTAGCGATCAATACAATGGTTTCAGTATAAATCTCCTATGTAATTGCCTTCAGTTCATATTTTTCGTTGTCCAAACTCAAACGATTGTAATGATCGCGCTTTGTTTTCATTGCAACACGCGGTTGTCAAATTATCTGTTAAGACTAAACCACCCCCGCAAAAGCTGCATTGGTTTTGCCCAACACATGACAAAAGAATTGTTGTCTTCCACTCAGTCGAAATTACATAAGTAAATAGTCAAATTTGCCAAGAGAGAACTTTTTTATTCGTTGGGATATTTAGTTGTGCAATGGATTTTATTGAATGGGAGTTGATTTCAAACGCACAGGTAAGTTTATAATAACCAAAGTTAAGTAGCTTGTTCATAATCGAAGAAATCTGTTTAAAATTTACGATGGTTCAGAGTCAGTAGTCTGTGTCTACGGTACTGTATGGCGTCTATGACTTGCCATGTTTTTATTTTGCAAAATTCAAATATTTTTCATATATTCAGCCAGGTGTGCTGCTATATTTTCATGTGTTCCAAGGTGTGCCGTTGGCAAAAATGGTTGAGAACCACTCAGTTAGAGATACATCACATGTATCTCCATCATACATAGAACTATGTCTCCATTAATCACTCAGTCACCAGTGTTAGTGTTTCTCTTCCAATTTCTAAATTTGTAAGACTAGTTTTTAAAAAAACCCAAAACACACAATCCTAATTAGCAACCTCTAATTTTTCTTCTGTGTCCTTGTCATCTTTATTCTTAGAAACAACCTCTTCTTTCGCATTTTCAGGTTTAGGATTACTTTCAGAACTCATTTTGAAATAAAATGCTTGATTTCCTGTAATGACTTTTGTAACTTCTTTTGTGTTTTTTGAAGAGTAGGGTGTACTTTGAACGCATGCGCGGAAATAACTTCCTCTTACAACCGTGCAAAGATGGTAGGAAATAATGATTATTAGGCCTTCTAAAATCTCTAAACATCAGCTGTTCTGATCAGATTTCGTTTAGAATTGTATTAAAACTGCAAAGATAAATAAACAACCAGTGGAACCGTAATGCTATTTTGTGGTAAAATCCACCCGGCTTCCGCGAAACGTCCCTTAAAATGTTGTTATTCACACGCTGAAAATTTATTCGAACTTAGCGATGTATAAACTCCTAATGTTTTTCTAGACTTATTTCTATCAGTTAGTGTGAGGTAGTACTCGAAAAATTGTGATTAAAACTGTAATTCTAATTATTCTGGAGAAGACCTAGACTAACCCTTGATTGTTTACAAAAAAAATGTGGAAACTAATGATATGAAAATATTTTATATTTGTTGACTCTGCAACTCACTGTCGACACTGTCATTAGAAATGGTTCCACTACTGATGTCTTCCGCCTTACTCCAGCCACAGTATATAGTGGCTCGTCCTACGGAGTTCCTTTGCGCAAGTTTTTTTTAGTCAAATAACTACAAAAAGTTTACTGGCCTATAGCCCCCTTAATTTACACATAAACTGATGCCAAACTGTACTGCACATAGCTTAAATAAAGGAGCTAAATCGCTAACATTTGGGACCTAGAAATTGACACAAGTGGGTCGGAACTCATATGATACTGTAATATGAATGTATATAAACTGATATACATTCAATGGTTTCCGTTTTTACTCTAATTTCACACCAGTTATGTTCCGCGAAATAAGCCAACAGTCTCAATCGACTGCAAATTTCTAGCGCCTGGTTATTCCAGTCTATATACGCCGTTTGGTTTGGTGCAATATGTCTAGCCTCATTCCTCGAGTCTCTTGCTAGAACTGGGGCTGAAACGCATTATGGTACACGATTCGTGTACCAATGGTAAAATGTTTATTTTGTCTTAAATATTGAATATCAGAAGCCCATCTTTTCCGGTAAGATCACAGCATCAATGTTGATTTAAATTGACAAATAATTTGTGTTTTCAATGTTGAAGATTTTGGATGATATTGAAGTAGAGACTTGGCTACTTTAACATATCATATAATAAACCAATTCCCATTGAAATAAAGGTGAAGTCTTACCGCATAATTATATGATTTGATGAAACCCAAGTTGCGTGAAATTTGGCGAGATTTCATCTGGCTGCCCCTGGTGTCATGGCAGCTTACATGAAAAAAAATGTCGCTTTGAAAATGTAGAACGCATTACCACAAAGAAAAACTGTTCAATATCTATTTTAGTGGTCCAGTCTTCACTATTTGTGATAGAATTACCTAACTGTTATGACGTGTTGACAATTGTGCGTTTGAACCTATTTGTACTTGCGTAAGGAGTCGTAGACTGTATCAATTGTAGCGTTAAACACAGTTTAACGGTACAACATTTGTAGCTAGGCTAGCGCTAGCTGATGAAATTGACCAAATTTGACTAAATCAATATGGGCGTGTGCCATGCATGCAGTGTGCTATGAGGGAAATTTTGCCTGGATAGCTACGGCCAACTCCTATTTTGAATTCCAACTGTCAAGGGTTCTTTTAAATGTGTACGCAGGACATTAATAAGATTTTCCGTCCAATCCAAAAGACTAGACGCTGTTCTTTGCTAGGATCTCCATCCTACACCATTGGCAAGTGTAAAACACGTCAGAAATTTGCTGGTTAGCAAGCCAGTGCCTTATTCATTGAGCCACCTAATCTGGGCACGGTACCAGGCTGCAATAAATTTCAAGAAATTGACCCGTTTATATTACTCTAAAATAACGGTCTCAGAATGATAAATTTGTTTCCGTTGGTATCGATGAATATTTCAAAATTATTTTTTAATTTTTAGGTGAATATACCCAAATCAAGGAGGGCATATTGCGGCAGTCCTCGATGTCATAAACACACCATACATAAAGTAACACAGTACAAAGCTGGTAAAGCCTCACTTCATGTACAAGGTGAGTTCTTGAATCTATTTGATTATTTTAAGACAAGCCTTTTTTTATTGTGATTTGCAGTTATATTTTGCATATTGTAATTAAATCTTGCGTGAGTATATAAAAGAACAAGCAAATTGACTTCAAATCTTCCTGTACAAATGTGCCTGTCTCTAGTCAGTCACCTCAGTTGAAAGCTCTGATATTGGGGATCTGATGAGGAGAGATCAGGTGGTACAAGGGAAGAAGATTAACAGCAGGTCGCGGGTTAAAGATAATGTTGAACCTCTTTCCTAATGTTCTGTAATATTATCTGTTCTGTGATGGCAACACAAAAAAGTCTTAAACTCAGGTAGTAAGACAAAAATTGTTCTGTCCAAATAAGTGACCAAATATTAAGCCTGAGTCATTTGATTAAACATTGTCTGTGCCCTCATGCATCCATATTGATATCATTTGATTTATTTTTCAGGTAAAAGACGTTACGATAGAAAACAAAAAGGTTATGGTGGTCAAACAAAACCCATTTTCCACAAAAAGGTATGGATATAAAACTTCATTCAAAAATGTCTGGTTACAGTTTTACTATATCCTAGTCTTGTTATAGTTCGACCTTTTATGTATAATACCTAGGGCTTCTATAATGCTATTGGAATGTGTTGTATTACTGCATTATAGTGATGTCCCAATAATATATCTTTTGGGCTTTTCTCAATGATTATATTTTAACGCAGTAGTGATCTGAAACATACTGAAGTCACTTGGTCTTATGAGAGAAAAGCTTTTCATTTGTTAATATTATATTGTGTGCTATGTTTGTTGCTTTCCATTATAGACTCAAAGACAGACTAGATTTTTATCAACACCCTGTCACGAACATTGTACTTAACAAAATTGATGTTAAATTTGTCAGGAAAACCAGAAAATAACGATCCTTTATCAGGGACGATTGATCCATCACCTGCATTTTAGATTTGTCATTGAGTCAAGTGTTTCATTCTCATATCTCTTGTTGGGGTCGCCTGCCTTAATGCATGGGTTTTCTCCCGGTTCCTTCTATTGCTATAGACCCCTGAAAGCAAGACGATTGTTTAAATAAATACCATCTTTTACTTTGCAAAACTTTAAAACAATCATCTAATAATGATGTATTCGTATTTAAAGACAACCGAACTAAGACAATTAATCAGGTAGACAGTTTGATTTTTCTTTCAGAAAATCTGGAAAACACATCTTCATCAGACATTACTGGACAATTGCTCAACAGAACTTGTACATAAATATATTACAATTATGCACTAAATGCCAACAAAATTTACATGTTAATACCACAGGAATTGTCTGGATTCAGATCTGTGAAACCTTTCCTTGATGATTATAAATTAACGCAGTAGTGATCTGAAATAACATGAAGTCACTTGGTCTTATGAGAGGAAATGTTATAATGTAACAAGGATCATTCATCACTGGCGGTCAGCAATAATCTGTCAAACACTCAGTGCACATCACGCCGTCCCCCGTCCCCGATTGATCATATCCTTCATGCATATATTTAAGTATTCACTCATACAAAACTAAATATAATGGCCTTTGTGAAAGGCTTAATCAATCTGGATAATAATGGTGTTCATTTTGAAAACGATATCTATCCCAATGCCAATGGTTTATTGGCAATGGATTGTCTTCGCACATAATGAAACCATAGACCAGTGATCAAAAATCTTGGATAAATATCCTTAGTCACAGTGTACTCATGCTTTTAAACTTCAAACACACATCTTTTCTATTTCTAAGCATGAGCATCACTTTCATCTGGTGTCAGAGCCTGTATAACTAAGGCATGTAATTAGTGTCAATAATTTTAAACAAAAAATTTGAGGAAGCCGATGTTTTATTTTCTCAGTGATTATATTTTAACGCAGTAGTGATCTGAAAAATAATGAAGTCACTTGGTCTTATGAGAGAAAATAACATATTAAAGGAACATTACACGTCTATAATTTCAAATCTTAAAACCTTTGATGGATGATAAAACACATCTTACAATTTTTGAATTTATCAATTTCTGACAGAATATTTAGTTGATCATGAACAGGTCCAAGAAACTACTAAACAAGGGGTTCTAATACAGTCTCAACAAATGGATACTAGTAATGAAAACAGTATCAAATATTTATCAGTTTCTAGAAATCCTGTCTGGAGGAGTTTATCTTATTGATATTTTGAAGATTGTAGAAGCTTTAGGGCATGTTACAAATTATAAAATATTTTCATCCAGGTCCTCCAACAACTCAAGATCATCCTACGTGCAAGCAAATTATTGAAATAAAATTAAAACATGTTCATCATCCCAAACTCACCTAGTTTGTGTCGAGTGGTGGTTTAACTCCATATCTCTCTCCTAAAAAGATTAAAAAGATGATGACATTTGTAAATGTAGAATACATCTTTCTGTTAGTCTTGAGACTCCTACCAAATCACTAAGAACATGTTGGCCATTTAACTGATCCAAATAAATAAGTGAAATCAGGATTTAAGAGATTATAACTTACATGTACATGGGGACTTTCTTGTGCAACATTAATAATAAAAAAAAAAGACTACCGAAACAATGAATTCCATGATTAAATCTTCCTGTACAACTGTGCCTGTCTCTAGTCAGTCACCTCAGTTGAAAGCTCTGATATTGGGGATCTGATGAGGAGAGATCAGGTGGTACCAGGGAAGAAGATTAACAGCAGGTCACGGGTTAAAGATAATGTTGAACCTCTTTCCTAATGTTCTGTAATATTATCTGTTCTGTGATGGCAACAGAGTCACTATAGAGTGTTAACATTTTTTGTGCTTGACTGATGAGCACATTGTTCAATAATAAATACAAGGCAACTAATTTTGTTATTTAGAAGAGCAAGCCAATGTCAATTTGATTACAGAATTCTCAAGTTTTTAGTGTATAAACAAATTGTCGGAGTCAATTATTTCACACAGCTCATTACCTGCACACAGGTTCAGTAACGAAAAAATTTACTATTTTTTTTTTCAGGCAAAAACAACTAAAAAGGTTGTATTAAGGTTGGAGTGTTTACGATGTACTTTAAGGAAACAAGTCTGCATTAAACGATGCAAACATTTTGAATTGGGTGGAGACAAGAGGAAGAAGGTATGATATGAATTAATAGATTTAGATGAATATTTGGTATTAAACTTGTTTTAAGTATCTTTCTTGGGCAATATTTTTATAGTCAGATTTTCACTTGAGCTTATGCCTGTTGTCAGAAAAAAAATTGTCTGACAAATAGTGACAAAGTAGCATAGCGGGTAGGGCTGACAGCTAGGACAGCGGTTGGTAGGACACTTTTCTTGTACTGCAAACTACTTGAATTTCAGTTTAACAAGAAAATGATGCTTACTCTCAGTGTTTTTGTGGTTTTTATGGAGAGTGGCACAAACTCGTGTGCCCCTAATGTGACACTAGTGCACACAAGATATAGTGGCAGTGTCAATTTGTCGGCTGTTATTTTAGAAAAAAAGATAGGACAACATACAATGACTACCTTCAAGTGTTAATTTCAAGACAAGAACATTTTTGCCAAGAATGAAAGTATTAAATAAGCCCCCTTTAATTTCAATTAATAAATAATGAAAAATTGTGTTTTTCTTTTTCAGGGTCAAATGATCATGTTTTAAGAAATAAATGGAGGCTAAAAAAAAATATTAAGCATTTTGTTTTATTCCTACTAGTTATAATGTGAAAGTGTATACTAAAAGGCATATAGGAGTGGGACATTATATAACTAATGAGGGCTGTAAAAAAATTTTGTCTGAATGTATTGATCACAAAAGGGGAGCTGAGATGGATGGCTGGCTCGCTAACCAGAAGCTCCCGGTTTCCATCCTGGTGTTGGCTGAGAAAGTTGGTGGTGCTGGAAGGGACAGGGCCTGGCAAGTAACGGCGTCTAGTTCGCATGCACATAAAAGAATCCTTGATAGCTGGAATTCAATATAAGTGTAGGCTGTAACGCCATTGTCATGTCAAAGTTTCTCTCATAGCACACTGCATGGCGTTAAGGACGATTGGTGCAGAAAAGTAGGGTGTTCAACCCCATTTCATCACAGACAACTGAAAACGGCACTTTCACCAAAATCGAATTACAGCGAAAATATGCTTTTTTTGGCTCTTTTTGCTGTGTTGTTTTGTCCCGGGAATTGTATGCCTAGGCAGCTCTCATTCACTTTACCCATGTTGATACACTCATGTCTGCTGGACATACTGATAACATCATCACATTATTGTAATGTTAAGATTGGTTTCATGCAAAATATAGGGACTGTGTTACTTTGTTAGTCTAGTGGTTTAGGGCATGTAAAATTTTAAAAAAAACCCTGTAAACTGCTGTTTGGGAAATACCCTCTTCTCCCTAGCATTACACATCTTAACACCGAAATTAAAATAATTGACCAGTGAGTGCTTATGTGCAAGGAAAATTTTGCTCCCCAGTATAATCATATGTTAGTCTGAAAACGATTCCTATCCTGGTAGCTTCTTGGATAATCTTTTTCTCATGCTGTAAAAACTATTGACACATCACTTGTATATTCATAGCCTCCTATATGAGCATTTAAATTAAAACTATATTGAGACTAGAACAAATTAGTACACCATTTGGTGTTTTACACAAACAGTATAAAGCTATGATACACCTTGAAAATAAAACAATTGAATGTATTAAAAACATTTTATTTATAATACCATTTTGACACCACAAAAAAAATACCAAAGTTTTCCAAATATAGCCTTTTTTCTAATGTAGTTTTGCAACTAAAATCCCACTTCAACTTAGACGACCAGTTACCTAGGGGTCCTCCAGTCAATCTGTTATAAGCCTTTCTTACATGCCTTGACACCCTGTGGTCCTAAACATCCGTCCCCACCATCAGCTTGGATCAATTGTGTTTAAGACACATTTCCATCTTCCTCTAATTGTGAGGGTGGGGGATTGAGATGAGCCTCATAATCGAAATAATTCCTGTTTAGGCCTAAAAACGGCTAGGCCCCGAGTTCACAAATCATTCTCAGATTTAAGACTTTACTCAACTTTCAATCACTGTTTATGAGAAATATCTTTGATCCTGTAGTAGGACAGGGTTCGGAAATATCGGAAATCGCTTGCTCACAACATTTACCGACACAACTGCATCCTGGCAAGCTCGCCAAAAGTGTAGTAGGACAGGGTTCGGATACTGGATGCAGCGGCAGCTAATGTCATGAAACAAACAATAAACAAATATAATTTGATACTTTTTTTTATTATAAATTAAACAATGGCTTATGGAAATGTGGCGTGTGCCTTTAATGTTTCAAATGATTGATTTGCCCGAAATACTAAACAGAAATCATGAACCCGTTAACCCACTATTAAAATGGAAATCACCGAATTCTTCCTCACGAATCAAGTGAAAAAGCCGCAATGCCTATATCTCCAGTGTCTGGCAGTAGAACGCAATGTCTAAACTACTAGAACACCATTAAAAAGGAAATCACCGAATTCTTCCTCACGAATCAAGTGAAAAGGCCGCAATGCCTATATCTCCAGTGTCTGGCAGTAGAACGCAATGTCTAAACTACTAGAACACCATTAAAAACGAAATCACCGAATTCTTCTTCACGGATCAAGTGACCAAATTCCAATATGGTTTAGTACGTGGATCGATTTAGCGATTCCCACAGCGAAGCGAGAAGTAGATACAAATTTACTATTTATCCCCAAATCAGAACTATTATCTAAGAGTAAGAAATGCGCTCAAACAATCTAGCCCAAATATACTATTAAAAAAAAGTAGGGGATATTTGATTTTGGGGGCATAATACTAAAATATGCAAATGACTACGAAAAAAGTCACTATAGAACCTAACAGAAGAAACATTTCCAGTTATATGCGACGCCCAAACGCACCAATAGCTACCGCATGGAATGCAGGTGATGCTTGGGATCATCATGGGGGTCCAACCCAAGATTTGCACGACTCTGACTTTGAATGTTACAGTCATTGTGGCATTGAATTCCAGGGTGAAAACATCAGTTTAATTGTTTTAGTGACCAGAAAACAAATTTTGATATGCGTCGGCTTACCCAAAATGAAAGGTTACGTGCCCTTGGCATGCTAAAGATCGGCACAACACAGGCGGTTGTGGCGCGGACGATGAATGTTTCTCAGTCTGTCATAAGCAGGCTATGGTCCAGATACCGTGATACACAATCTGTACAGGACAGACCACGCTCAGGTCGACCAAGGGCGACAACTCAAGCCCAGGATCGATTTATCCGTACCTTGGCCTTGAGAAATCGTGTCATCACAGCAAATCAGATCAGCGCTCGTCTTCAAACAGACACTGGTGTGAGAGTGAGTGGCCAGACGATTCGGAATCGACTGCATAGGGGTCACCTTCGCGCCCGACGTCCTCGTGTGATCCCTTGTTTGAGAGATCATCACATTCAGGCAAGACGTAGTTGGTGTAGGGATCGTCAACACTGGGATAATCGACGCTGGAGCAATGTGATGTTTTCAGATGAGTCAAGGTTCACTGTTGATTTTTTGGACAGACGTAGGAGGGTGTGGCGTCGTCGAAACGAGCGCTTCCAAGACGTTAACGTCATCAGACATGATCGATTTGGGGGTGGTTCTGTTATGGTGTGGGGGGGGGGGGGGCATCACTGTTGCTGGAAGAACGGCTTTACATGTTGTTGCAGGGCGTGTTACAGGCCAGTACTACCGGGACAACATCTTGGCAGTCCATGTTGTGCCGTTCGCACGACGTCATGGCCGCCGTTTCATCTTCCAGGATGACAACGCAAGATGTCACAGGGCCAGGATCGTTACAGGTTACCTCCAACAACAGAACATCACCACATTACCTTGGCCAGCACTGAGTCTCGACCTCTCCCCCATCGAGCATGTCTGGGACATGCTTGGACAGAGGTTACGTCAACGTCAACAACGTCCTGCCAATGTCCAAGAACTTGCTGCTGCGTTGCAACAGGAATGGGACAATCTGGACCAAAATGACCTTAGACGTCTCATTAGGAGTATGCCACGTCGGATGAATGCTTGTTTGGCAAACAGAGGAGGATTTACCCGTTACTGACTTGGTTGTGATGCTGTGGTAACTTTGCTGTTTGACCCCGGGTATCATTTTACCCTTATAATGGTCAGTCTGTGCCTTACTTAGTCTAACGATCATTTGGAATAAATCGATGAATGTGAACTTCATTTCATTTTGTCATTTGTTTCTTCGTCAGTTTCATTAGGTGACTTTAATAACACTTAAAAATCAAATATCCCCTACTTTTTTTGAATAGTATATAAAAGAAATGAAAATCAACACAATCTGGTTGATATGAGGCGATTATCGACTCTGACAACCGGTCTGTGTCTTACATATGATAAGGTTACCTTACCTCGGGAGTTGCTAACCGAAACTCCCCCAGATAAATGATACGCGTCCAGTTTTATAGTCGAAGCATGCACGTGCACGATAGTTGATTGGCTCGCATACGCCAAGCAAGTAGACAAATGGACGAGTTTGGGCCACTGGTTTGAAATTCTTTATGCACATCGGGCGACACTACCACAATCCAGAAACACAAATCTTTGCACATAGTTTCTTATTGATGAATTTGATACATTAAAACAACAAAAGTTTCATAAAGGGCTATATTTTAGTTAAAATAAGGCGAATAATTTTGAGTAAATTCTCAATTTAAGTCGGAATGTTTTGTGAACTCGGGGCTAGATCTATTTGTTATGGCCAACTCAATTTTCGTCAAGGTCGCTGAGATGTAAATAATGTTAGAGCGCGAGATTGCAGATTAAGCGTTAGGTTTAGTGTTGTCATTAGCGCTAGATATGGTTACATCTCGTGATCTTTGACCAAACTTGATGTTGGCAATATCAAACAGATCTAACTGTTTTAAAACCCAGGAGCCATTGCAGATTTCGTCTTAGGTCACGATGTGTAAATTTTAGGGTTAGGGCCAACCCTAACTCACACTCTTGTAAACAATCACTAACCCTATTTACATCTCGTGTCCTTTCGCGAGATCTGCAATGGGTCTTTGCTCTGAGCCTTTACCCATCATATTTAGCTCTAATCAAACGAAACACTGCGAGGAGTATGTTACCCTTTAGAGGCCGGTCACCTGTTGTTCGGGGGTTTCATGTTTTTCGTGATTATAGCTACTAAATAGTAGCCTATGAAATGAAACAATATGGGCACCGATTGGGCTAACGAAGACGGACCCACCCTATATGCTATGCCCACCAGAATTTTAAGCAACTAACCAGGTTGTTGTCGTCTGCCGAGGAGCCTCTCCGAGAATACTTTATTCCCACCCCGGAGTACAGCTACTAAAAGGTGGTTCAATATAGCCTTATTGCATGATTTTACAACCAAAATCTAAATCAATCAATCCATCAATCAACCAACTAGACTGCTGCAGCCTTATTCATGGGACATCAGTAATTAAACTTCCCCAAAAGTTGATGAAACAAGTAATGATGATGAACCAAACGCACGAAAGAGTTTGCACTAGAGATAACTATATCATTTCGAGCACTCTGTGTCTTTATTTACCAACAGCGTCTTGTTGGGATGAGACAAAACACGAGTTTCGTGTAGTGTGTAGGCTACATATTTCCGTAGGCCTACATGTAAAATTATTTTACTAAAATAACCATTGACAGTTGGAATTCGTGGTTCGGGCAAAATCTGTCATAGCACACTGTATGGCACAAACACGTCTTCGTTAGCCCAGTTGTTGCAGAAGTTCATTAATTATCTCCTCACACTACTACTGTACTATGGCCATGGGTTGTAAATAGGCTGGTCGAGTGGTCTGACACGTGCCCTTTAGATCACTAAGCCAAGTGGTATGGTTTTGATCCACTTGAACGGTACGGTAAGCAAATAGAATTATCCCTGACTTGTGTCTACTTTTTTTTTCTACTTTCGTGTTAGTGCTTCCAACGGAAGTAAATAAAAGTTAGTTTACTTCCGTTACTAAACGCACCTGAAAGAAGAGCATTATGGGACGAGAAATTCTTTCTGACAGATACAGTGCTTGTAAGCTGAAGATACATTTCTTAAATAAAACCCCATAAAGGGGGTAAGTATGTACAACGCTCAATTTTTAAAAAATCACTAGAATTCCTTTAGCATTCCGTTGTTTATCCTCAGACAAGTGATTGACATATTTTCTTTAAAAACCTAGGTGGAAACGCCGACAACAGTCGACACTATCACTATCATCAGGACCGTTATTTTTTGTACCCGGTAACGATAGATCTAAATATATTATCATTAATAATCAATTAAATCAACCCGGTATAAGATATTGATGCCAATGCCGCTTAACTAAAAGAAACAGCCAGTTGTATTACCAAACACAGCGTCAACAGTCTGAAAAAAAATCAGTAGTAAAATATAGGCCTACCAATGAAAACTATTGTTCTTGTCTGTTAAATTTCTAAACTGTAAATATTATTGTTCCGAACGGTACTAGGTAGGTCTACATTGCTCAGTTCTTAGATAAAGTTTCTAAACATTACCTGAATGGAATTGGGATCCATTACCGTAGCTTATAGATCCTTTTCCCACTCTACATACATGTACAAACTGTATGTCCAGTCCACCAATTAGGCCTAGTGCTGGATCCCGCTACAGTGAAAAGAATAGCCTATGATGTAGACCTACGGTATTGCACAATACAGCAGGGTTGTGATTCCTAAATAAAGATTGTAAACACGATTCACGAAAGACAATCATGTAGTTCTTTGGGTAAAGAAGGCCCTTCATTCAACATCAAACACAAGGACAGGAATAGATCTAGCAGAAGATTAGATTGCATGTTCAATCCTCAGGCAGTGTGTTTGGCTCTTGTTTCCTCGAATAAGGTGGTAGGGACTTGTTTCCCATCCTTTTTACAATACCAAGGTAGTGTATAAACTATGATCATTATAAATTATTAATTATATTTTGTAGTTATGAACAGATTGAGCATGATGGAACATGTACATTTAGCTGGAGATGAAGAAGAAGATATGTATTCAGGGTTTAATGATTACAGTGCTACATTAGATACTGAGGTATGTGTTTCACTACCATTTCTCATAGGGTGAGACTTTCTCCACTCTGTCAGTAACACATGTGTCCATGGCATTTGTCAGAACCATTCACACTGTCTTTAACAGCAGCTGGAGGTCTCACTAGTATACTGCACTACTTACTCTTGAATTACCAAATAAAATTGGTGGCTTTAAACAAGAGTGGTCGAGATGCCAAATTTGGATACAGCGTTTGAGCATTGAATGGGGAAGCATATTTTTTATTTTTTCTCAAATAACATGTCAAATCTAATGTCTTAGGCTTATTATATGCCACATTCAGTGACCTTTGTGTGTTTTTATATAGTTTATTAACTATGATACCATCTGTTTTTTTGTAGGATCTACAGCATGATGAATCATTTCAAAAAGCAGTTTTACGAACTAGTCATGGTAGACGGCCACCACCAGTAAGGAAAGAGTTTTTCATTTTAAAATTCCTGTAAATCTTTAGCAACCAGACGATTAGAGACTACTGCTGTTTTGAGTACATCAAACTACCGGTGTCATTTCAATACTTGTATGTTGTAGGACTATACAAGCATTTTGAGGCAGTCTAGGAAGCACTAGTTTCGAGTCCTTTCTCAAATGAGCTACAAAACAAAATGTAATAGAAATCACATTTTTCTAATGATTACAAGGACCCGAACTTGTCCATATGTACATGTTCCAAAGTGTCATACATGTAGGATTATTAATATTGATATTGGTTTGAGAAAGAAGATAAATAAATTGATAGTTTACTATTATGGGAACATGACTAAAAAGGTTTATTAATAATTTTTCAGACAGGAAAATTTCCAGGAATGCAAGCTGGTAGATTGGCAACGGCAGCAAGGGGCAGAAATGCCATGCCTTCATCCATGGGTCGACCAATAACCGGAGCTGTACCAGCGGATGGAGCTGCTCGACCAATGACAGCTGTCCGAGCTGCAGGGTATACATCAGCAGGAAATAGAGGTAAGCTTAAAGCTCCAAGTAATTTAACTTTTTCTTTGCCAGTAAAAATTTCCAACATCAAATATGTACCTTTAGGCCACACCAATTTGAATTTTTGTTGTTTGTGAACATTATGTACATGTATAATATAGCACATTTGGTGCTAATTAGGGCTGGCGGAAATAATCGATAATTGCCGATAATCGTCGGTAAGTGTTTTGAAAATCGATTATCGATACAGTTTTAAAATATCGATTATCGCGCAATTATAGGTACTTCACTTGCAAGAAGAAGTCCATAAAAATAATCCTTATCACTGTATTCTTTGCAACGCGTGCTTGGGCCTAGAACTGTAATTAAACAGAATAGTCATAATAAAACACACACGTTTGTTGGTTTTTTTTTCGCGCTAGACGCAACCGGTGAGAAATGTTGGCCGCTTATGTCATGATGAGAGCCAATGGTTTCACGTAACATCCAGTTGTGTCCCTTATTTTAACTCTTCAGTTCTTTCGTCTTCTCTGTTTCTAAGTCAAACACGTTCTTTCCCTTTATAAAATTTATTAATTTATTAAGAAATTTGCGAAGAAATGTCTGAAGAGGAGTTTTTTAATTTCCCCAGTGCGAAGAAATCACTGCAAGAAATAAACTGTTACGGCGAACTGAAGAATTTGTTTCATGTGATCAAAGGGAAATAACTACATTTTACTCAGTATTATTCAGGTCATAAGCGACAAAGATATGGCGAGCGATGGCGGTTTCTGTCTTCCAAACGAAGTTGATTGAGTTGTTTCCTTCTAAACCTTGGTTTTGCTATGGAATGCTATTATTTTATTGTCAAATGTCAAATTAACGGAAAAAAAAATTCTACATGTATACAGAATGATATCACAGCATAAACTCGCATATAATTCGTGTACAAATTCTGATTGTTTTCTAACCAATTCAACAATTGTAAGTCAAAATAATTTGCCGATATTATCGATTATCGATTGGCGGATGGTCCGCGATAATCGATACTTGAAACAGGATCGATTGCCAGCCCTAGTGCTAATGTGCCGTAAAACAGCATTTACTTTCTTTAGAAATGCCTGTATTACTTGGATGCTCTTTTGAAAAGATTTAGGTTCCAAATTTTTCAAGTTTTGAAATTTTTAACTAAAATTTTGGAATAAGACTCAAGTGTCTATTTATTTATCTAGACCTTGAATAATTTGTTTTAACAATTGAGAGAACAAGGTGCATGTTTGTTTTTATATAAGCCTGAATACAAGGTAGCATTACTTTAAAACATTTGGAAGCAGAACTCTTCAATACAGGGGTCACAATTTTTATCCGATTTTGTTGAAACTTGAAATGTAAGTTTATAACCCAAAGATCTTGGTTCCTTTCGATATTCGTGCATATCGGACCGTAACTTCCTGAATTATGGCCCCTGATTGTACGAAAAATCACGTTTTTAGCTTGTGGACCCTATAGAAGTCATAATTTTTATCCGATTTAAAAAAACGTTCTATTATATCACCGTTACACCCTAAGGATGACTGAGTTCGAATTTCGTGAAAATCGGCCCAAAATTGACAGACAAAATGGCCGCCGTTCGTTCCCAAATAGTGTAAGAATATGGTATATCAAGGTTGTGGACCCTATAGGGGTCACAATTTTTATCCGATTTTGTTGAAACTTGAAAGGTAAGTTTATAACCCAAAGATCTCGGTTCCTTTCGATATTCGTGCATATCGGACCGTAACTTCCTGAATTATGGCCCCTGATTGTACGAAAAATCACGTTTTTAGCTTGTGGACCGTTACACCCTAAGGAGGACTGAGTTCGAATTTCGTGAAAATCGGCCCAAAATTGACAGACAAAATGGCCACTGTTCGTTCCCAAATAGCGTAAGAATATGGTATATCAAGGTTGTGGACCCTATAGAGGTCACAATTTTGATCCGATTTTGTTGAAACTTGAAATGTAAGTTTATAATCCAAAGATCTCAGTTCCTATCGATATTCGCGCATATCGGACAGTAACTTTCTGAATTATGGCCCCTGATTGTACGAAAAATCACGTTTTTAGCTTGTGGACCCTATAGAAGTCATAATTTTTATCCGATTTAAAAAACCATTCTATTATATCACCGTTACACCCTAAGGATGACTGAGTTCGAATTTCGTGAAAATCGGCCCAAAATTGACAGACAAAATGGCCGCCGTTCGTTCCCAATTAGCCTAAGAATATGGTATATCAAGGTTGTGGACCCTATAGGGGTCACAATCTTTATCCGATTTTGTTGAAACTTGAAATGTAAGTTTATAACCCAAAGATCTCGGTTCCTTTCGATATTCGTGCATATCGGACCGTAACTTCCTGAATTATGGCCCCTGATTGTACGAAAAATCACGTTTTTAGCTTGTGGACCCTATAGAAGTCATAATTTTTATCCGATTTAAAAAAACGTTCTATTATGTCACCATTACACCCTAAGGAGGACTGTTGTTCGTTCAGTTCCTTTCGATATTTGCGCATATCGAATTGTAATTTCCTGAATTATGGCCCTTGATTGTAGGAAAAATCACTTTCTTGTTAGCTTGTTCTCTATCCATCTCTCGAAAATGTGGGCGTATCCTGCCTGGCAGCCGCTGGTTTAAGTCTAAAGTGAAAACTTTGTAATTTAATCATTATCATAACAATCCAAAATGAGAACATTTATTGGCACCTAAAGTATTCCATAGTGGATTGAATAGTTGTGCATTATAAGTATCATTTTTATTACGGTTCTAGAAGATATCTTCACAGGCACTGAATAGTTAAAAATTCAAGCACTAACTTAGAATGTGACTTGATGTCCTTGACTATTGATCTTGTATGAAGTATCTGAACGTCTGAATTTGATCAATGGGCCATGATATCGGCATTAAATTCTTGTTCACCAGTCCTAAAAGATTCTCTTAAATCAGGGGGTTGAGTGGTCGATTGGTTTAAAGCATGCACTTTAAATCGTAACAGCTGTCATTGAGTCAATTGTTTTGTAGGTACTGGTTTTGATCCAATGAATATAGGGGCTAAAGGTCCAGCTCCACCTCTCGAACCAAAACCTGAAGATAGGTAAGATATAAAAATCGAAGGTTTGTGTCAGGAGAGTATTCTCTCAATGTTTTCAAAATGTAATATTAAGTAATTGTTCTTTAATAAGTATGTCTCATACTCTGGATGTATCTAAAGGATAAGAATCAATTATTGTTCTCGCAATGGAACAGAATGGTATTTCACATTTTATTAACACTTTACTCTGCTTATTTTCCAGTCCTGAGGAGAAGATAAAACAACTGGAGAAGAATGTGAATCAGCTGATAGAAGAAAGTTGTTTTGCTAATAGTCGAGGTGATCTTGTGCTGGTATGTTATATCTATTATATGTCTAAAAATAGTCATGGTGATCTTCAACTGCTATGTTATGTATATGCGTCTGTAAATATGGCGCAAAAAAAAATAAAACAAACGTTACATGGATGATGAATACAGGAAGAAAATTAATAGAGTGATCCCAGCAGGCACAAATGACCTATTATCTGAAATTTTTAACTTTGTGCTAGATGTGTGTTATACGTATCATTAAAAACAATGAAACAAGACAAATCTATGCCAGACAAAATGACAGGTACCAAAGGAATTGTATCTTGACAATGCCTGAATTTGTGTCTGACAATGTGTGAATGGTGGTTTATTTGCAGGCTTGCATCCCACATATATTTATATGAATAAATATGTTTTAATTCTGTGGGAGGACATTGAAAGTATAAAAAAACGAAACAGAATGTAGATATGTATGTTATTCAAGTTGATGGCTTCTGTTGTATTAGTTATATTTATTGTATATTTATTTTGTATTTTACAGGCTCTAGAGAAAGCGAAAGAAGCTGGTAGAAAAGAGAGAATATTGGTGCGACAGAGAGAAACACAATCAATGGGAGATACTATAAACCTAGATTTAACTTACTCTGTAAGATTTTAAACATTTATTCATCTTTTTATCTTGGGGTGGAGGGCCTGGGTCTAATCGTTAAGGTTCAACAACCTATAAACATAAATTGGGGTGCACATAAAATCTATGTCGATATGACAATTATATATCTAGCCAATCAATATTATTTAAATAATTATTATATTTAACTGGTATTATTTCACCTAGCCAATCAATATTATTTAATTAATTATTATATTTGACAGGTATTATTTAATCTAGCCAATCAATATTCATCTAATGAGATGTATACAGAAGCTTTAAATACATACCAAGTTATCGTCAAAAATAGAATGTTTAGTAATGCAGGTGAGTTGACTTCATGATTGCATGACTTCTTTTAATTTGGTCAAATATGATAGACTTGATTTACGAACTGGATGTATCTACATTTTAGGGGGTCAGCATTTTTTAGCAGAAGTGCACTGGCATCTTAACTAGAATGTCCATGGTTTAAATTTTGGGGTAGACTGAGAAGCAAGCCTGGAAATAAGCCACCTGTCACAGACATTGTCAGACACAAATTATGTTTTTGTCAGACAAGGTCTCTGTCATTCTGTCTGCCACAAATAATACATATCCGGCATAAAGTTAAATATGTCAGGTATTAGTTCAGTCCTTCACGTTTAAGGTGAGCTTTTGCTTCTGCTCCACTTGACACACCTTGACTTTCCTTTGTGGGAGTCATTAAAGACTCCTGCAAATTAGCTAAATCGCTCTCCTAAATATTGAGATTAAATAACTACTTTCAGTTTTTGTTTATTTTTAACTTGTATAAGTTTGAGCTATCACTTTCCATAATGATAATTCTGACGCTACCATATTCACCAAACATATTCACCAAATATTAAAAGCAGAAATACAATTCGGCTCTCCTTAATTTTAAGGAAATGTAGTAGAATTACTCTTGCAATATAATTAAAGAATTTTTTTTTATGGGAACTTTTTTCTCATTTTTAAAATTGGCAGGAACTTCTTATGACTCCTGCACAATTTGATAAATGTGAAGGACTGTTAGTTCATTATTGCCTGACATTTTATCAGATCTAACTAGAGTCATATATTCCAGACCTTATAGGATTTTTCAAGCCCAGTTCCTGCTTGTCAAGGTCGCCCCAGTGGGAGTGACAAGGAGAGTGTGCCTACTACTAGTCATTCGCATGTGACAACAAACCAAGGTTTTCTCCTGTACATTGACACCCAGTCATGTCATAGAACGTTAATCCCCATTTCATTTCTTTTCTTTATACTTGTTTCAGGTCGACTGAAGGTTAATATGGGTAATATTTATTTTAAACAGAAGAATTATCCTAAAGCTATCAAATATTACAGAATGGCTTTAGATCAAGTTCCTAATACACATAAAGAAATGAGGTCAGTTACTTTTTATTAGTGAAATTTGAACAAGCATTCTTCCTTTGCTGAAGGTCCCCAATTGTCAAAATGAATAATTTCAATTAACCAGTTTTGACTATTCATATAGATAAAGCATGTTTACATTGGATTGTGGCAGCTTTGATGGGCATGGAGCATAGGTAAATCAGCAGTTCCTTAGGATTTTCCTGCCAGGTTTCACATTGTCAGTTTAAATTTTGTTTAACCAGTGCAAGATCATTAAGTTTTTGTGTTTTAAAATATTAATCACTTCTATTGTTTTCAATTCCTAAATGTCATTTAACCAGTATGATTTTTAAGCTATAATAGGTGTTATAAGAATGATAACACAAAATTTGCATTGTTTGTAATCTTTAGATTCTGATCCTAAGATGTGGAAATTTATTTAGATTCACTCTATTTCTTTTATTTTATTTTAGAACAAAGATAATGCAGAATATTGGAATAGTGTTTACAAAGATGGGCCAATACAATGATGCTATTACATCCTTTGAACACATTATGTCTGAATCGCCTAACTTTAAAACCGGGTTTAATCTCATACTGTGTTACTTTGCTCTCGGTGATCGAGAGAAGATGAGACGAGGTTTCCAGAAATTATTGACAGTTGATTTGAAGATCGATGATGAAGACAAATATTTAGCACAAACTGTAAGTGGAAATTGATTTAATGGGATCAACCAACAATTCTTGTTAAACTTATAGCTTTGGTTAATCAGACTTCTCAATATTATGGATCCAGTGCTCTTGTTTCAATCATATTAGCCCGTTTTGATTTGACTGACGGTGACATTTGGGTGACTATTTATCCAAGACCACAGAACTAAAAATTAAATTGGTTTGACCTAATTATCGAAAACTCTGAGGAAAGACCAGAACACTGCTTTAGATTTAAATGTGTACCTTATATTTTTCTGGAGTGAAATTGATCAATTGGAGCAGAACTTTAAATCATAAAATACAATACATATAGTTAGATTTATAGTCATTATGTTTTTAGTAAAAGCCTTGATACAGAAATTAGTGTAATGCTTAAAATTCTCACCTTTGGAAAAAATACCTGGCTAATTTTGAAGTGAGAGCTCTAAGTTGGTCAACAAGAAACCTATATATTCCAATGTCAATTTGCCAGAAGATGACCCGTAGGATCCATCAAGAACATTTTTGAAGGCAAAGTAATTATATGATGACAGGAAGGGCTTTTGGATAAGTTAAAACAAATTTGCTTAATAATTTTTTTTTAAAATTTAGGATGAAAAACAAAATAATCTGGTGTTGGAGGTGATTAAAAATGATGCGTTGCGAAAAATAGAGAGAGAAAGGTAAGCATACTTGTTTTGATTTTATATGCTAACATCAAATGTAACTTTCAAGCAAATCCGATACTTTTATGGTTGAAGCATTGTTCAGAACAGGTGTAAGGCCAGTGTTCTTATGTACTTTTTGTGGCGTTTTCACTGTAATGAAAACGTTTCCATGTAACCGGTGAAAATGTGCACGGAAATGCATACATGGAAAATGGGCTTAAGGAATAATTCTGTTGCAAAAATTTCTGATAATTACTTATATAGAGTTACTGTCCTTGGTTACATGTCATAGGATCTTGTCCAATTGCCAATAATGTCATACAATATAAAGATTTGCTTTTTATTTACCTAAAGATTCACAATGATGAGATAAGATTTTATTGTATCAATTTGCTCATTGATACAAAATGGAAATAGTACAAAAGAACAAAAAAAAAACCCATTTGATGTAGTCAAAAAAAACCTTTGTGGACTGCTCGTATGACTTAGCTGGTGGGGGTATATATGTCATTTGCTGGCAACCTGATTTATGTATTGTGTTACTATTTCTGGGTCTGGATATATGGATTTTAGTTAATATCAGACATTTTTGAAGTTTTACCTGACAATTGAACTCTTTGCCTGTCATGTATTAAACATGCCTTTTAAAAACACAGAAGAGACAAATCTGTGCCAGAGAAAATGACAGGCACCAGAGGAATTGCACTTGAACAAGTGTGAATTTATACCTGACATTGTGATGATGAGTTATTTTTTGTCTTAATTATATGTATGATGTGTAACTTTTTTTTATATCAGGAAATATGAAGCAGAGAGATGTTTAAAGACAGCTGTAAAGATTATATCACCAGCAGTAGAAAGTACTTTTTCTGAAGGCTATGATTCGTAAGTGTTGAGGGTCAAGTATCCTTATTTTTGGAATTCAAGTTTTAGTCACTTGCTGCCACTCATGGTAGTATATTCCTAGACGGTTGCATTCCAAGAAGTGAAGCTCTACAGTCTGTGTAAAATTACACACATTATTTTCAAACAAAAAGATCATAATATAGTAAATTAGTCATAAAATGGCAAACGTTAAAATCTCTCTTCTTCTGTAAAACTGCTATGCACAAGGGATGAAATAACATAATCAAGACAACTTTATGTCTTGATTAATATATTATTCTGAAAACTACATAAACATATGATACAAAGAGAAGGTTGTGCGATATAGTTTATAAGATAGATATAGAGTGGTCTCCCTTTAAAATCTCTGTGCAGTTCACATGAATTGAATATAGTTTAAAGTTCAATGCTCCAATGTAGAGAGTACATCATGTTTCAACAAAACACATTTCCTTTCTGATACATTGATTCTTTTATAAATTTTATTACCTTCAGGAATAAAATAAAATGTTCATATTTTTTCAGATGTATTGAACAAGTGAAGAATTCTCAGTACGTAGATTTGTCACATGATCTAGAGATTGATAAAGCCATCATGTTCTTAAAAGAAAAAGATTTTCAACAGGTTTGTGATCAAATCTTTCTGATTATATTTTATACAATTCAGTTACCTAATGAAAATACCAGTCTCAATTTGTCTGTGTATTTTTTGTTAAAATATCTGAACTTTTTCAAAGATTTATGAGAATATTTTCAACAGGCAATGTAAAAAAAAAAACGTTTTGGTGGATGACCAATTTATAGGTGATCTTCTGACAAAATAGAACAGAAGAAAATAGAAACCTCCTTTCTGTATCATTTTCTTTTGGAAGGATTGTCCGAGAACTGGAATTTTTTTGTTTTGGGGTGGGGTGAGAATCAAAATAATATGTTATGTATGGGATAAATGAACTGGGAGGTTTATCTTTTAATCCATATATTTTTTACTCCCATTTAAGGCTATAGAGACGTTGAAATCATTTGAAAAGAAAGATTCAAAAGTAGCGAGTACAGCAGCCACCAATTTATCTTTCTTATATTTCTTGGTAAGTAGATTTTGTATTTATTCACCAGTGATTGGAATATTAACATCCCATGTATTTTGAAGTCATCTGACATAATTGAATTGATGTATAAGCACAATGTTTCAATCATTTGAGACCAACTACTTATTTCTGTGAATTTCTAGTTAAGAGAATTTGGCATGAAGAGCATTGTCTCAGCGTATTCTTAATTGAATTCATTTGACCATATTTGTTATCTAATCTAGCAATGGGTAATGAGCTGACAATACTCTTAACAACCATTGCTGTAGGAATATGAGTTAATAAAGAGCTTAGGTCTTCACCATAGTGCTGATTTGAGGTTCACTGGCTACACTCATTATTCACAAGCACAAGGTCCTGGCTGTAATCCGGATATTAATGTCTAATAAGTACACCCAATATTCACAAGTGCATCACTAAACATATAATGCTATTGAGAGCATACCTTGTATAGAAATTCAAGATAATGAGGTTCAATTGTGCATTAGATTTGAATCTTTTTAATAATATTTAGATGTTAGGAGCACAATAAAAACAAAATAACAAATGATTTGTGGGTGTTCTACTTCTCTTCATTAGATCATATATTTACACGACTCATTAATCAGGTAACATATTTTAAACTGGGAGCCATTGTTTAATCAGTGGTGCTGGTCAGATGGCATGGCTAGAAGAATTATCTTATCCTGGTGGGATAGAAAAAACTAGGTCCCATGGATACAATCTGCAGCACATTGAAGATACCCTGACATTTGGAATAGAAATAAGAGTAGGTCATAGCACACTGCAGGACACATTCCCGCTTTCATTAGCGTGGTTGGTGCTGAAAAATAAGACGTTAACCTTAAACCCCATTTCATTTTATTTCATATACGTTAAACTTTATATACTCTAATACCAAGAAGTAGTATCCTTAAATCATGTTGTTTTGTTTCTAATAGTATTAACGACAATATGTTGTTTTGAGATGTTTGTATCACATAAATTAAGTTATTTTAAATTTTTTGCAATGCTTGGAAACAGCAACATGAGGTATATATTTTAGTTTGCAGCCTTTTTTTGACTTTAAAGATTCTACTTTCAATTTCTCTTTTTAGTTGGTTGTTTCATTTCTGAACTTTTCTCTTCATTTTTTTAAAAAATTTTTATCGATTTGAGAATTTCTTTTATATTGTTTCAAGTTTGGTTGTAATTTTAGAACAGTTGATTTAAATATTGTTGGCCGAAAATGAAGACAATGTTTTAGATTGAAATACCTCTTTAAATTGAAGAACATCTTTTAAAAAATTGTAAAATAAATACCAGTGTTATAAAATCTAATACTAATTATTTCATGGCATAGAGCTTGACCACAGCTGAGTTTAACTTTCTGTGTGTAAACATGGATCAACATTTGTCCACAGCTATTTTAAACTAAGAAGACCCAATTCACTATTACATAGGTAAAAGTCTACGTAGGTGATCCCTGAGTGTCTGTCTATATTTCCAGCACATCTATATAATCTTTATAATCCTGACACAACCTAAACCATTGTTCTATTTAAATGAATTAGATTATTAACAGTAAAGTGTGTATAATACGTCCAACTGGCCTCTGTATAAGTTGGAATTGGGTCATTTTATTTAACTTCAGTTAAATCCATATTGTTATAGATTATTGTGTTATTAGAATGTAAAAAGAATTAGATGCATGCTTACTTCACATCGCTTGAAAAATTTGTCTCGGGCATGAAATTCTACACGTAAGCTGTAGGGTAAAAGTGTGAGTAAGTATTACTTACGCTTTGTACAACAAGACCGTGATGATTTTTGTTTATATAGTTGTTGGCCCCACAGCATGAAGCATATGAAAGGTCACGCACAACAAACCATGTCATAAAAGGTCACACACAACAAACCATAGGAGATTGATCTCATGCTGTCACCTAGATTTGTTTGAATATGTAATGTACTTTTATATGATTCATAAAGGTTGAAGGGTTATTCGTCTTCATCCAAAATCGTCTGAATATGATAAGTAGGAGAGCTACCATAGTTACAATTCAATGTCTAGGCCAGAAAATAATGACGTGTCACACATTTGTTATAAATATCATTGTGTCGGACAAAATGCTAGTCACCAGGGGGATTGTGACTTATAATGTGCCTAATTTCCAGGCCTGTTTGTAGATTGTGATGCTCTTTTTATTGACCCTATAATTTAATCTTAGGTGAGTTTTCTTCTTTTTTTTCCCCCTCGTATCATCGTATTTCAAGGTCTGCACATGCTAGTTCAACAGAGATTTATAATAAAAGCTCATTTCTGTATGGTTAGGTCTTGCACTCACTTTGTACAACGTGGCCCAGATGTTTTTTTGTCTGATATTAATGTGGTATTTTTGTATTTAATTATATTAGGAGTCTGATTTACAACAAGCTGATAAATACGCTGAATTAGCCATGGCTGCTGATAGATATAACCCAGCAGGTAGGACTTTTAATTCATATTTATACCCTTGTTTATTTTGTGAATGAATTTAATAGTAACAAATTTTGAAACAGCTTGAAAGATCCCAAAGAGCTAATCTTTCATTTTAATACTTTCATTTGCTATAATTTTTCATTTATTGTAGCTCTGGTAAATAAAGGGAATGTATATTATCAGAGAAGAGATTATGAAAAAGCTAGAGAAATGTTTAAAGAAGCCATATCTAATGATTCTTCTTGTGTTGAAGCACTTTATAATTTAGGTAAGTTGTCACTGCGTAGCGGGTCTTTACCAGAGAGTACAATTTTATTTCAATATTTTTCTTGTCCATAGGGGTCTTAAGCAGTGGGAGGGACCCGGAGAAAACCCGTTATGCTAGGCAGCGACCCTACTCTTTGTCACAGACTTGGGATTGAAGCAAAGTCACTTGACGCAATGACAGACCCTGTGATCTAAAGTTCTCACGTTAGACTAACACCCTCTACCCCACACCCAGCCATTGATTGTTCTAATAATATTAAAATAAATGTCTTAGTGCCATTACTCTGATATCTTTTGTTTATATTTTTAATAATTTGCAGGTTTATCCAATAAAAGATTATCCCGATTAGAAGAAGCGCTAGACAGTTTTTATAAATTACACGCTATAATGAGAAATAGTCCACAAGTTTTATATCAAATAGCCGACATGTATCCTTTTTATACTTTCACACTCTAACAGCTATAAAAGACCTTTTAGGTCCTGTTTTTTTTTGGGGGGGGGGGGCTCAAATTTTGACAGAGGCTCTGGCTGACATCTGTCATAACTATTTATCGGGGCCCATTGGTTACTCATTTATTTCGAATGATATATCTGTTGTTGTAAACCAGGGTTTCAGTTTAAAATTTCACTATTTGTGGTTTGGGTTATCAAATGTCCAAATTGAATCAGAAGAAATCCACTTTAAGAAATAGGGTCAATAAACTTTCATTCCAACAAAATATATTTCTGGGTGATTTTTATGTCTTTCATCACATTCTATAAATAAAATTTACTCTGGTCGTCTCAGACATGAAACTCCTTTTGATAACTTTGTGTAAACTGGGGTCTTTTACTAAATGACTTTGGTTTTCAATCTCTGAAAATTAATACAGTGTATTACCAAACCGCTATAGATATAGTTAACCAAATGAAAAGTGGGAGTTATAGAAAAAGGAGGCCTATTCCATTCATCACAAGAATTAGATTTGAAATTATAATAGCTACAGATATTTTTATCTTAACATTATCAAGATATGATCAGATGGAAGATACAGCACAAGCTACAGAATGGTAAGACTTTTGTTTCAAGATTTTATTTCTTTTTAAGCGCCCACACATTTTGGGCATATATAATTATGGACCGTTCCGTTCATTATTTACAAAGATAAGTGGAATTGAAATTTCCCTGATAAATATTCTCTTCACTATGTAATAAGCCCACCGCCATTTTGTTGTCCACAAAAATTTAATGATAGACATGTTTTAAATCCAATTGAATCCAAGCTTAGACATAATGTAGCCTTGGTATTTTAATTAAATGCTATATAATATTAGCGTGGAATAAGCTGTGTGAAATTTTATATTTTAGCGAAAAATGTCAATGGCGCATCGTCACTTTATGAAGACCATTTGTTCAAAATGTATAAAATTTAACTCTGTTCAGTGTTATACACATTTTCAAATTTCCCCTTTTATATAAATTGATGTTAACATTCAATGATTATATGTTGTATGTTTTAGGTTTTTACAGTTAATAGGAGTTGTACCATCTGATGCCAGTGTTTTAGCGAGAATGGGGGAATTATATGATGCTGAGGGGGACAAATCTCAAGCTTTTCAATATTATTACGATGTAAGAAATTTTAATTTATTATCAATATTAAGAGCTGTTTTCATCTATATTACAAAGTTTCCATTTAATTAAAACTAGATGTTATTTTCATTCTCTATGTGGTTTGCAGTAGTTGAGCTGTTGGGGCACTAGACTCGACTCATCCATAACAGTTTTCAAACCTTGTTATCAAGGGTGTCTTTCAGATGAGATGGAAAGCCATGGCCCACCTGTGTATGTGCACACAAAAGAACACTTGACATTTGGAATCACAACCATATTCTCCTCCCTAGCATTGCACAAGACTGTGACCATATTAAAAAAATGAAAGTAATCTTATGTTAGTATCAAAGTGACTGAATTATTGTATTGATGAGACATAATTGACCTCAGTAATCAAGAAAAGACATCAAAGTAAATATGAATGCACACGAGTGATGAAAGTCGACAAATATGATGTAACAACAAGTTTGATGTTGATCCTGTATTGATTGTGATAAATGCAATATACCCGAGGATAATTGATTAGCAGTTGCTTCCATATACGAACACTGCTAATTTTATTATACCTGACTGTTTACATAACATCATGCACTGAGTTTCGTCGTATCCAGGATTTTTATGATTCAGCACAAAATATGCTCTATTCTGCGTGCAAAATGACCGACGGGTCAGAACCAGTTTTTATCTTTGTCCATAGCGCTCGGTCTTGACTGGCACATACATCTGACATGGGAACCCATGCTCCATTCCTTTCCCTACTTTTATTTTGTGTATTTGGTCAGTCACTCCATTAACATATTTAAAGACATTTAAGACAGGAACGATCAGACCTGTGACAACAGCATAATAGTGTCTTTGACCTTGATTAGACACCAAATCAACCGTTTTCTCGATAATCAAAGCCTTTCAAAAAATTTCACCAAATTTTCTTTATCACAGGATTTGATTTGTACATGTAGGTTGATATGGACTATGGAGTCAACCAATCACAAACTTTGCATTACTAAGGGTGCCCCATTGTATACTTTTTGTAACATTTTTATATATAAGTTTTTTTCTTTTTTCTAGTCTTACCGTTTTTTTCCGTCCAATATACCTGTTATAGAATGGTTAGGAGCGTATTATATTGATTCTCAATTCTGTGAAAAGGCTGTCCATTATTTTGAAAGAGCAGCCATTGTTCAGTAAGTACATAACATTTTATATAATCAAATATTGTCTTATAAAATTATTTAACCACACATTACTAATGATGCTGATTGCCATTTCCAGCAATTGCGATAAAAATATAATTTTAGCAATAACATTTTTAACTGGCAAGTTTTATCTCGATAAATTTTTCTCGTATGGAAATTCCTTTTCCCTGTGGAAAATGTTTTCTAGACTTTGTTTAGTTATGATGTCTTTCATCCGTTCTCATGCATAGCCCATGCTTAATTATTATTTTGACAATCAATTAGGTATCAATTATTGAGTTATCTAATTGTCTGTTAATTTTGGATTTAATTATTTGTTTTCAAATATGAACCAGCAGCTTATTTAATGCTTGATAAAATTAAAATAAAAAGCTGGTGGGAAAAACATTGAACCCTGACTGAGCACTGTAACAACACATGGGTTAGCCTGTTAGATTTTAAGAAATGGTTTAAATTTTCGATCCTTATCAGCTAGATGTTCTTGACCATGACACTTTTTCCTCATATTCTAGTCTAGCTAATTGTAGTTGTTGTACTTGATATAACACAAAATGTCTGTAGGAAAAGTGGCATGTGTTCTAGATAAATGCTAAAATGTTGAATTGAATTCATTCAGATTCAAAAAAAGGTCAATCAAAACATTTGTAGTTGGTGCCGGGGCTTTTTATATTGTTTTCTGAATGTTGTGATATTTTCAATTCATCATATGTAAATACTGAACAGAAATGAACCATTTTTGGACGGACATCGTTTAAATATTCAACATTCTAAATTTCGTAATTGGCAAGATAATCAAAATCCTTGGAAGCATGATCAGCCGTTTATATGTTTTATTTCTTCAGACCTAATCAGGTTAAATGGCAGTTAATGATAGCTAGTTGTCATAGAAGAAGTGGTAATTATCAACAAGCTTTAGAAACTTATAAACAGATACACAGAAAATTCCCTGATAATGTTGAATGTAAGTTTATAATTTATATTGTATATAATTTCACAGCTTGGATTCATTCAGATTCATTATTTGTGGTGAAGGCATGTTTATAGCAGAGAATGCCAAATGTTGACAAATTTTATAAATAATGAATGAAAATATCAATTTCCAATCAACGTCAAATTACAAGATTGGTGATATTTTACTGTGAACTCGAACCGGGTCTCACTTTAATTTATGGAACTTTAAGTAACACTGATATAGATTGAATCCAAATGGTATTATTATTATCATTATTTATATTTTATTAATAGGTTTAAAGTTTTTGGTAAGACTGTGTACAGATTTAGGTCTTAAAGATGCCCAGGAGTATGCTACTAAACTTAAGAAGGCTGAAAAAGCTAAAGAATTGAAAGACCAGGTATGTGGAGTAAACTCTCATTTATAGAATTGACAAATTACATTTATAGAAAATAAGCCATAGGATTAATGAATTAGAATTTGAATCTATTCTTTGGCTAAGACGAATCTTATAAGACAAATCTTCAGGATTTTTTTAGCCTGGCCCTCTCATGTCATGGCTAATGTCTGTTGGACTGTCAAGTGAAATTCTCAAATGGGTCCAAATTCCCAAGTCCACATGCCAAAACATTGGTGTACACATATAAGAACCCTTGGCAGTTGGAAATCGAATACGCATAAATGCTGAAACAGGACAAAATTATTCAATCTCACATAATTGCAAACTTAACCATTGAAATATGGTTGTATTGATAGGAAATGAAACCACATTCCATTCTTATTTTATAATATCACTGATATGTTACAGAGAGCTACAAGTGGTACAAGAAGATCAGGAAGTGGTAGAGGCACCAGAGACCGAGATCAACAAGGTACAAAAGTTCTTTTATTTGATTCATAATGGTTGAGTATGACTAAAGAAGTGGCAAGAAACAGTGTCTGATCTTTGGGATGGGATAAAAAAAAAAACAACATCAGAAGTCTTGGTGATTACTAACACAACTCTGTTTGTGTAATTAATAACACAATTCTTGTTTGTGTATTTAAGTAGATCGTGATGGAAGTGCTGGGCGTAAAGGACAGAGAACCAACAGTGGAAGGACACGAGGTACATTACCAGACGGTGATGATGATAGTTTTACTGGTGGACAAAAAGATGTTGGTAAGAATCAATTTTTTTTCCTGTGTTAGTCTACCAGTTAAGGGTAGAACTTTCTGTCAGCTGGGAAAACCCTGCAACTTCGGCTCTAATTTCGATTGGGTATTCACCCAGCTTGAGAGCTAATCAGATTCCTCGATCATCGCGAATAACAGGTCTCGCACTTTCCAGCTAAAATGTCTACCTGTGATAATTGAGTTGCAAAGTTCAAGGTTCGTTCAATGTGAAGGGTTCCGTGGAGGTTGCTGTAGTTGATTTGATTTTCTTAGTGTCACACTTTTGATTGGAGGCTACTGTTCACATGTCTGCAGTAAAGGGAGGAAATGTAGGTATAAGTTTGGGAATAGCAAACTAATCAAGCAACGTCCAGATGTTGTAAAACTCTCAGTCAATGCTTCAGGACTGTTTATCTTGGCATGTACGTAAAAGAACCCTTTAGAAAAAGGTTGGACCCCATTTGATTTCATTTCTTTTTCCTCATTTATCTTATTTTATTACAGATGCATCATATAGTGACCCTCTCGGACCCCAGATGGAACGACCAAAAACTGCAGCTCAACGTCGTAATCCTCACGATGATGAATTTGGTGATGAAGAACTAGGAGATGATCTTTTACCAGAATAAATCATAATTCTGTCCTACACACTATCTTATTTATTACATTCCGTCCTTTTATCATTTATATACATGTTTGTACAATGGATGTACTTTCCACATATTTCTAAACATGTATTGATACTAATGGCTGTTTCTCACAACAGATAAACTGTTTGACTACATGTAGTTGGAAATTTATTACCTTTTTAAAAAATATTATTACATTGTATAGTGCTGTCTTCATTGAAATGCTTCAATGTGCTTTACATACAAGTAAATATTAACGAAATATCTGAATAATAAAATTGTTTGAAATAACATAAAAGCTGAAGGATAAATATACAAATTCGACTAGTAATAAGTAAATGAAGTCTAGGAAAATAAACTTGAGCTCAGACTTTTTACATACAAATGAAAACAAGTTGTTGAAAAGACAAGCCAGGAAGTAATTAATGTTTATTATTAAATTGTACAAATTACATGTTGTTAATACTGTGATATTTAATTTAAAAATTCCATTATAAATACATACAAAATTACTGCATTTGTTACTTTGTATCCATATTTTCATGTGGACGTATTATGTCCTCACCCATGCAAGTCCCTTCACATATGTCTATATCCCAAAGATCTTGAAACTTAACTTAAAATGCAAAATAAATATGTTTATATCCCAAAGATCTTGAATGTGTTCAAATTTGGCACCCATCAGATTGTAACTTCCTGGATTTTTGCCCCTTATTGTACAAAAATCACCTCCATTTATTGTGTTCAATCTAGGGGTCAAATTGTTATGTGGACGTATTATGTCAGGTTGATTTTGGTGCAAATTGGACTGCTACTAACCGTTACAAATTGCCCCTGTAATACAAGTATCAAAGTTGTGGACTATGTGAACCTAGAGCCCTCTATTAAAATTCTTAGGTTTTAATCCCTGTGGGGGTGACAATGGCTAGGTAGGTTAGAGGCATTGGCCAAGAAAATACATCCAGATTTTCTGGTGTGGTTCTCCCTTGATGGTGATGCAGGACAAGAGGACCTGACAAGGACAGATGTCTAGTCATGCGGATGGGATGAAAAACCTAGGTCCCGTGTAGGTACACATTGGAGTGCACGTAAAAGTTCCCTTGGCAGTTGGAATTTGGTGTAAGAGTAGGCCATAGTGCCGCTGCCCGGACAAAATTTCCCTCATAGCACACTGTATGGTGTATGCTCGTCTTTGTTAGCCCAGTTCGGAGTAGGACGTTAAACCCCATTTCATTTCATTTCATTTATAATCCCTGCCTTTTATAATGCAAAATGTGAAATAAATTTGTGGATCCTGTATAGGTTTTCAAGTTTAAGAATACTCTGTTCAGTTTAGTAAGATTTGTTGTAGATACCATAATGTTGAACTTTGTATGGCAATACTATAATTCTTTTTGCTTAAGACAACTGCCTTAATGCATATGGCAGCCCATCTGAATTGCAAGTGAAATTGTGGGTTAATTAGTTGTCCTAGAAATAAACTGGTTCAGTCATAGTTTTTGATACCCATCATAAAACACAAAGAATCCCTCCCTTCGCTGCTTATTATTAGAAAAATGGGCAGTGGTTTCCATATTTAGTACGTTGTTTGATTCTAGGTTAAAGCATTTGCAACTAACTAATCAAATTATTACCTCGTTGGTCCAGGGGGTCAATCTCTAACCCTTTCAACTATTGGTGTTTCACATGGCCGTTAAAAAAAGGAAACGGGCATCATATGGTGTGAGGGGTTTGGAATGGCCAAGTGGTCTAGAGAGTCGCGTTTCGAACTCTTGTTGGTTGTTCACCTCAGGCTTGCGGTCGTGACACAGGATCAATAGGACCGATATGGTCACATCTGTTATTTAAAGCTGTGACACAGGATCATAAGAACTGATGTAGTCACATCTCTGTTATTTTAAAAAGAGAGAGTGAGAAATGGGGTTTAACGCCCACTCGACACAAACTAGGTCATTTCGGGACTAACATGTTTTTTAAAATTTTATTTCAATAATTCGCTTGCGCGTAGGGGTCTTTAGCAGTGGGAGGACCCGGAGAAAACCCACGAGGTTGGACAGGCGACCCTACTCCCTTGTCACGTACAACCGGGGATTCGAAACCATGCCAGTTGACTCAATGACAGGCCTTATGATACAGCACGCACGTGCTAACCATTCGGCCATCCAACCCCCCTCTGTTATTTTAAAGCCCGTGTCCAGGATAATCTTACATTGTGTCATTTTCCGATTCAGGTGCAAGTTACAATATATTATTAAGGATGAGTTCAGTGTTGGTGTACATCGGACCGTAACTTTCTGGATATGATCCAGCTGTCCTTTACGCAAAATGTGTAACAATGTTTGTGGGTTCTCCAGTATAATTAATTGGGAACATGGATGCAGGAAACCTGGATATTTTCACTTTCCATGACGGACGAATCCTATCGGTAGCGTTGATATTTTGTTTTCTTATATGGTTTATCTGTTCTCAGTACATTCTAGAACGAATTAAGATGTGAGAAGTTTCCTTATAATGCAAATACCTAATATGATCGTAAATCTCAATAAAGTAAGAAATATGTCTACAACTCGAAACGGGTGACAGACTATTTTTTCTTGGTTAATTTTTAATCTTACTAGATAAATAAAACCCCACACGATCGAGAATCTCAACTATTAATATTAAGTGATTTGCCCAACAAAATATATCACTTCCAAATGCCAGCATGGAATGATTAAACAGTTTGGGATTGAAATACTAACTCATTTTGATCAATGAATCGATTTGTCATGTTCTAGAAATTACATTACTTAAAAGTTACAGTAACATTTAAGTAATGTAATTTCTAGAACATGACAAATCGATTCATTGATCAAAATGAGTTAGAACACTACAAACGACCAGGTCTAATGCTTCATTGAGAGTCATATAGTATATTATTACTTACACGATAATTACGATAAAACTGTTTCTTCCTTTTCTTTTGTAACTAGTAAACAGAAAGTGAAAGTACATCGTTTTCCTGGGAATAATAACCGAAGGCAGCAGTGTGACGTGTAAGTTACACGTCACACTGCTGCCTTCGGTTATTATTCCCAGGAAAACGATGTACTTTCACTTTCTGTTTACTAGTTACAAAAGAAAAGGAAGAAACAGTTTTATCGTAATTATCGTGTAAGTAATAATATACTATATGACTCTCAATGAAGCATTAGACCTGGTCGTTTGTAGTGTTCTAATCGATTGAATTACCCAAGTATAATAATATGAATTATAGAGTGGGGTACTGTCTGAATGTAAAATGTCCAGCATTCATGTGATATGATTTACGGCGTTACAAGGTATTTTAGAACGGGCGTGGTTCCTTACTCCACGTATGAACAGTCTGGTACCTATTTTGTGCTTGTAGTAAAGGCATGTATTGAGATGCATTTAAGGTGGGGTTGCCGACCAATGCTGATCTTAGACCGACTCGGGAGTAGGTTAATCCCCAAAATTGACCACTCAGGATTGATGTTGTGCCAGGGGGCCCAAACCAAAGGTTTGATACCCATTTTGTGCTTGTACTGAAGGATATATAGGTCTAGTGAGATATTATTTTGACGATGGCTGGGACGTGGCCGGCCGACCAATGGTAACCTTTGTCCTAATCAGACAATTCCCCCTAAATTGACTACTCAGAAGGATATATATTGTCATTGGGAATTCTTAGGAACATTTTGACACAAGTTTCATAGATATACTCGAAATATCTTATAAAACCATTTTTGGCTGGAACAGCGCCCACTGGTGGTGTCCCCAAAAGCATTACTAGCTCCTACAGTATATGGGGAAATGATTGAAATGTTTATAATTTGGCACCCGTTTGATCAGTACGTTACCCATGCCTACGCTACTGTTCATGGAACTACTGCAATTTAGCGAATCTTTAAAGTTATATTTTTTTCTTTTAGGTCCTTAAAGTAAGTAAAATGCGTCTGGACGAATTTATTGAACGGCTGAAATTTATCCCAAGTTTCTTCACTCTGGACATGTCCAACCTCCAAACTAGTAAACTTCAAACTATGAAAGTTAAAATAGAAGAGCAGGAACCGGATAAATCCACTGAAACAGTTAACAATAATCTAGTATCATTTCTTAAGTTTAGTCTTGTCAAAGACTTTGGTTCCTGCGAGACCAAAAACTCGTGGGTTTTAGAGAGGAATCCATGCAACATACAAGCAAATGTCATGAAAGCTGTTCTATATTCTCAAATGGACAGAATTAGCGAGGCAGAAGATAAATTCAAAGAACTTAAAGAATTAAGCAAAGACGATTATTTGATGGCCGAAGCTACAGCAGAAAACGCATATGCTTACTCAAGAATGGGACCAATATATTATAATACAGCCATTGAACTGTATGAGGACGTTATTCAAAAATATCCAGACCAATATGACTGGAAATATCGCATGGCACTAACTATACGTAGATGCCAACATTCGGGCATTTTCGGTCTATTACCCGCAATTGACCCCGTAGCAAACTTCCACAGGGCTAAAGGAATGTTTGAGGATGTAATTGAGAATAGTGAAGATAGAATATTAAAAGCCTTGTCTTTTAATGGCCTGGCCCAGCTGCATCACGGATATTGTGCGGAGAAGATTACTTTCGGCGACATGGGATTTCAAACAGAAGAAGCTGTCAAAGAACGGATCTTTGTATATTTAACCAATGCTAATGAATTCTCTGATGATGATCAGAAAGTTTTAACGGTAACTGGTCGCTTACTGAGAAAACTGGGAAAATTAGAATTGGCTAGAAACGTATTGGAGAAGGCTATGACCATACACCCAACCACTATATGTTGTGAGAACCTCGCTTTAACTATAAGAGATATAGATGGTGGGTATACACCATTAGTGATTGATCGCTTGACACAGGCCGTGGAATTAAGTAAAGGTCTTAACCTGTTCGCCATGGAGCAATTAGGTATAGCTCATAAGGAGTCCGGGAATCTCGAAAAAGCTCTGGACTGTTTCAAAATACTCGCTGACGGAACTGACTATCTTTATCAACGACAGGGCAACGAGAGAGCATCAGGCTGTTATAAATTACTCGCGAAAGACGGGGGCATTTCCTCAGAAGAAAAAAATAGATGTTATAATGAATACAATCGCTGTAGAAGAGAGTGCATTATTAGTGCTGTTAAGCTTCATCTTCGAGATGGCAAAGGCCCAGAAATAGAAAAGGTTTCAGTGAGGGATCTTTTCCATGATTCCGGAGTCCATACCCGTTACAGCGGTTCAAACTTAGATCAGGTTAAACGAATTGTGAGATTTCAAAAAAAATCTCTCGGTTTTAACAGTGATATTAAATTGGCTTACGGAAAAAGGGATATTAATGACGCTTTTAAAAATTTGATACACACATTTTTAAAGTTAAAGGAATATAATGACTGTATGGATTTAGCCACCATATTAACGTTAACGGATATACCAGAAATAGAGATGATAGCAGTGGAGGTTATGATGGATATTGTTGGAGAAACGGCTGACGACACCATTGTAAACTCCTGCTTTGAACGAGCAATGACAATTTCTTACAATGCTAAGGAAGTGGATTCACATGTCCGCCTTATCTATGATACCACAACTTGTAAAGAAGAGGCAGATAAGATTGATGAATGGCTGGTAGGAGTAGGGTTAAAGGTAACCAAGAATCGGGATGATATCTTTCAGTTCCAAAACAAAAAACAGGCCCTGTTGACGGCCATGTCTGATTGTAATATCGTGGTGTTATGCATTTTTAAAAATAACAACACGAACTTAGTGGAAGATTATCCGATTGACGCTCTTCCTCAAAATCAGCCGGTTGTTATTCCATTGGTTGTAAACAGTAGTTACGTGTCCCCTAATCTACGTCATATTCCGCCTTTGAAATACCCGGACCCTGACGATTCGAAGGGAACCTGGTTGAAAGAATTTGGGAACAGAGTATTTAAAAGGGGTGCTCAAACATAATGGGTCAAAAGAAAAATGTGTAGATATTTCGCAAACAAATACGACGTTTTTTTTTATTCCATTGACACAGTAACACGTTTAGTTTTCGAAAAATGGTTTAAGAGGGGGGGGGGGGGGCGTAATCAGAAGATGCAGTCAAAACTCTTTTTATATATTTTTTATTTAAGCATATACAGAAATGATAATAAATTACACAATGTATTCTTTTAAAGATATACCAGACATATAGTTAGAAAATAATAATCATTGCACTATATTTTAATTACACAGTCCATTCTTCTTTATTTAAGTCATGCAGATCAGAGTATATGTGCTGTAATTTGTTCTGTAGGGGATTGCTTTGTGTGGTACCTATAATCAATTATGAATTTGTAGAGCGCAATTCTTTCCAGTAAACCATTATTACTAGGAAAATGACGACCGGCTAGTTCATTTTTTTATACGCCCACATTTTCATGTGGACGTATATTGTCGTCGCCCCGGTCCGTCCGTCCGTCCGTCCACAATTTGTTTGTGGACAGTCTACAGGTCATAATTCTTCTCCGATTTTGACGAAACTTGAAATATGGGTTTATCACCAAAAGATCCCGGTTCCTTTCGATATTGGCATGTATCGGATCGAAACTTCAAGGATTATGTCCCTTGTTTGTACGAAAAATCACGTTTTTAGCTTGTGGACACTTTAGAAGTCACAATTTTTATCCCATTTTGTTGAAACTTGAAATGTAAGTTGATAATCCAAAGTTCTCGGTTCCTTTCGAAATTCGCGCATATCGGACCTTAACTTCCTGAATTATGGCCCCTGATTGTACGAAAAATCGCGTTTTTAGCTTGTGGACCCTATAGAGGTCATAATTTTTATCCGATTTAAATAAATGTATTATTATATCACCGTTACACCCTAAGGACGGCTGAGTTCAAATTTCGTGAAACTAGGCCCAAAACTGACAGACAAAATGGCCGTCCCGCGTTCTCAAATAGCGTAAAAATATGGTATATCAAGGGTGTGAACCCTATAGAAGTCACAATTTTTTTCCGATTTTGTTGAAACTTGAAATTTAAGTTTATAACCCAAAGATCTCGGTTCCTATAATTTCGATATTTGCGTATATCGAATTGTAATTTCCTGAATTATGGCCCTTGATTGTAGGAAAAATCACTTTCTTTTTAGTATGTTCTCTATCCATCTCTCGAAAATGTGGGCGTATCCTGCCTGGCAGCTGCTGGTTTAAATTATTGGTTGGGGAGGGGAGGGGAAGGGGGGGAGGGGGTAAACAGAGGGCAGACCAATTATGGGAAGGCAAATGCCGCCACTGTTCTCCAGTATAATGAATTGGGGACATGGAATCAGGAAACCTAGATATTTTCACTGACCGTGAGGGACGAACCCTGTTGATCCAGGTCGATCGATAGCGTTGATATTTTGTTTTCTTAAATGGTCAATCTCAGTACATTATAGCATGGATTAAGCCGTGAGAAATTTCCTAAAAGTGCAAATACTCAACATGACCACCAACACCAATAAACCAACAAATATGTCGTCAACTCGAAACGGGTGACAAACTATTTTTTTTGGTTAATTTTTAATCTTAGGGACTACTTGGTAAACAAAACCCAACACTATCGCGAATCTCAACTATTTGCCCAACATAATAGGCCTAGGCCTAGTGTGGCGCTTTTTCTTCTTCTGTCTTTGGCCACGAAATGGTGTAGCGGGTTGGTAGTGTGGGGATTTCTGCTGCAATTGTTGCTCACAAGCCGTTTAAAGTAGAGCCTCTTCAGAGGAGAGGGCGGACTAGCTAAAAAGTAGTTGTGCTATGTTCGTCTCTCTCTCTCTCTTTCTCTCTCTCTCTCTTCGAACAAACCTGTATAAAACTATAAAGTTTTATTATGTATTATAACATACAGGTAAGTTTTATACTATTTATAAAGAGGCGAACTGTCCCAGTTCAACCAGTTCAAGCCGTTCTGTGATCTGTTCTGTTTCTGTGTAATAGCCTAAAGCTATACTGTGTATTAACTGCAAGCAGTTAAAGGCTATATCTTTGCATTAAACGCAAGCGTTTAACGTCTGTGTCTGTCTGGGAACAACTGACCTACGATACTAGTGCGGGGTATCACGTTCGCCAGAATGGCCTCGTTCCTGAGAATTCATCCCCATTCCCCAGATCATGCAAAATTATAAACTATATACGCTGCTTTAGTAAATAAAGTATACATTGTCAACAATATAAATGCAACATTATTTAATAGATGGACATAATGTGATTTATGATTAAGTTGACATACAAAAGTATTATTTAGTTACGCTTAATAAGTTATAGGATATGCATATAAATTATAATTATTCAAATTCAGCTATTTAAGTAAAGGGAGATAATAATACTCAGTAATATTAGACAATGTATTATGGTACATTTCCAACAAAATAGATTATATAATAGGGATATAAACTCACTAATAGTATGCTAAATAATAAGACTGGGGTTTCTATTAAATTACAAAATTAAAACTAATATATGGCAGATAACAATACTGTTATCAAATATCCAGTCCCTCATATATAACTCCAGTGACCTATATTTAAATATAGCTGTTATAGTCTCGACTATTTAGGCGTCTACAGACTATAAATAAAACAATATTAACAAAATGAAACTAGCTTTGCCACACCAGGTATCCCTTCAACCTGTCAGCTTATAATAATAATAATAATAATATCTTTATTTTCAAAGGTGAAAAATTAGGCTTAGAGCCTGTTTACAATTTTGCCCTTTATAACAAAGAAATGAAAACGACAGTAACAGAACAAGACACTTAACAAATACTCACACACAAAACATCCAAATATATATTGATAAGCTAAATAGTTTAACTTCAAAACTAAAAGTAATATGATAGATAATATGTAGTAAGTAGTTGATTTATTAAATATAGGCTACAGGTTAAGAAGAAGAAATAACATGCCTAGTGATATTTTTCTTAAATAAATGAAGATTTTTAATATTTTTAAGTGAATATGGGAGAGAATTCCAAAGCACTGTGCCTCTATATTGTAAACTACATTTAAATATTTCATTATTAGGTCTACAGATAGAAAGTCTATTATTGAGAGATGCATATATGGAGTGCTGTTATAATGAAAAATATTATATATGATGGACAAAGCTTGGACTGAAATAGTCAGGGATTGAAATACAAAGCGTTTGTTTCCTATGCAATCTGATTAAAATCAGATATCAGTTTCAATTCCGAGTAAAACAAATTAGAAATCGTTTTGTCATGTTCTAGAAATTACATTACTTAAATGTTACACGTAACACTGCTACTTTCGATTATTATTTCTAGGAAAACAATGTACTTTCACTTTCTGTTTACAAAAGGTGAGGAAGAAACAGTTTTATCGTAATTATCGTGTAAGTAATGGTATACTATATGACTCTCTATGAAGCATTATACCTGGTCGTTCGTAGTGATAACCTCTAAAATTGAAAATTCAAATCAATTTTAGAATTATGATGATATGAATTATAGAGTGGGGTACTATCTAAATGTAAAATGGTCACCATTCACGTGAAATGATCTGTGGCGATACAACATTTGGGCGTACGAAAGCAACATGATATTTTAGAACGGACGTGGTACCTCAGTCCACGTAGGAACAGTCTTATACCAATTTTGTGCTTGTACTGAAGGTATGTATTGTTATTTAAGACGGCTAGATCTATTTGATAAGGCCAACTTCAAGTTTGGTCAAAGGTCACGAGATGTAAACAGGGCTAGCTTTAATCTCAACCCTAATCCTAACCCTGGACCTAGCCCTAAGGCTTATCCTAACCCACAATCTCGCCAACAATCTGATCTCTCAATATTTATTTTTGTTAGAGGACACCGGTGAAGCACCCTTCATAAAATTTAAAAAGTAACGTCATGATCCAAATGTATAAATAATTAATTACACCAACCATGTATTTATCTTCTTTGATTGGCATTTAGTAATTGAACATATTAACACAAGGTACAATTTGCTTGATAAAGACGAGAGTATCCTCGTCGAAACGTCGCTTAGTATTAAACTCAGTAATTGTGTATCCATAAAATTGTACCTTGTGTCATATATTTATCGTTGATGTTATACATACGTAGAAAATTTTACACACCGCCTTTAAATTACATATTATTATTGGCATACTTATTCCACAAGGAAGTTACTCAAATATATATTTTATTTTATACACGTGTGACGGCGTTAAGGAGTATAAAATGTCTGACTATTCATTTGTGCAAACCAGTGAGGTGTTACGATAGAAATAGACGTTAATACAGCCGTCGTATTGCTACATGTAGGTTCCCACTGTCACGATTCGCGACAGGAAAACGCGTTTGCGGCCGTCAACTTTTCGAAATTTTCTTTGGTTGGTGGGGGCCTGGGCAGGGAGGTTCTACACGGTAAGTCCCGCTCCTGCACCGCCGTCTGTAACCCGAAAGTTTTTCGGGCATTTCAAGTTTTGCCCCAGAACATTCATCGAACCCGTCCGTCGAAGCCGAGATGTGTTATAATACCAATTTTGGCGGTAACGTGGTTTCCTCAAAAGCATTGCTAGCTCCTACAGTTTATGGGTAAATATTTGAAGTGTTTATAATTTGGCACCCGTCTGATCAGTACGTTACCCATGACTGCGCAACTGTTCATGGAACTCCTGTAATTTAGCGAATCTTTAAAGGTACAATTTTACTTTTAGGTTCTTAAAGGGAGTAAGATGGGTCTGGATGTATTTATTGAACGGCTGAAATTTATCCCAAGTTTCTTCACACTGGACATGTCCAACCTCCAAACTAGTAAACTACAAACTATGAAAGTTAAAATGGAGGAGCAGGAACAGAATAAATCCACTGAAACGGTTAACAACAATCTAGCATCATTTCTCAAGTTTATTCTTATCAAAGACTTTGGTTCCTGCGAGACCAAAAACTCGTGGGTTTTAGAGAGGAATCCGTGCAATATACAAGCAAATGTCATGAAAGCTGTTCTATATTCTCAAATGGACAGAATTAGCGAGGCAGAAGATAAATTCAAAGAACTTAAAGAATTAAGCAAAGACGATTATTTGATGGCCGAAGCTACAGCAGAAAACGCATATGCCTACTCTAGAATGGGACCAATATATTATAATACAGCCATTGAACTGTATGAGGACGTTATTCGAAAATATCCAGACCAATATGACTGGAAATATCGCATGGCACTAACTATACGTAGATGCCAACATTCGGGCATTTTCGGTCTATTACCCGCAAGTGACCCCGTAGCAAACTTCCACAGGGCTAAAGGAATGTTTGAGGATGTAATTGAGAATAGTGAGGATAGAATATTAAAAGCCTTGTCTTTTAATGGCCTGGCCCAGCTGCATCACGGATATTGTGCGGAGAAGATTACTTTCGGCGACATGGGACTTCAAACAAAAGAAGCTGTTAAAGAAAAGATCATTTTATATTTAACCAAGGCTAATGAATTCTCTGATGATGATCAGAAAGTTTTAACGGAAACGGGTCGCTTACTGAGAAAACTGAAACAATTGAAATTTGCTAGAATCGTATTGGAAAAGGCTGTGGCCATACAACCAACCACCGTATCTTGTGAGCATCTCGCTTTAACTATAAGAGATATAGATGGTGGGTATACACCATTAGTGATTGATCGCTTGGCACAGGCCGTGGAATTAAGTGAAGGTCTCAACCTGTCCGCTATGGAGAAATTAGGTATAGCTCATATGAAGTCCCGGAATCTTGACAAAGCTCTTGAATATTTCACGAAAATCGCCGACGGAACTGACCATTTTTATCAAAGACAGGGCAACGAGAGAGCATCAGCATGTTATAAATTACTCGCGGAAGACTGGAACATGTCCTTAGAAGAAAAAAATAGATGCTATAATGAATGCAATCGCTATCAAAGAGAGTGCATTATTAGTGCTGTTAAGCTTCATCTTCGAGATGGCAAAGACACAGAAATAGAAAAGGTTTCTGTGAGAGATCTTTTCCGTGATTCAAGAGACTACACCCGTTACAGCGGTTCAACCTTAGATCAGGTTAAACGAATTGTGAGATTTAAAAAAAAATCTCTCGGTTTTATCCGTGATATTAATTTGGCTTACAGAAAAAGGGATATTAATGACGCTTTTAAAAATTTGATACACACATTTTTAAAGTTAAAGGAATATAATGACTGTATGGATTTAGCCACCATATTAACGGTAACGGATATACCAGAAATAGAGATGATAGCAGTAGAGGTTATGATGAATATTGTTGGAGAAACGGCTGACGACACCATTGTAAACTCCTGCTTTGAACGAGCAATGACAATTTCTTACAATGCTAAGGAAGTGGATTCACATGTCCGCCTTATCTATGATACCACAACTTGTAAAGAAGAGGCAGATAAGATTGATGAATGGCTGGTAGGAGTAGGGTTAAAGGTAACGAAGAATCAGGATGATATCTTTCAGTTCCAAAACAAAAACCAGGCCCTGTTGACGGCCATGTCTGATTGTAATATCGTGGTGTTATGCATTTTTAAAAATGACAACACGAACTTAGTGGAAGATTATCCGATTGACGCTCTTCCTCAAAATCAGCCGGTTGTTATTCCATTGGTTGTAAACAGTAGTTACGTGTCCCCTAATCTACGTCATATTCCGCCTTTGAAATACCCAGACACTGACGATTCGAAGGGAAACTGGTTGAAAGAATTTGGGAACAGAGTATTTATAAGGGGTGCTCAAACATAATGAGTCAAAAGGAAAATGTGTAGATATTTGGCAAACAAATACGACGTTTTTTTTTTTATTCCATTGACACAGTAACACGTTTAGTTTTCGAAAAATAGTTTGGGGGGAGGGGGCGTAATCAGAGGATGCAGTCAAAACTCTGCATGGTTTAAACATTCTTTTTATATAATTTTTATTTAATTCTTTGACAAGCATATACAGAAATGATAATAAATTACACAATGTATTTTTTTAAAGATATACCAGACATATAATTAGAAAATAATAATCATTACACTATATTTTAATTACACAGTACATTCTTCTTTATTTAAGTCATGCAGATCAGAGTATATATGCTGTAATTTGTTCTGTAGGGGATTGCTTTGTGTGGTACCTATAATCAATTATGAATTTGTAGAGCGCAATTCTTTCCAGTAAGACATTATTACTAGGAAAATGACGACCGGCTAGTTCATTTTTTTATACGCCCACATTTTCATGTGGACGTATATTGTCTTCGCCCCGGTCCGTCCGTCCGTCCACAATTTGTTTGTGGACACTCTACAGGTCACAATTCTTCTCCGATTTTGACGAAACTTGAAATATGGGTTTATCTCCAACAGATCTCGGTTTCTTTCGATATTGGCATGTATCGGATCGAAACTTCATGGATTATGGCCCTTGTTTGTACGAAAAATCACGTTTTTAGCTTGTGGGCACTATAGAGGTCACAATTTTTATCCGATTCCAAAAAACGTATTATTATATCACCGTTACACCCTAAGGATGGCTGAGTTCGAATTTCATGTAAATCGGTCAAAAATTGACAGACAAAATGGCCGCTGTTCGTTCTCAAATAGCGTAAAAATATGGTATATAAAGGTTGTGGACCCTTTAGAGGTCACAATTTTTATACGATTTTGTTGAAACTTGAAATGTAAGTTTATAACACAAAGATCTCGGTTCCTTTCGACATTTGCGCATATCGAATTGTAATTTCCTGAATTATGACCCTTGATTTTAGGAAAAATCACTTTATTTTTGGCTTGTTCTCTATCCATCTCTCGAAAATGTGGGCGTATCCTGCCTGGCAGCCGCTGGTTTATTTTTGGAAACAGGTGGAAGTCTGACGGAGCCAGTTAAAAGCTTTGGCACCCATCCTGCAAAAACTTTTGTCATTCCTAACTCGTTGGTGATTTCAGCTGTGAACGACATTTTTAGATCACCCAGGCCTTGCAACATCGTTGGCAAAAGTGTGTACAACTCCTCGAAGGGCACTATGTGGAAAAATAAATGTAAATCATCGACTTTATACAGACTTAGAACTTTTCAGCCCCCCGTAGAAGCATTGCTTTTTGACAGATATCGGTATTAATATTATTTTTTAATAGGATTTCCGTCAAGTAGAAGATATGAGTTACAGAGAGTACATAGCGAACTCTCAGTTAATTTGAGTTTACATAGTTTTGTGTTAGTATATATTATTCTATGTACCTATTTATAATGAAAGTTGCGCATTTTTGTGTTACAGCACATAGCTAGTGTCTATATATTATTAATAGTGGTATAGAATTTGGTAAACAAATGTTTTTTCTACTCTTGCATTATAGATATTGTTTTATATATTTTATGTCAAATAATTTTTTATTATAGACATCCTTTAGATTATCGCTAGTATATAGTGTTTTAAAATCATTGATATTTAATTTTATCATTTTGTTTTGTTTTCGGTATTTTCTATGTAAACAATCTGTTTTTACCCTAAAATGGCCTTTTGTCTCAAGTATTTTCAAAGAAATCTTCACATTTTACTCCCACCTCCCACCAAAGATGGCGTATATCGTTTTTTTATTGGTAAGGAGGGGGGGGGGGTCATATATACATGCCAGAACCCTGTTGAATACGAATCGGTTTTAGTGTATAATTTTCCATGTGTAATTTGTAATTAATAATACATTTTATACACATGGCATTTAGTCAAACAGGTCCTTAATGCCAAAAAAATAGGTCAATCTGATTAAAATACAGATTTGTATTTCGTTTCGTTTTACTCGAAGGTTGTGTCAGGGGTCGTACGAGCGGCTTTTGACCCTATGACGTCAGACATTGATTAATTAATCAGCGTTGACGTTTCTAGTGGTTTACCCACAGTTCCGTGCATGGCACGCCAAGAAGTCGCCGTAACAGACCGTTTCATTGGCTTATCCCTCACTTCAGCCAAAACGCCGGTAATACAGCAACTCTTTCAGATCCTCGTGTATTCAAGACAAGTAATTTTGAACCATGAAAAAAACAAATCGAAATAGGATCTGTGTTTTAATCAGATTGGAAAAAAGTTAAATACAGAGTTAAGACCATACACAATCAAAAGTACATATTAAAAACCATTTTGATCCAAAATATTATTCATCAATTCTATTTTACGCTATTTGTTTTTATTGATTTCAAACGGCCATCTCGATCTCTCTTAGACAAATATATTCATAATAATTGTTCTCCCCTCTTCTGTTTCGTAGAAGCCACCGCATTCTATATGAAGGTCTTTTTATACACATATATAATAATAACAGACTTTACATCACAATAGTACCAGTGATGCAGCTTTAAATGTGGTGTGCCGTCTAACGAATGATTTACATGTAACACATATATACACATCAATTAAAACACAAAAAGTGAAAACATGTAATAATTTTAAAATTTGGGCTAACATATATTTTTTTCTCCAGAGCAAATGCAGTTCATCAGTCATTTTAGTTCAAAGTTAGATTTTTCATGTATTTTATTTTTCATTTTGAAGGCTGTCGAATCCGAAAAGCCCTGGGCACCCTATGTCTAAATCCGGCCATGCCTGATAAACTCTATGTTCAAATATTTCTGTTGATCCAGCTAAATTGAAATCTGTTTATCATATTCTAAGATGAAACAAAAAACCCCCAAAACCATCCAAATATTTGCACACAGCACATTTGAATTTATAATATCATTTTATCCTTGAGGGTTATCGATGCAACTGCAAACTTACTCATAATTCAGATTTAGCCTTATTTGCAGCTCTCTGTTTTTCCATGCAGGCCTTTCTCCCCTCGTCACAATAATATACTTTACCAGTTAAAATCAAGAGAGCTAAGTGAAACTCGTCAACGTCTACTGCACTATCACCTGGAAGATATTGATAAATACCGTGGTTGGTGTAATAAAGCCTAGGCAGTGGCGTGCACGGGTTTGACGATGCGGTGGCCAACTACTTGATTGCCCCCCCCCCCCCATCGAGTATATGGCCTACGATTCAGAAATGTGAGAAAGGAAAATATTTAGAATTTAGAAAAAGATATACATTATATTCAAATTTTGGCAGGGCATCTTTTGCAACGAAGTAAACGGCAACAATTTCAAATCTCAAATTTTTTTTAATTATACTCTGATTGGATGAATCCCCCACCCCCAAATGGATGCCTGGTGTTGTCCCCCCCCCAATCCCCCACACTCCACCAGTAATGTGATGTTGACCCGCACCTACTAAACTATAACTGTCCATCTTGAGCAACATATTCACGGTTGGGTTGATGTTCTCTCTAAAAGCCCAGTCCGCCAGCATCCACACCAACATTGAGATAATGTAAATACGCCGGTATACGAGGAGTATATTGAAGAGAAGCGATTGATCTACAGTCAAACACCCAACCCAGTTGTTTGCCGTGAGTCAAGGTGATAAAATAATGGCGTTCCTGGGTTAAAATCCTAAGTGAGAGGGGGGGGGGGGTTGGATGGCTGAATGGTTAGCGTGTGCGCGCTGTATCATAAAGTCTGTCATTGACTCAAATGTCATGGTTTCGATTCCCCGGTTGTACACGACAAGGAGTAGGGTCGCCTGTCCAATGTCGTGGGTTTTCTCCGGGTGCTCCGGTTTCCTCCCACTGCTAAAGACCCCTACGCGCAAGCGAATTATTGAAATAAAATTAAACCATACGTTAGTCAGAAATGACCTAGTTTGTGTCGAGTGGACCTTAAACCCCATCTCTCTCTCTCTCTCTCTCTCCCCTAACCAGGGACCAGTTATCTTGGAATTGTGATTTAATTTCAAAACTCGAAAATTCCTACTTTTCTGCACGGACTGGGATAATGCCATACAGTGTGCTATGGGGTCGCGTTGGATCATAAGGTCTGTCAATGAGTCAGGACTGTCAGGTGGCGTGGTTTCGATTCCATACTCTTGCACCTTGTCACGTACACTTGAACCAATGACAGACCTTGTGATCTAATGCGCGTGCATTACCCCCCCCCCCCCCCCAAAACGAAGTTTCACTTATAATACTTTTTTTTTTATTGAAAGCCCGCCATATTGCCCCAAATATTACGGATTTTCGTCGCCAACAAAAACTGTCAAGTGAGCAAAATAATTTACACGAAAACAAGTTTTAAAAATAAATAATTACCATCATCATCGGCAGAAGATAAAAAATTATCCAGATCTTCTCCATGTATTTCTAAATATTCTTCAGCTTCGTCATTATCGATATAGCCGTCGTTATTGTAATCCGGGGATTTATGTTTGACGATATTTAACTTGGTCCTAGGTTTTAATTTATACCACAGTGGTAAGGGATCTCTACTCACCGCTGTATAAAAACAACCAATAAGACAACAACAAAATAGACATATTCTGAAATAAACAAAACCCAAAAAGTATCCTTTAAATGTCTTTGATGCGTCGCTGTTCGAATAATGATCATATATATTTACTTTTGACCTAGCACTTTTATTTATGCCTTAGTATTATCACCTCTGAATGAAAACAACCTACGCGACATAGAAGAAATACTCCGAAGAAAAGAAAACAGTAAAAATTGTAGCTGTTAGATGCAAATGTTCTCGTTTTAATGTATTTGATTCGTCAATGTTCAAATAATAACCGTTTAATTCCAAAAATGACTGTCGTCGACTCGCTGGTCACCCCAACACTTAAGGGCTGACGGTGCGTCGCTGATCACCCAACCACGTAAGGGTTGTTGTTAACCCTACCACTTGAGGACCGATGCAGCGTTGCTGTATGGAAGGATAACGTTGCCAATATTATTTCAATGTTCACTGTACAAACTGCATATGTCAGCAGTTCAAAATACGTATTTTAGTTTTACAATTTGCCATTTTCTTTGCTCACAATACCATTGTCACAGTGTTAAAATACAGAATACACTTTTCAATAATAGAAATACAGTATAATAGTTATTTTGCACATTACACTTCTCCATTCTGCATTTTGCACTATAGAATTTGGAATATTAGAACATATACCTTATATGGGAACTACGGCGAAGCTCATTTGCATACGGAAAAAAGGACGGAAATTAATAAGCTAGGAATTTTAATAGTGGGCTCTCGATTCAGAGGGTCCACAACTTTGGTATATGTATTACAGGACATAACTAATAAAACATTAAATACACAAACCTGACGTCCATCTTTATAAACGATCTTTTTAGAAATAATTTTAAACCGGATTCATGTCAGTATATTTAACGTGAATATGGTGAAGTGACAGAACAACATATGGTATCATCGAGTAAAATATATTCACACTGTCGACATAGTCCGTATTAAAATTTACACCAAGTTTATTGTAGTTAATAATTAAACACTATCTATATCCTTCTCATGTTTACACTGTAAAAATGAAATGAAATGTAGTTTAACGTCCTACTTTTCATCACTATCCGGGTTAATGAAGACGGGTATACGTTATGATGTGTGCTATGAGAGGGATTTTGCCAGCACAGCGGCCTAATCTTATATCAAAACTGTCATGGTTTTTTTTACGCGCATGCATGCCAACGCGTGCACGGCACCTCGAGTTTTCGTCCCAACCGAACGAAAAAGCGGTGTTCCTTGCCATGCCCTTAGAATTTCCGATTTTGTTCTTTGTTTCTGAGGGACAGCTCTATGGGAAAAGTTTTTGATACGCACAATCAAATAACATTCGAATCTGTGGCGTACGCAAAATTTGTGTGTGGGTGCGAGTGGGTTTGTGGGTGTGTATGTGGAGGGAGGGGGGTAAGGTCACGCCATTTTTAGCATTCTAAAATGTATTTGAAATGATTAAGGTAACGGAGTTTTTGGTTTGTTTTATAGATACTCACAAAACAACATTATTCTAGCACCACAATACGTCACTTACAAAATATGACAAAATATGATCATTGTGCTGGCGATTAATCCAACTACTTGACGATTCTGAAATAACTCTCTCAATGATGGTTGTGATCATGTTGCCAACATATTGCTTGTCCTACACTGTTAGAAATTTATGTAAAATTTCAGTAGTACAAGTAGTTTTTATACCTTAATTGTCGGTATATTTACCAAAATATATATGTAGAGTCCTTTATGCAGTGTTTCGTTTGCTAAGACCCAATCCCACTCAAATTAGATTGCTTCAGGAATATGGTAGTCAATTATATTTGATAACACCAATACTTGTTAAGAGATTATATGCAGAATTTTTTACATTTTTAGTTGGTGGCATTTTATGACATTTTGATGGTCTGAATATGAAATATTTTATATCTAAATAGATTAAACCCAGATGACAAGGGCTGGATCTAAACATGGGTTGCAATATTTACTCCCGGATAGAAACAGAAGAAGCTACAATTTGTGAACTGTGCGAATACCTTGGATAGGAAATCTTAGTCCTACCGATACCTACATTTTAAAAAATGCTCCAAGAAACGAAAACTATGTTGTTATCTAAGCAGTATATGCGTACACTTCCCGGAACACGCGGTAACATTTACTGTTGGTCTCATCTGAGGATCCCCCGGATGTCCATGTAGCTAAGCGTTTTGTGTTAAATGTGACAGTTTTTTTTGTAAATTCTGTATTCCGGTACTGTACATAATATTATTTTGTTCAGTATTTGGACAGCATAGTCTGTAGTAACAAAGGCAATATGAGACCTTGCATTTGTAGGCAAATATTTTTTTAGTTTTGTGTTGTTGATTGGCTAGCACACTGTATTAACCAATCAATAATGTAAATTATACAATAGCACAAGAAATAACCGCGGTAAACATTATTCGTTAAATCTATTAAAATAGACCTAAAAACTTCTCTATAATACGGTTGAAGTTATTCGTGGTGAGATTATGAACTTTTATTATTATTTTGTTTCCATTTTGAAATATATTGTTTTATTTGTGAAACGGCAGCACATATTGTGCAAAAATTAGCTTCAAAATAAATAATTGAAAGAGCTGAGTGGTTGAATGATTACAACAAATATAGAGAAAATAATTCTTTATTGAGTAATAACACAAGAATTTATAAACTCTACACGCAATCACCATAAAAGCCAAAGGTTGATAGTCTAGACATGACACCTACACATCACTGGCGTAGCAAGAGTTTGTGACGACAAGGGCCGAAGGGCGGTCGACCAGACGCTGTCTCTTACCAAACCCCCGGGTCCCGGGTTCGTTCCGGTGTTGGCGGCGAAAGTTCCTCGGGATTTTCTGGTGTGGTACTCCAAGGACAATGCCTAGTCGTTCGAAATACCGTGGTCCTGTGTTCACATAAGCGTGCACGTAAGAGAACCCTTGGCAGTTGAAATTTGAAATAAGGGTAGCCTTAGCGCCTCTGTCCGGGCAAAATGTCCCTTGTAATACACTGTATGGCCCAGTCAGCGCAGACAAGTAGTAGTAGGACGTTAAACCCCATTTCATTTCATTTCTTATTTAGACACCAACTTTTCACGCATGTGGTATAAACTGGAATAAACGCCTTTCTTTGCCAGGTACTCTGTTCTGCACAACTGTCAAGGGTGAAACGGGCTGAAATATAAATGCAGATTAATAAACGATTAATAAAGTAGTAGTAGGACGTTAAATCCCATTTCATTTCATTTCTTATTTAGACCCCAACTTTACACGCATTTGGTATAAACTAAAATAAACGCCTTTCTTTGCTGGGCACTCTGTTCTGCACAACTGACAAGGGTGAAACGGACTTAAATATAAATGCAGATTAATAAACGATGTCTTGTATTTAAACTCCACGTTTGGCTATATTTATGAAGGGCGGGGCACTAGCATGGGGTTCCAATCTCGACATGGACCAAAAAGAATTCAGGATTGTTTCGAGCCCCTTTCCAAATTGTCTCGGGGAGCGGGCTGTTAAAAAAAATGTTGCCTAGTCTTTAAAGTACCCTTGATATATCGAATTCAATAAAGTGTAGCTGTAAACGCCGCTATCTGCCCTAAATTTTCCTCCTTAGCATAATAACTAATTCTTGCCACTCGTTGGTGTACATAAAAAAATGACCATGGCATTTTGAGATCGATGATGAGTGAGCGAAAACGCCATTGTCTTAGCAAAATGTTCCTCACAACACACTGCATGGAGTATGCTGTTTTGTTTTATTAGATCCCAATTGGGTCAGAAAAGTATTATTACGTTAACCTCCATTTATGTTCACATAAACAGTAATATGTCTACAAAAAAAACCCAACAAGGACGGCCACTAATTATGACATGTATTTGTACTTCAGACTTTGCTGTGTATTGAAGATAATAGAGATAGGATTTCTTTTTTATTATTAAAGTTAGATGAAGGTCTGACGTGTTGGTTGTGATCGGTGATAGATGACATGTGATGTGTTTGATAATTATATCTCACATCAAATAACCATGAAAGCCAAACAACGATAGATTAAAATCTTAATTATATAATCAATAAAACAATAATAACTAGACATTTATCTAATTTTCAAACTATTACTAATACAGACGAACTCAATTTAAAGAGAAGTGTGCTATGAGGGACATCTTGCTCGGACAGCGGAGATCTACGACCTACTCTTACTCCGAACGAACTCCAATAGTTCTTTCGTGTGCACTCCAAGTAATACACGGGGCCTCTGTTTTTCGTCCAATTTGGCAAAGAACATTTCGTTCGATCTAATCCAACAAGGCTTGCACTGACGTTTCGTAGAAAAAAGAATCAAAGAATTGCGGAAGAAGATTAGGACAACTGAACAGCTTCGTTGATACTGGTTGGAAGAAAAGTCTTGTCGAATGCAAAGTACTAAGCCGCTGATTTAAAGCTGCTAATCGTCAAGTGATTTAAAGCCGACGATCGTCAAGTGATTTAAAGCCGATGATCGTCAAGTGATTTACAGCCGCTGATCGTCAAGTGATTTAAAGTCGATGATCGTCAAGTGATTTACAGGCGCTGATCGTCAAGTGATTTACAGCCGCTGATCGTCAAGTGATTTAAAGCCGATGATCGTCGAGTGAATTGAAAATTTCACAAAATCTGACATCTTTATTATTAGAATTTTTTTCATTCAAAATAGTTCAATTATTATCCACATCCAACAGTGACTTAAATAACTCCATGACATTAAATTTATTTTAGTGCAGAAAAGACGTCAACTTCCTTTCATTTTAAATAGCGACTTTGATATTTTTTAATGTCATCAGAATTATTTGTTTTCAAAACAATTTAACTGTCGCTTTAAACGGCATTTCTATTTTAATCCTAGATATTTTCCCTGTTAACAAGAGACTTGTGATGTTCGTCGCGTTGTAGGGGTTTATAATAATATAAGTTAAATTGTTTAAATATGGCTAGCCATAGAGAAATATTGATCACGCCACGCAATCAATAGTTTGTAATATTTCACTATAACTTTAAACATCTCGCTGATACTTTATATTAATGGCCATCTTATTCTAATTCGGGAGGGTTAGGTGGCCAAATGGTCTAACGCGTGCGCTTGAGATCATAAGGTCTGTCATTGAGTCCTCCGGTTTCCCCCATCGTGCGCAGTCCAATTACTGACATAAATTGAACCATATGTTACCTCCGAAATTACCTTACGAGTGAACTGTACCATCTCCCCCCACCACTCTCTCCCTCTCTCAAGATTTCTTCCGTTCAGGCCATACGACTAGGCTTTTGCGGTCTTCCAGGCGGTAACGCTAAAAGTGCAAACAATATAGCTGTGTCACACTAAAAATTCTGAACACTATATCTAAACTGGAATAAAATGGAATTAATAAAATGGGGCGTAGCGTCCTGCTTTTCTGTACCAACAGGGATAATGACGGGCATTCGCTAGTCAAGGGTTCTTTTACGTGAGCGGCGCTTTTTCGTTCCACCCAACAACCCACAACTGTTCAGCTAGTCTCTTATGGTCAGCGCTCTTTTAGTTATCAAGCACCTGTTTTATGGAATAATCTACCATTTAATTTAAGATGTTGTACATTTCTATATTCTTTTTAAAAAAAAAACAACTTAAAACACATTTATTTAATCAGGCTTTTAACTGACTTTGTATACAATTGTTAATATGTCCATAATCTTGTTGTTTATGTGTGATTCACATTGTCACTTTGTAAAGTGCCCCTGAACATGTTATATGAAAGGGCGCATTATAAATATGCTGTAATAATAATAATAATAATAATAACTAGATGTTGTTCTTTAGCAGGTTACCCGTTCTGAACTAATGTCAGGGACAACCTGATTAGTGGGTCGTGGCCATACTGACTGAGCCAAAGTGCCTCGGGGAATAGAAAGGGGAACATCAGACCGACTAAACATTACCCATCTTGCAAACCCGGAATGTTGTTCTTGATCCAAGCCATACATGACAGGAAAGTTGTACAATAAACGGTTTGTAGAACAACACAAGCCACATAATCAGCAAAATGTTTGTTATGAAAAATTAATGGCAACACCCAAGTTAAAATGTCAACAGTAGGGAAAAAAACAAAAAATAAAACAATACAAAACAACCCTGTAAACCGGAAAATGCATCGCGTCAACACCCTATTTGAAATGTCACTCTGAACTTAAAGCTGTCGGAAATACAATAAATGATGAAAAAAGCTCCGGGAAAAGGGTATATTAAATGGATAGCCTCGGATCGATACACAACACACCCAAAACAAATAAAACAAGAAAAAAAGAAATCAAAAAGAAAACAACGCAAGCATTCTTTGCGATTCATCGAACGGCTATGGATGGTTGATCACCAAGAATCGATGACATCCAGCACGTCACCGCCTGTATCTATTTCTATATATGGCGACCGTAAACGGCGGTTAAATCTGTCGTCCGGGTGTTTAAGGAGATGAGTAGAACATACATTATTATATTGATAAATGCTTTTCGTTTGTAAACACTCGCTAGGCAACTGGTATTGGTTTTAATCAAGCTTTAGATGATGACTGATGCGGGATGGGATGACTTGTAACTCGAGATAAGAAGACAGGTGAGATTTTATTTAAATAATAAGAAATGTTATCAGGTGTTTTAGAAATAGTGAGTATTTAAAATGATCAGTTTACTAGTCAGTAAATAAACTCGATGTATTAGGTATTGGGTATTAGTTTTATTTAAGATGGAGATAATGATTGATTCAGTAAAGGAAGTTGGCTTGTATTACTAGATAGAAGACAGGCAAGATTGTAAGTCCTATACCGGTCACCCAATTTCTTAGTGAAATAAATAAAAGGGTGTAACGTCCTACTTTTCTGCATCAACTGGGCTAATGCATTGTGCTATGAGGGGAATTTTGACCGGACAGCGGCGCTATGATCGACTCTTATAATATTCAACGTTTCAAGGGAGGTGTGTTTTACGTCCCATCCAGTAGACTATACGCTGTTACTTGCAAATCCCCCTTCCCGTCCTACACCACTGACAAGTAGAAGCCACGCTTGAACATTCCTAGGTATTTTCTCGATCAACACCGGGATCGAACCCCGGACAATCCTGAATCAGCACCATGGTCACTGGGTCACGAGAGACTGGGTGTAAGAATTACGTGGATGATAACATCAGCTGTCTGAATACGACCGCTTTTATTTGAGCTAGAGAGAGAGGATGACTTGAGATTTTAATTAAAGATATTTATGGGAAAGTATTTCCAATAAATGTACAGCATTGTTATTTGGTATATATGGGAAGTACAGACATCCAGTCTTACTCAAAATATACTAGACTCCCTGAAAAACAAGGCTTATAAAAATAGATGCTCGTGACATGAGGTAGTTTTCTTCCGATTAAAATGTTTTGACAGACATTTTAACATGTTTTAAGTCGAAATATATCAAGTATATACGGGAAGGCATTATTAGTATCAGTAAAAAAAGAAATAAAATGGGGTTTGACGTCCTACTTTTCTGCACCGACCAGGCTTATGGAATGGGCATATTCCATTCAGTGTACTGTGAGGGGAAATTTGGCCCGGACTGCGGTGCTGCCGCAGTCCTGCACCACTGACAACAAGGAAACCATGTCAGAAAATCCCGAGGGAACTTTCACGGCCAACACAGGGAAGGAAGCCGGGTCAGCCCTAACCCACTGAGCCACCGCGGCTCCCAACTAAACTAAACCCATTGAATATTCTGGAGATTTTAATATCAGTGGTAGGACTCTAAAAATATGATTTGTCTCTAAAGAGACAGACGAGTTTTTCAAAAATTTAGAAAAATTAGAAATTTAGAGACAAGAGATATTCACAAATAACAGAAATTTAGAGACAAGAGATATTCACAAATAACAGAAATTTAGAGACAAGAGATATTCACAAATTTAGAGACAAGAAATATTCAAATGGTAAATGCTGTTTATATTTGGTGTAGATTGTTATCACAGTCGGCTGGATTTAGTTTAAATTTTAGTTTTCGTACCCTGCTCCACCAACAAAGGCCAACTAGACTGGAAATATATTCTAAATCATATTCAGAAAGTTTTTTCGGTCACTCAAAACTGCAAATTTTGATGATGTTTTTCTATAACAAATGAATCTCATTACATATTCTGGAAGTTTGTCAAGTTGTAGGCCAATTAAGGTATATTATATAAACTTGTACAGGTATTGTTATATGTCTATAGTCAATAATTGATATACCTATATATATATACACGTGTAACGATGACATATGGTCCATTGAGTATTACATAACTAATATGGCGTCATATAACCCCGAACTGGTATATCCAGTCCTGTATCAATGCGAATCTGATTTATCATCGATAATTGATGGGTGTGATCACTGAGCGGAAAATAGTGTTTTTTGAAAATCAACAAAGGTGGCAAGACAGTGTTGCTCGCGTCATCATGCTGTGTTGGAGCGAACGTTAAACCCCAATTATAATATCAGTGTTTTTTCTGTGATGTAACATGCTTGCCATCTAAAAACGTTTACCGTTATATTTTATTTAGTTCGTCTTTGGATTTTAAATCTCGACTTTAACCCAATCGACTGTACTCTTTTTACATCTGCTCTTTGACAAGCTTGGAACTTCAGAACCTTTTCTTGCTATTATAGTGTAAGTATAAAATTTATTTCAATAAGATCACTAATCAGTGAATATGTATCGGACATTAGGTAGGATATGCTCACCCTTTCAAGAACTCGGTATTAAGGACTTTACACATGGTACACCTTTCCTTGTTTATTTTTTGTGATTGTTGGATATAGATCAGTTCCCTAAGCGCTTTATGACGCTTATATACCGGTAGGAGTCTACACAAGGTAAAACTTTATTTTTTTTTGTCATTGTTGAATTTGAAATAGTTAGAAATGTCTGAAACGTACGGAAAGGTAAATGAATAAGCTTTCGAATACATATCTATTTATATTTATTTATAATTCTAAGAAACAGGCACATCTATGACGAATACAGAAATGTTGAAAATGAAAGCTTTGGTGGATCTGAAAACACTGGCAAAAACAGGACCATACCTTATGGAGTCTCCCCTGGCCCTATCTGTCAATTCTCAAAAATGCCAGGGAAAGAGCTATAGACACATCTTCCGAGAAATGAAATAACTGCATTTTTAATTTCAGTAGTAGGGCAGTGAGAAAAAAAAACAAACGTGGAAACCTTTTGAATTATCATTTGTTTGATTCTGTTTTTTGTGTCCTTTCGATATTTGAATTCCGCAATAAAATTTGAATATAAAATTTCGATTTTGGGTAAAATAAGAACTATGTATCAGGACATTTGAGTCACTGTGTAAACGAAAATCGCATGTATCAGAAAATGGGTGTGAGCCGATTGTTAGATGACAAAACTTGACTAATGAGTTCAGATTTGCTTCGTTGGTTTGGCATACTGATGTACAAAAGAAACAAATGGGATTAAGACAATCGTTAAATATGACACTTACCTACAACCAATATATCCAGAGAGAGAAAGAAATCTGGTTTAACGACTAACATATGGTTGCGCGTAGTTGTCTTTAGCTGTCCGAGAAAACCGCAGCACCCGGAGAGAAACCAGGAGATTGGACAGGTAACCTTACCCCTTGTCAAGTGTGGGCTTGAAATTGTCACTTTAATCTGGATTTACGACATTCGACTATTTTTGGAAAGGAATATATAATTAAAGATATATTACCATTAGTCAATTTATCACATTGATTAGTTTTTTGAACTTTTCAGATAGATTGATCATCATCGATTGATTAATGATGGGTGTCCCACGCATCGGCTAAGTGTCTACCTTGTGTGTAATGGGACATGTTTTTGCAATCAGATGACGTGTCTCAAACAAGCATCCCACACAATGTACTATTAGAACACGCAACGGAATGAAAGTATATACAACTGATTTTATCTTGATTCCGTGCAGATGACAAACAATCTAAACATACGAAATTAATACGATATTAACCCATTAAAGAAAAAAAGATGACAAACACAAAACTGTGCCTCTGCCCCACCCCAATCACATAGCAACCAAGGGATGTGAAAACGAACATTTGAGAAGTCCGTATTTTTATTTTAAGTTTTAATGAAAGAATTTTGTGTATTATTTAAAGTTTTAATGAAAGCAGTTTGTGTTTTTATTTTTTAAGTTTTAATGAAAGAAATTTTCGTTTTTATTTCAACTCTTAATGAAATAATTTTGTGTTTTCATTTTAAGTTTTAATGAAATAATTTTGTGATTTCATTTTAAGTTTTATTGAAATTTATGTTTTTATTTTAAGTTTTAATAAAAGAAGATGGCGACGTGTATTTTACCTACTATATTTGAAGTTTCTGAATATTCCGATAGTTGTACACCAAATAGTTTACCAGAAGTAGACACCGGTACAGATAGTGATTTTTACGATACCGATTTAGAAACAGAAGAAATTGCTAATTATGGACAGAAAGATAACGACAAAGATAAAGGTAGGCGTTCTTTATTTTTAATAACCACTTCGCGGGTTTCACTAATTTAATAATTAGACCTCGTTAGTTATGATTTTAATAAATATTTGATGTGGTTGTCCAGTCTTCACAATTTGTGACTGAATATCTCGATGTTGATTCATTCATGGCAAAGTTTGGGGGCTTTTGTATGGAATTTTTCACCACAAGAGTTCCACAAGATATTGGACAGGATTTCTTTAAAATTTAGAGTCTGTGAAATGTAATTTTGATAATTTTAATACTGCCGTGTTTTTACCACAAGATTTCCACCAAATATACTTATCAAAATTCGAACATCTCGCGGAATGTAATCCCAAACGGTAAAAATTGATTTTTTACAAATTCAATATCTTGTAGAGCTCTTGTGATAAAAAAAATCACATAAATAAATCTTGTTGAAAGTACTTCCTCACATTTTACAAGATGAGAGGATAAACTATTAATGTTCCATGAAAATAAACTCCAACTTTTGGAAAGCCCCCCACCACCTGAAAATCAATATTCCCTGGGTCGTGAGATTTGACTCCAGCTTCCAACTTTGTAATAAAGTCAATATTCGACAGGAATATATATATTTACTGCTATCGTGACAATTTGAAACATCTCTTCATTTATTGTTAAAAAAATTTGCTTTTTTTTTAACAGATTCTACACCCAGAGCAGAAGATATTTACATATGTAAAAATGTATATCTAGAATCCTGTCGGGTTGATTACAAGAAGGACTGGTGTAAACAAGAGATTGTACCGCAGACGAGAATAGTCGACTCACTGGCTTCTAAAACAATTAATCTTCAATATCGTTCACTAGGTGCATCCCACATGACACCTCTGGCTAAATCTTTACAGGTGAGTTGGGTTTATGTACAAACGGTCAACACCTAAGCCGTTGATCGTTATTTGCAGAAATTGAATCCGTCGCAACATTCGGCAGAGTATATAAACACGTTACAACCATTCTTGGGTATATTCTCTTGCTGAAACTCTGCTTAAGGCGACTGAATCCAAGCAATGAGAGATTATCTACCGTTGATAATTGGTTTGGATTTCTTATCGAAGTGTAAAGTATCCATTTTGAGTACCTGTTAAGATATTGTCCGACAAAACCGATTCAACTTGGCCTAAATAAAAGAGCTCCCTATTTTTGGAATATCATTCTGTACACGATCAATCATATATAATATTATATTAAATAATAAAATATTATTTATTACAGAATAACATGAGAGTAGAGAGGCTTATATTAGATGGATGTGATATACAAGCAGAAGGAATGCAATATTTAGCTGAAGGTTTAGCAGATAATGTTACAGTACAGTTTCTGGTAGGTCATCATCATCATCATCATCATAAGAAGCAGCAGCATCATCATCACTATCATCATCGTCATCGTCATCATCGTTATCATCGTCATCATCTTCCTCTTTACTACTGACAGCTCTGTATAAATAAATATTATTTTTTAGAAGTACTCTATAGATTAAAAACTTCATGACTAGTCACCACCATGGTCACTGTGCCTAATTTGAGTGTGTGTGTGGGGGGGTGGGGGGGCCGAATGGTTAGCACGTGCGCGCTGTATCATAAGGCCTGTAATCCAGTCAACTGGCGTGGTTTCGAATCCCCGGTTGTACGTTACAAGAGGGTCGCCTGTCCAACCTCGTGGGGTTTCTCCGGGTCCTCCTGTTTCCTCCCACTGCTAAAGACCCCTACACGCAAGCGAATTATTGTTAGTCTCGAAATGACCTAATTTGCGTCGAGTGGAAGTTAAACAACCCCATTTCTCTCTCTCTCTCTCTATCTCTCTCTCTCTCTCTCTCTCTCTCTCTGTATTATTGGGTATTCTAATAATAAAACCCTACCTACATAATATTATTAATAAACTGTCGGGCAGTCTAGTTATACTTAAAACAATCACAACGGAAAGCATTACTTGTTTTTATTAATTTAAGCTACGCTTAATCTGTTATCCTTGAAAACGACAAGATAATACAGTAATTGTTCTCCGTAGAAATAAAATGGGATTGTCTGCACCGACTGGGCTAATGAAGACGGGCTTACGCCATACAGTGTGTTATGATGCTATGAGGGAAATTTTGCCCGGCCTTCACTTATTACGAATTCCAAATGTTAAGGGCTCTATTACTATTACGGGTCCTATCCGAAGTCTTCCAAATACCAAACAGTACACTAGTTACACTATTCAGCTATAAATTTTGCGTGAAGAATGTTTATAATTTTGAATTATTTTTCAGAATCTGGCCAATAACAACCTGAGATATGAAGGAGCTAAATGGGTAGCGTATCTTTTACTCAAGAATAAAATCATTAGACATGTTATATTATCAGGTATTGTTACAATTTATCTCTCCATATTAATCTCTATATTAATCAGTCATTATATTGACATTAAATTCAATATCTTTAAAATGATGGGTGGGGGAGGGGGGATGCGAGTAATGTGACCCGTGCAGTTTAAATAATTAGGGCGTCCAATGGCGTGATTTCAACCTAAAGCGTGCACCTGACAAGGAGGTGGGTGGCCAGTCCAACCAAGTGAGGTTTTTCTGGATTATTCGGTTTTCTCACTCGGCTAACGGCCCTAGTCCCGAAATAACCTAATTTGGATCCATTAGGACTATATCCCAGAGGAATTGCGCATTATATCTTATATATGATTTGATATTATTTATAATTCAGGTAACAAGTTTGGTGATGATACAGCCAAGTTTATTGGTGGAATTATTGAGGTATTGGTGATTTTTATGCGTTTATTTTCTTAAATTTGTTTCATGTCCAGGATTTTAATCACAACAACCCGGATCTCACTCGTTCAAGTGAGACTAAGAACCTAGCCCTTCTTCTCCAACTGCTGGAATACATGAGATAACTTTTGGCAACTGAAATCAATTATACACGTTTTGATCGAAATTATTACTTCATTCATCAGTTCATAAAACATTATGGTTGCCGTAATGTTTTTTTCAATAATTACACCGGATGAATAGTGTTACGGGTGAAACTGTTCTTCAATTTGGACATGGAATAAACTCTGCGAGTTTTTTGGCGATGTTTATAAAATGAAGACAATTTTTATTTGTATCGTTATAGGTAAACAACAGTCTGACGTATCTAGATTTAAGTCATAATGAATTTAGAGAAAAGGGTGGACAGATCATTGGAGCTGCTTTAGGTAGGTGTTGCTTCATTTTAAGTTTAGCAGTGGCTAATAATAATATCAACATTTATAAAGCGCATAAACACAATAATTCTAAAGTTTCTAATATGCTGCTGGTTCCAGTGTTATCACATATTATTTCTGTTACAGCTGTAATGCCCATAACCACTGTTTCAGAAATATGTTTCAACTGTTCTTGGAATAGCCAATCGATCTTTTGCTATGCGCCACCAATTTCTACATATGGCCATGGTTTTATTTTTGTTCCATCCCAGCATCAGGATCCTGATAAATTAACAGAAGCTTTTGTTCTCCCTGACCTCAGTTTAGTTTAGGATCAAAATGACAAATCTGAACTAAAACAGTAATGTAACACATAGACGATTATTGATTATATCCTTTTCATGTTGGCTGTTGACACAATGAGTCGATATTGTCGTTATGTATAGATATAGATCTCGCTTTTTATTATAATAGAAATTTCATACCTCTTTAATTGTATATAAAAATAAACATTCTTATTAAATAAATACAAGTACAGTTATGTTTTACCATTAATCCAAAACTACTGATGACGCTATTCAATTAAAAATACTACACACTTTGTTACATACCTTTATCTCACACTGGGAGTCATCATGCTATTTTCAAATTAACCGCAATTTGTTGAACCGAAAAGGGACACGTCTGCTTTTAATTCCATTTGTGAACTTATGTAACGGGAAAGATCAATCAAATATTCGGAATACCAGAAGAGGTTTCAAAAATTATTTTTTCTTTGAGCTTTCGGAGGCAATGTAACGTGAGAGATCTATCAAATATTCAGCATAGCGAGAGAAATTCTAAAATAAGATAGCCGGCATAACTGTTTTTGTATTTATTTGCAAGTGTATGTAATGGGAAAGACAAAACATGACTTCACGTTACATGCAAACCCCTTTACAATGCCAAAGAAAACCCGAAAAAAACTTCCCTTCATGATGACATATAAAGAGAGAAAAAAAAAACATTTATAACGACATAAAAATAAAAATTTACAGCGACATAAAAATACATTTACAACGACCTAAAATACATTTACACTCGACATAAAAATACATTTACAACGAATATAAAAAAAATACAGAAAAGCCACACACAACGACAACGATATAATAAAAAAGAAATTAACTTTTCAACGTACGGAAGCGTAGAATACGATGCCGAGTGGTAATCAGTCCGCCGTTGGGGCGTTTTCGAGATATTCGGGGTCAAAGGTCAAATGGGTTCATTTGCCCCAACGGCGGACTGATTACCACTTGGCATCGTATTCTACGCAAAATTTCACTCTAGAAAAGTTGGGTTTGGTTTTGTGCCCATTTGATGGACCCTCCGGTCTATAGGACAGTCAAATATCCACCATGCTGGGGAAGGACAATAAAATATTCATTATGCTAGGAAAGCCATGTTTGGAAAAGAGAATCAAATATTAACCATGCTTATAGAAAGGACAATCAAATATTTACCTTATTGGAATTCAGCAATTAACTATTCATCATTTAGCAATAATTTAGTTAATTTTGTATATTTTGTTATATTTAGGTGAAAACTATAGATTGGATACATTACGTCTTGGTTGGAATGGTCTGAGAAATCAAGGTGCAGTAGCTATTGGTCAAAGCTTACAGGTATACATGTTGTCCTTTGCCTTAAGGCTTATAAGCTCTTAATGTAACCCCTTCTACAGTTTGAATTAACCACTCCGTCCCGCCAAATCCCCAAACATCGCATAATTGGTCACGATTATCATGTAAGTTTGTGCCGTATCCACTTTTGCACACAATCTTCAAAGTTTCCGGTTGTTTTCATAAAGTGATACTGGTAAGCGAATGGTTGGCGTAGACTTGTTTGAAAGGGTAAAGATATCAAGCTAATTTGGAATTGAAGTCTTGTTATTCGAATGTTAGTAAGGCAAACTGCTCATGCTTGATGAATTCACAGCACGTCTGTGGGTGCTGACGTTGTGACGAGCGTCGACTTGATCATTCAGCTCAACCTTATCCCCAATGAATTTTGAACTGGTATATAATCTCCCGGCAGAATTTTGTGAAATTTTCAATTCTTTATATGTTTGTAAATACGTAAAGAAATTGAGTTGTTTTTAGATCTAATTATAATACTTTTGTTAGATATTCAACTTTCAAAACATTTTAATTAGCAAATGACAACCAACCGCGTTAATGAAAGTGATAATGTCTCTATGTTTCAGTATAACGATACACTGAAGGTTCTAGATGTAAATATGAATGGTTTTGGCTATGGTGGATCTTTAGCACTGAAGATATCTTTAAAAGAGAACACGACATTACGGGAATTAGATGTTTCTAATAACAGTATTAACTGGAAGGGAGCTCATTTAATATCACAAGGCCTTCATCATAATATAGGACTAGAGATATTACGGGTAAGAAGCACTGCTACCGGTTTGGCTATTATTGAAAAGTTTGAAATATCCCAATTAAATTTTTATTACCATCACGCGCCGAACGAAGTCAAGGTAGGGGTATAAAAATGGGTTCTGTTCGCCCGTCACCCCCCCACCGTTTTGTTTCCGGTGGATATATCATTATGCAATTTTGTACACGCACTAAACGTTTGAGATATATTTATATCTTGCTAATTAGAAATTTCTCGGATTTAATAGTTTTTGTGATTCCAAACTTTGACTTAGTTTTTGGTATACAATGACGCGGGATATTGATGAATTCTTGTTTATATTCGTTTCTTTATAACTCTTTCACTAGCTACTACTAGCTATGTGGGTTTAACATTGTTTAGTTTGAAATCAGAATGTCCAGAATTCCTGTTTAACCGCCAATCAATCCACAGATTCTGTTTAGATAGTGAATAGGATAATCCCGTCATCAATTTAGTTATTTTGCAATAGGCACAATAGTCATAACTGATTGATGTGTATTAAAAGTTTCATAAGGTGGTTTCCGAGATATGTTCATTTAAATATCCCCCTGAACTTCGCTGGGCGCGGGATAATTAAGTTCCTATTGTGTGTAATCTATTAATATTTTATTATTTAGATTGGGAAGAACAGCCTGACAACTACTGGTTGTATGGATCTGGTGGAAGCCATTTCACATGAAAACAGTTCCTTAAAATTACTCGACTTACAGGTAAATGAAATATATAATATACTTCGCCCATTGGTCAGGAGTTACAACGGTTGATGACTCGAATTCTATATTAAAGAAGCAGGTCACTGGCCGTTTTTAATGTTCATCTTTTGTCGCAGTTGGTACAATATGATTTTTGTTTTATGTTTATATATTAGATTGTTCGTGGTTTTCTGTACTTTTCTTGGTCTTTTATTACTGCATTGTCTCTCACAAATTGTCAAAATAAAATAAAACCAAGTACGAACAATCCAAACCATTAGACAAAATTCGAAGTCCTAAAAAAACGGTATAGGCAAAATAGTGTAATAAGGCAAAATAGTGTAATCAGCATATGGACTGTTCACCGTGTACAAAATACACAACAAACAGTGATAACAGGTGTCCGGAAGAGTAAGCTTACCCTGCCTGGCGCCACACCCGCCATAGCTGCATCCAAACTATTAGGCGAAATCTCGGTAAAATAGCGTGATTGGCCAATGGACTATAGGTATGCAAAATGCGAACAGTGTTAACGATGTAGTAGACAGACATTATCAGGGAGATTGTATACGCGTCAATTAAATATACCTAGAATAATAGCCGAGAGAAATGTTATATTTACCAAGCAAACAAGGTAAATCTAAGGACGTAAAATTTAAAAATAGTAAGATATCCATCTCGCAAAACCAATGGACACATTTTCTTTTAATTAACGGTTGTCTTTATTATCATCATATTTATTACCGATATATTTATTCCATTTGTTTATAACGTTGTTTTAAATAGTCGGTTGAATATAATCTCCAGCTAGAAACCATCTGAATTATTGTTTCCTTTATTTTAGGGTGTGAGTGTAACCGATGAGACTGAACTGCTAGCCGCCGCCATTAGTTCCAATAGAGAGTTCAGAATACAACATGGCGGTGTGGTTAGATGTCCTGACACACTCGGAATTAGAGAAGGTAAAATATTACCCAAAGCCGGTTCACAGTTAATATAACCTGTTTAGTTATGTATAAGTCTTTAAGCTATTCTCGTTTCTGAGGATGAATGTCAAAGCCATTTATTCCAATACCAGGTATATTACTGTGCATCGGTGGCGTGGCAATGTTTCTCGGTGACACGTGTAGCACCCTAACACGAGCAGTCATAACTCTGTCTATTTCAGTAAGTTTTGTTAAATTGCATACTAAAGGAAGAAAGAGATTTAAAATAAAATATATATGAATAATTTTATTGATAAATGTTGTAACATGCATAATTTTAATGTTGTGACTTACATACGAGCAGATCAAATCTAAACAAAGCGGAGGGAATAATTGTTAATAATAGGCCAGCACCTAGAGGAAAAATTGCGCCTCTTTGCATGCGTGTCCGGGCCTCTTTGGTCAAGATAACAAACGTCTCTTAACGTTTGTTGACTCAGGGAATATCAGCTAAATAATATTACTGACCAGGAATTGATAAAACAACACCACGTATATGAATATTTATTGTTTAATAGTACACGGTCTAAAACCTCTACGTCATAGATATCTCTAAAGACCGCGTATGACACTCAGGGTATTACCAAGAAAGTTACCGAGGAATCCCGATTTATCTCTTTTTGTTTCACCTTTTCAGATAAGGAACCGAACCACATGGCTAAATTGATGAAGTTTATTAAATCCTCCATGATCAGACCTTTAGAATTATTGAGAGATTTCGATAAAACAACTAAAAACAGTGTTTCTGAAGATGAGTTTGTCAAACGAATGGAGGTAAGTAGAGAACTGGACATGTACAATGCACGCTATTGGTGGGGAATTGTGTTTTGTCATAAGACTAGTGCAGCCATCTTGTGCATATCGGTACACAATCCTGTGTATCTGTACTTTTACTTTATATTTGTGTTTTACAGAAAGTTGGTGTTCCTTTACACAAGTTTCAGATGCGAGAATTAGCCAGAGAAGTTTGTAGTCAACACGGTACTGATGACGTAGATTATAAGTAAGTATGAATAAAAGAACACCCTTACCGCCTATTTTACCACAATCTGTAAGACTGAGCTGAAGTTTGACCAGCTGAGTTACATCTTACCACAATCTGTAAGATATAGCTAAAGCTTGACCAGCGGGATCGTATCTTAGCAAGATTAATATTGTTTATATTGCAAATCTTACTTTCTTTTCTAGGAAATTATCAGATGCTGTTACAAATCAAATTCTGCGTAGCCGGGTCAATGTTTATAAGGAACGGGACGAAAAGAAGCGACTAAAAGCTTACAATGAAAGTATTTTAGGGAGTGGTTTACCAGCGTTAGATATTGCCAGTAAAGGTCACGGGCGTCGAACTGGCTCTGATGCTTCTCCACTTTTAACCAATCGCGACGGAAGCTTATCTGATACGCAGAATATAACAATGACGTCATTTCCGAGTATTCTGGATAGCTTACTGGTAGGGAAACTTGCAACAGACGAAGGTATTGATATGGTTGATTCAACCAAATCACCAACAAAGTTATTGCTATCACGACCATTAGAGGACGTGAGTAAGAAGGAGAAAAAGAAAAAGAAAATAAAAAGAAAAAAGGGACCACTTGAGCATCCCGAAGGAGGCACGTGTGTTGAAGTTTATTCATAATTCAGTACACTGTCAAGCAGCTGCAATTTAATTTAGGTTATTGACACAGAAACCTTGCGTCCATATCTGCCCGGTTATCTGCCCTTGGGTATATAATCCAATATATTTTGCGCTTGTAATATGTGCTAGACATTGCCCAGCATCAGTGCACCCATTGTTCACCTGTAATGGATCATTGAAATGTGTCTTAGTATTAGATTTTCCGTGGTTCAACTTCCAACTGTGTCCCACTAATTGAGATACGGTAATCTGCTGTATAAATATCTGGCAAAATACTTTGCGATATACAGTGCAAAGTATAACTGAACGTTGTTTAGTTTCGGTAGCGGACAGTGTCATAAACTGGAGTATTTACTCCACAAAAACACTTGGTACTAAATCTTAGAGATCTTATTGTGTGACTAATATCCAGTTACATTCAATCTGACGTGGGGTGTACAAGAATTCATATGTTTATCCACAAAAGCAAAGATTCGGTAACTTGTCATATGAACGTTTTGGCGTTAATGGCCAACTTCGGACATGCATAGTTGTGATAGTAGTAAAATTAGTTTAGCTAAAACTATACATTCAACTTGTTTAGAAAGATCAGGGTTAGTACAGAATCTCTCCACTGCCTGATCTGGAAACCGAATGTTCACAACAAGCACAATTTGGTTATACTAAAGTCTAGCCCGAATGGCCGAATGATTTGATGTCATAGTGATGAACATAGTAAAGAACACCGTGAAGAATGTGACCTCATATTGAAACATTCTCTCATTTCGATTTTCCACAATACGAGAATGTGTCATTTATTTTTACTTGGTATAGAAGCCGGGTGGTCTACATACCTAGTCACCCACTGGCTTCCTTATGCATCGATAAGCATGGTTAGCGAACCATCTCGGCGGGTTTTTCTTAATAACAGGATTAAATAACGATAACGGAGCTACCAGCACTGCTTTCGGGTATTTGTGGGTTATAAACAATATTCACAATCACTAGCTCTATTATCCATAATCCCAGCACTGCATAATATGTTGTTATGAAGGGGTTATTATCATGGCTAAGAGTATTATTATGGCTGTATATAATATGTTGTTATGAAGGGTTATGGTGTTGCGCCTAAGAGTATTATTATGGTTGTATATAATATGTTGTTATGAAGGAATTAATGTTGAGTCTACGAGTATTATTATGGTTGTATATAATATGTTGTTATTAAGGAATTAATGTTGCGTCTACGAGTATTATTATGGCTGTATATAATATGTTGTTATGAAGGGATTATGATGTTGCGTCTAAGAGTATTATTATGGTTGTATATAATATGTTGTTATGAAGGGATTATGATGTTGCGTCTACATGTATTATTATGGTTGTATATAATATGTTGTTATGAAGGAATTATGATGTTGTAACTACAAGTATTGTCACGACTGTATATATGTTATTATCAAGGGATTATGATGTTGCGTATACGAGTATTGTTACGGCTGTATGATATTGTTTTGTGGGGTTTATGATGTTGTCTCCTTTGAGAATTATTTCGATTGCATTACTTTGTTATTTAGGTAATTTTAACAACTATATTTTTTATGTGCCAATTATGTGATGTGAGTATTACAATGTTCTTCTTTGTAGTGTGTCTATGAGTACTGCTATTGTTACTGTTTGTTGGGGTTGGGAGGGGGAAGTGTATTATGATTGTATATATTGTTATGAAGGGATTATTGCAGTATGTATAAAAGTATTTTTACGGTATTATTATAAAATTATGTGGAAATGATTATGTTATTTCAATGATTATTGCTATGTTGAATTTACGCAATAAATAATACAATTAAAGGTTGTTATTGGTTCGGTAACTATGGGGGAATTTAGTGAAATAAAAATGAATGGGGTTTAACGTCTTTTTGTTCTGCACTGACTGATCGAATGAAGACAAGTCTACGTTATACCCTGTTTTATGAGGGTAATGTTGCCCAGACAGCGGCGCTACGACCTACTTACACATCGAAGTCCAACTTTCAAGGAATCTTTTACTTACAGGCCAATGTCTACACGGGACGTCGGATTTTCTAACCCATACGAAGGACTATACGTCGTCCCTTGCCAGACCCCGAATCCTACATCAATGACAAGGGGGAACCACACAGGAAGATCTCGATGAACTTTCTCGTTCTCGGTCAAGATAGGGATCGTGCACGGGGCCTCTAGGTTAGCGTACCAACGTCTTACTCACCGAGTTACCGTGGCTCCTCGAGTGCTTTTAGAAATCTTGAATCATAAATTTATCATCGTTCGGTTCGGAAATCTTTCTCACAACAAATGATCGCAACAATGAGGTGTTTCGCTCATACCAAGACTAATCCTAGCTCGTGCATCGGTGTTCGATCCCTGCATTGGCCGAGAAAGTTCATCCTGATTTTCCGACGTGGTTCCTCTTGTCAGTGGTGCAGAACGGACAGCTGTCTAGTCCTTCGGATGAGACGAAAAACCGAGGTCCCGTGTATACATTAGAATGCACGTAAAAGATCCCTTGGCAGTTGGAATTCGATATAAGAGTAGGCGATAGTGCCGCTTCCCGGGCAAAATTTCCCTCATAGCACACTGTATGGCATATGCCCGTCTTCATTAGCCCAGTATAGGAGCAGAACAGTAGGACGTTAAACCCCATTTCATTTCATTTCATTTCATTTAGCTCGTGCATCACCAAGATGACAGCTGTTATACAGTCTTTTGATTGTGATCACCACAGCCCAACCAGATCTACATCATCGTGAGGCCATGGGATATGTTTATAGAAGGCAACGAAATTAAGATCTGCATTTTAATCAGTTTATCTCAACATTTTACGATTCTATTCCACGGCTAACAATCTGAGGTAAATAATTTAACCAGACGTTTTCTCTACGAGCATGTAAATAACGTCCAACTTCTGTGGTTCCCGTCATGGGAAAGTAAAGATAATCTTCATCCATAGAATTATATGCCTTCCATTCTGCTGTAACATCTCTTGGTTTATTCGGGTTCCTCAAAATATCAATCAAACATTTCGAACTTTGTCTCAATAACACTCGATCAAATCTATGTCTTTATTTCCTGAATAAAGTGTCTGAAACACAACAATTGCTCCCCAGCAGACTGGTCAAATATGGTAATATCCGAGGCATTTCCACCGAAACTATCAATATTCTTGACCCATTTAATCTCCAGATGTTGATCCTACAAACCGTAATTTCCTGGAGCCTGGTCATCTCCCGTTGATAAAAATCCAAAGGGACCAACACGGTCATTGATTACTACCATGACAACCTCTCCATAGTCTGCCAGATTCTGGACATTGTATATTGATGATTGACCTGTTGTGAAACTTCCGCTATAAATAAAAAGCATAACGGGATATGTTTTAAATCCGTTCGTCTGTGGAGCATAAATATCTAATTTTAAACAATCTTCACTCGTTATTGATGGCAGTGGTATACCAAACACATTGTCAACCTTGTAATACTGGAGACATGGTAAGCCGTAGTTTAACGCCTAATATGTTTGATTAAATGTCGAAGCAGGAATGGGTTTTTCAAATGGTAGACCACCAACGGGAGGAGCATCGTCTGGAATTCCTAAGAACTTTGCAATTTGTTTACTAGTTCCATTCGGTAACTGGATTGTACCTATTTTATTTTACCTTTAATAGATCCTACTTCAAGATTTATTGTTCGTTCTATAGCTTCCGTATAATAAACAGTTTCACAATAGGTTTCATGATTACTTATCAGAAAGTACAAATGAATAATGACTGAGTTAGTAAAGATTGTAATTATGGGTTATCTGTAAATTTTACTTTAGGTAAACGCGGTTTCATTTTAGGTACACATAAAATATGCCACATTTTAAGTAGCTTGTATCATATTAATATATGAAATATGCATAATGCTAGATACAAATAAAGGGCTGGTCGTTGTTGCTATAATTGTTCAAAGATGGATAATGAAAAAATAATATATTGAAAATTTCAATCAAAGTATTTAATTCTGGACGAAGTTTTGAATGCTTGAAAAGTTGACAAGAAATAGATATAAATTGTCGTCGAAGACTGTTTCCGCCAAGTACATTTGTCGGTCGAGCGCTGTCATGCATTACCGGAAAATTTTGGATTGGGCGGCCATATTAACGCATATAGGATGGGCGTTTTGCTTAATCCACTCAATATCCAAGTCATTCGATCGTTTAAAGAGTTGATTATTGGCTTGTCATGCGAATAACTATATAAATAATATGTTATAATATGACATTTGAAACCAGAAAAAAGGCCCGGAAATTTAGGTCTCGCCTAATGCATGTTTAACGTTATTTCTCATCGTGGATATTATAGAAGTCTTAATACATTTACGTTATAATGCGGCCCAATTGTTTATTTAACTATAAATATGACGTACTTAACAGATAACCCAAAAGAACAACCTTTTCTATAGTCAGTTAGACAGTCTGCAGCTGTCTTAGTTAGAACAATACATTGGGTGCTGTGTCGATAAGAGAGGTAATCCGAAATGAATGAGTTAAAAATTATTTGGTTCTTCATTGCATTGGTAGAAACTGTTTGTTATACGGAAGCTGTGGACAGAACAGTGACTACTAAAGTAGGATCTATTAAAGGCAAAATTGTTACAGTCCAGTTACCTGATGGAACAAGTAAAGAAATAGCAGAGTTTTTAGGAATTCCATACGGTGCTCCTCCCGTCGGTGATTTTCGTTTTGAAAAACCTGTTCCTGCTGCTAAATTTAATCAACCATATGATGCGTTAAACTATGGATTACCATGTCCCCAGCATTACAAGATTGACAATATCTTTACTATAGCACCGCCGCCATTGACGAGTGAGGATTGCTTAAAATTAGATATCTATTCTCCACAGACGAGTGTATCTAACATATACCCCGTCATGCTTTTTATTTATGGTGGAAGTTTTACTAAAGGACAATCATCGACATACAGTGGTCAGAATCTGGCAGCGTATGGGGAGGTTGTCATGGTAACAATCAATTACCGTGTTGGGCCTTTTGGATTTTTATCAACGGGAGATGGACAGTCAACGGGAAATTATGGTTTATGGGATCAACATTTGGCTATTCAATGGGTGAGGAATAATATTGATAGTTTTGGTGGGGATGCCTCGCGTATTACCATATTTGGTCAGTCTGCTGGTGGAGCAAGTGTTGCGTTTCAGACACTTTATTCAGGAAATAAAGACATGTTCCAGAGAGCTATATCAGAAAGTGGACCCGCTAATGCTGAATGGACAACAATCAGCAAAGAGGAAGCTTACATTAATGCAAATTTCTTAGCATTAAAATTTAACTGTACAATTCCTCAGAAACAAGCAAGCAGAGAAATTGTAAGATGTCTGAAATCCGTCAAAGATTTCTCTTTGATGGCCAGGTATGCATCTGGTGACAATGATTTTAAATGGACACCGGTTGTAGACGACGATTTCATTAAAAGTCAGGAATTACAAACAATACACCAACAGCCGCCATCTTCCAAAGCTTTTTTTCAAAACTTCGACATGATTATCGGCACCAATGGTTATGATGGTCACTATGTTATGAGTGCGCTGTACCCAGCAGTAATATCTCAAATGAAAATGGTGCCAATCGGAATGTCGAGGACAATAATGCGAGGTGCATTAATGAACCTCATCAAACCTCTATCACCCAACAATAAAACGCTTGCAGCAATGGTGGACGCTGCGATGTTTGAGTACACCAATGTGGAAAACCCGCATGACAGAAATTTTAATTTGAAACAAATCAGTGATTTTGCGACCGATAATGTCTTTTTCATAGCAGCGGCGGAAGATGTCACCAGCCATGCGTACATGAATAATAAAACTAAAACATACCAATATGAATTTAATCATGCGTATCCAGTTCTTCCTCCCGGAAACGAATGGCTGCAAGGAGCGACGCATGGAGGTGAACTGCCCTTTGTTTTTGGTTTCCCTTCTTCCTTGCCAGGATATTCACCTGAATTAGCCAAGATGACGTGGCCCTTTTCTAAGATAGTTATTGATTATTGGACAAACTTTGCGAAAACAGGGTAGGTACAATTTTGTCATTCTAAGATAACCATGCAAACGTGGAAATACGCTCACACAACAGCTATTTTTAGAAGCAGTTTGTCCGAAGGAGAAACATTGGATGTTGACCAAATTGATAAGGATGCCTTCACTAAATCTCAATACCCTAATGCTTCACACTAGATTTGCAACAAATCCATTAAATACCGTAGTGAAGCTGTCACTCTAGTGTTCACAAGGTTTTTTTGAAAAGGTGGAGTAACTCTGTGACGAACCGTTGTGGAATTCTGCATATGTTTTGTCCTCTCACGACCTTAATGTTTTACACCAAATTCGAAAAGAAAACCTGGTAAAAACTGTAGCAGCTATCACATTCACACGGTTTTCTGAAAAAGGATGGTATCTCCAGAACCACCCGCTAGTTACAAATGTTAAGAAAATAAGAGAAATAGGTAGAGTTGTAGCACATTTATCCAAATGTAGCAATAACTACAGAAGGGTAAGGATTTGATGCCACGTGTCGTATATGTGGATGCGGAGAGTTCTGAATTTAATAGAGGGAGACCGTTTTACAAAAGTGCGTTTGTCTCTGCAACTACTGAACCAATTCAGTTTGTTTATTTCCTTTTACCCCCAAAATGGGCTTGATCGCGTTGCCCTGGGACGTACTTTGAACTGCTTTGGTGTATATTTTCAGAATCCCGAATAAACCAAGAAATGTTGCCACAGAATGGAAGGCATATAATCCTATGGATGAAGATTATCTCTACTTTCCCATGACGGGAACCACAGAAGCTGGACGTTATTTAAATGCTCGTAGAAAAAACTTCTGGTTAAATTATTTACCTCAGATTGTTAGACGGGGATCAGAATCGTAAAACGTCGAGATAAACTGATTAAAATGAAGATCTGAATCTGTGGGATTTTCTTTCTTTAAATCTTTCCATATTCTCAGCAGGATGTAGATCTGGTCAGGTTTTTGGTGGTCTCAATCAATCAGTTGTCATCTGTCAAAAATGAAATGGGTTTTATTTTCCTACGTTTCTGCACCAGTCGTAGACATTTGGTTATATATCTCCGTCCAGCGTGTGTGTGTGTGTGTGTGGGTGTGTGTGTGTGTTGGGGGTGGTGGAGTATTACATGCAATCAATAAAACCACGTCTTCACGGGACTAACATATGGCACATCTTTATTTCAATAATAAGAGGTAACAGCAACGAGGATGTCACAATGTGAAAACTAAATAGTCATATGCATTGTTGTTTCTTCAATTCCTCTTAATATTAATAACTGTTCTTGTTTTCTAACATGTCATCATTTTGATGGAAAGATTCACACATGAATCAGAAAGGCGGGGGTAGGAGCAGTTTCTATCCTAAATCGCTTAAACGTGACAATAAGTATTATTGAAATACAATTGTACCATTATGTTAGTCTGGAAATGACCTAATTTGTTTTGAGTGGACTTTAAGACGTATGTTTCTCTATGTGTCATGGATATTGAAATAGTATTAATTAAATCGGTGCATTGACCTTATAGATAACAGTGGTATCCTTATAAATACTGTCAGCGTAACAGAATGTAGAACAATGTCCATTCATAGAACACAAGTGCCCGGTGACATGGAATAGTGTACTTGTTTCCATTGAACAGATAAGAATATATTGGAGATAACCTACTTTTATTTGCAATCGATGGGATTACGGACTTCAAGAGACCATCCCGATTTGAACAGAGTCTCAAAAATGAAAGTCCCGAATACGTATGAAATTTAAGAGCCAAAGCATAGAGGAATTGTGTATTTACCCTGTCTCAAAATTCCAGCACAAAATATTGAGTCGTTTGGACGTGAACGTCAAAAATGATTATCCAGACACGTAACCCTTTTAAGATTTCGGGTCAATTTTTTCGTTGGGTGACCTGATAATCGATTCTCGTTTCTTTGAAGGTCTATACAGTGAATAACCCATGTGCTGTACTTGATAATGAAGGGTAAATTGCACCTACACATTATTTTTATATAATAAAAGTCTGGTTTTATCCAGACACCGCATAATACAGCTGACGACTGACGGGTTTAAGTTGTTTGAAAACGTATCACAAATATTGAGTTAGTTGCTCGGCCCTTAGATACAGGATTTTTAGGGATTTTAACACAAAATTAAGCAGTTTTATTCTCCAAAATATTATCGCGATTGGCCTTTTAACAAAATTAGTCATTATGGACAACTTTTCGGGCCAACCAAAAACCTCTTCCATTCTTTGATTTCTAATCGGTATTCATAGTATTGGTATATAAAAATGTCATTTATTCAAATGAAATGTGATGCAATGGGTTTGAACGCCCTACATTTCAGCCTACTCTTCATCCAATTCCAACCGTGCTTTACGTCCTATCTGAACGACTATAGAAGCTAGTTCCTTGTCAGACCCCCCCCCCCCCCCCCGTGAGCACCACAGGTAAAGCGGTGGACACACTAGCCGAATGATTCGGCCGAATCAATCGGCGTGGAAATTCGCCTAGTGTGTCCACTGCCATTAGGCCGAATTTCTATTCGCCCGAATCAAACAGGTTTGATATATTCGGCCGAATATTTACATGATAGATTGAAGACATAGACGCCGCCATGTTTAATCATGTGACGTGAAAGGTGATGCAATCGGCAGGTTAAATCGGGCGAAGCATTCGGCTAGTGTGTCCACCCATTCGGCCGAATAAAATTCGGCGCCGATTGATTCGGCCGAACGATTCGGCTAATGTGTCCACTCTTTTAGGGTAAACCAAGCTTGAAATTTCTCGGCCAATGGCTCACGTTGTCTAATGTTATGTGTTTAAGAACAGAATTTGCATATTCTAGGTGTGGACGACATGTATTCTATACAATAGTAGGAAAGTAGTTTGATCCATATATGTGAAGTATCAAACACACCAAACTGTTGTCAACAATTACCGCAATATATTTCACCTTCTTCGTGTATTATATTCACAGTGTGGCAACGTTCTTTGGCCCGCTGTTAGTACTTAACATTTGTCTGGACGGAATTTGAGTAACCATTCATTTGGCCTATTTTTTAATTCCTGCATATTGTTTTGTACAATTTTTGTATCATTTGTTTCATCTATGTCTTTGAAGGGTTTGGCGTCGCAGGCAAACATAATAATACCGGTTCAAGTACACTGCCTTGCAGAATACTACTAAGTACTGGTGTTCACTCTGAGTTGCTATGCATAATTTATTTACTCTGGATACTGGTGTTCACTCTGAGTTGCTATGCATAATTTATTTACTCTGGATACTGGTGTTCACTCTGAGTTGCTATGCATAATTTATTTACTCTGGATACTGTTGTTCACTCTGAGTTGCTATGCATAATTTATTTACTCTGGATACTGGTGTTCACTCTGAGTTGCTATGCATAATTTATTTACTCTGGATACTGGTGTTCACTCTGAGTTGCTATGCATAATTTATTTACTCTGGATAGATGATTTAATCCAATTTATAATGTTGCCTGAGATACCACAGCCTTGGACAATTTACCAAACGCTTTCATAAAATCAAGGTATACAAAAGTTCCCTCCGGTGTCTAATATTTCAGTCCATCTATCTGATACATACATAAATAATAGTTGTAGTCTTGTTGATATTCCAGAGATGAAGCAAAAAAACAGGAACAGACTGGTGCCGTGAGGTGGGACGTTAAACTCCGTGTCATTTTATTACTCTAAAAAGCTGTCCCTTACTTTAATAAAAAAAATACAAGTGAACCATACTGGTCTCTAATTTGCTTTCAATTTCCGATTTTCTTTCTTAAATATGCATCCCTCGCGCCATTCATCTGGGATATCTATTACCTTAACTTTGGTTTGTTTTGCAAGGTCTTCGAATAAATCCTAGTTTATTATTTGAGGCACATTATTTTGTCTAGTCCTGGTGATTTACTGATTTTGAGGACGGATAGCCGTTTTTTATTTTAACTTTTTCCTCTATGATTTCAAGGTCTTCGAAATCTATCTTTAGATGGATATTATCTATTCCGGAGTGTATTGAATGAAGTTTAAAAAATAAGTAGGCTACTATGTCCCTTTACCTTGGTTTTGGACACACTTTTTACAGCTGTGTTCAAAATTACAATGTTCAAGCCTAGATCTTACCGGCTCATTTAGAAACACTTTACCTGTGTTATTACATCAATCAAATATTTTATTTTGCCTATGTTAAAAATTGCTGACCATAACCTCCAATCTTCCAGAAGGCGTCTCTAGTGGTCCCGAAGCTTTCCACCACCATTAATGAAAACTCGAGCCACTCATGCCTCCATAATTGACTACTGGCCTACGGACAGGTGCTGTCATTTCCAATGTAGACGTATAAATATTGTGCTCCGCTCTTCAAATCAGGTCTTTGTTTTTGTTTTTCCAATTTTTTAATTTTAAGTTTGAAAAGTTTCGTTTGCTTGTTCAATATATTCAGCTCGGAATCCAAACGAATGCTAGATCAAACAGGTGTGACCTAAAGAAGTTAAAGTATCGGCGGACTGATTTGTGCATTCCACAACAAATTAAGAAGTTGAGTGCATGCAGGTCACGAAGCGGGTCAGATGCGAACAAGATAGGACTATCAAAAAATATTACAATAAGGCTGTATTGCAAGGATGTATTACAGTATGTATGGAAACAGTTTTGATGTGTCTATACTTACTAACACCTTATATTTGCTGAACATTCAGTATTTTCGTTTTAAATGTATATTATTTAATAACTTAACAAAAACTGGCAACCAGATCATCTAAACTCTGCCTCTCCCCTTCCTCCCTTATGGTATAATGGGATAAGGACAGTAAACTTTGTCCAAATAAGTAGTATGGTACATACTATTTCGTTCCAATCTCGACCCAAAAGCCACTGCGTAATGTCTTATATGTGAGAGAAAGGGGTTCGTTTTAACTGCTCCCCCTCGCAGATCCTACTGTTGTGAAGATTAAAAAAAGCAAAATTTGAACTATAAAGAAAACCAAAACGAAACGAAGTATGATCTGCGTTTTAATCGGGTTGATTTTGTCAAGATTGTATAAATGGAAATTTGTTGATTTGCGTATAGTAGTTACTGGCTTACTAATAAGTACCCGGGCACTAACCACACGAGATACTTAAAACGTGATCTACTTTTCATGTAACTAAAATGAAACAACCTGACATGAAACAAAATATACAGATAACCCAATATTTAATGACACAGCAATTGGTTGTTTTATACGTTAAGATAAGTAAAAATGATTGTGAGACGTATAAAATAAAATAGAGATAGACATTGGTCATTTGTCTTATTCATGATAATATACTGGGTGCTATGTCCAAAAGAGAGGAGAGGTAATCCAAAATGGACGTTGTAAAGTTCTGCTGTTTTTCGGTTTTATTTTTGGAAACCGTTTATTATGCAGAAGCAGCAGAACGAACAATAAATACTAAAGTAGGAAAAATTAAAGGTAAAATTGCTACAGTCCTGTTACCTGATGGAACTAGTAACCGAATAGCAGAGTTTTTAGGGATTCCATATGGTGCTCCTCCCGTCGGTGATCTTCGATTTGAAAAACCTGTTCCTGCTGAGAAATTCAACCACACATTTATTGCTTTAGACTACGGCTTACCATGTCCACAGTATCACAAGTCAAGACCAATGGCATTGATGAGTGAAGATTGTTTAAAATTAGATATTTATTCGCCACAGACGAGCGGATCTAAGGCTTATCCTGTCATGATTTATATTTATGGCGGAAGTTTTACCTCAGGACAGTCATCGAAGTACAATGGACAGAATCTGGCAACTTATGGAGAGGTTGTCATGGTAATAGTCAACTACCGAGTTGGACCGTTTG